AGAAACAAGTCCTATTGGGTCGTGGTATCTCATCACTAAACTTTGCCTTTGATTTTTGCCTGCCTTTGACACTGTTTGTTACAGAGTTAACGATAAAACGATACCAAAATCATTGGTATATATCAAATTCAGTAGCCGTTAAATTCCATGGAGGAGGGCATGGAGGAACCTGAAATAATTATTTTTGGTCATCCATCTTATGACCATCCTTTAAGAAAAGTTTCTTAACTTTTGCATCGCAAACTAAACGCGCTACCCACCATGTTGAGGATCATCGTCCTCAACAAGTTTATCACGTATTTGGTATAAAATTCGCAGACTTTACTAATCGAGAATTAACAAAGAGAAACGTCAAATTTAATCAACTCATCTTGGTAGATTTATAATCTAGCTAATCGGTAACTAATTCGATCTACCACAATCATTTATGAACAAAGACTAATAACTTAAGGCTAGATTCTACAAAATTATGACATTTTAAACCATTATTTGATCAATTTTGCATTCACAATGCGATAATGGAAAATATTCTCAATGAAAAGTACTTCCATTTCAGAGTACCAGGGGACTGGCAGATTTTTTAAGCAATTTTCGGTAAGAATATATTGTCGATTGTTTGCAAAAAACAGAAACATAAGTTTCAATAATTGGCTCGATAGAAAAAAAAACAAACGCAAAGATGAATGTAAATAGGTTTTTTGATCAATTTTATAATTAATATATATTTCATCTTAATTATATAAACAATAAAGACAGTTTTGATAAAGGTAATCAGGTAATCTTTTGATTTTTTAACTGCATTTGTTTTTTCTGTCATTAAAAATGTATGAAACCATGCGAGCATGTCTTTATTCTCGCATTCCGCATTTGTTTGCGTGTTTGTATAGGAACATAAGTGGAGAAGAGAGCCTTAACAGTGTTTGGTGCTACGTATACGCAATAGCGGCATCGACAAGTGACGTCGCCTACAGCTATCTAGTTCTAATCACCAGCAGTTAGGAAGCCGGACAGCCTTCAGCATTTGCCTATGATTACAAACGGTTGATGCCCGGAGCATCGTCTAATTACAGTGACATGTGATGGATGTGAGAAATTAAGATATGGCACATTTATATGCGTGCACGCAACAGCGATCTGATTGTTTCTGAGTTTTTTAAGTAGGAACAGATCTCAATCTATAATCATATCTGTGGTTTATAAAATTATTATCAGAGATGTATGAATCTATGGTTGTTCATACTTGCTTGTCTATTATCCAATGACTGTTGAAATAAAAAGAGTTTTCTCTCCTTTTTATTTTTTTCTTTAAAACATGTTCAAAATCATAAATTCATATCTAGATTTACAGTAGTTTATATTTATTATTCCGGGAAAAATAAAGAATGTCAAACTTCTTGATTAGTTCACTTCGAAAGGCATATTAAATCTGAAACTTGTGATTGTAGATACAGTGAATAAAAACTTACTATGTGATATTATATCACATGTAGAGTAATTAATTACAACTGGGGCTAAATCTAAATCATCTCTGCATAATGTTAACTATATATTAATGATAATTTTCATCTAACTATAAATATGTGCTATTAGAAACGAAGTAGGCCTTCTTAAGGTGTCGATTGTACTTAAAAACTAACATCACGCCTACACACTTTCAAGTACTTTTTTTACTTTTCTCACGGGTAAACATATTATAAATAATAATATTGTTTCAGACAGACACTGAATCATGTTGCGATTGTGACTAATGGTAATATCACAAACACTTCAACTTTGGGGTCGTTGAAGTACACCGTGCTTAACGATCAAACACGTTGTAGTGTCATCGAGCTAATATAATCATATTTGACATTATTAAACGAGCACAGTCTGAGTGTTATTGTAACATTAAGACTTTCATATCTTGAGCGGACATGATCTTTTGTTTATTTTTCTATTTCAGTCAAGAACACGTAATTAATAAAAGTTGGAAATTTTTCTTTATTCGATCAATATTATTCGTTCGCATCTATTACTTGGGTGTCTTACTAAAATTCGGGGTTGAAAGATATGATGCAAACGTGCATTCGTTTTAGCTAAAAAGTTATAAAATTATATTTATTGAAACACGACAAAGTGAAGGCTATCCGCATGATGAAGAGTGCTAATGCAATCCAATAGCACTTATAGCTGCAGAAGTATATGTTACTAGTAGCCAATATCTTGTAGGTCAGCTAAAATACAACACACATCCTTTTAAAGGACCCAAGGTTGAAACACGGTTGAAGTTAGGAGTGCGCTGAGGAAGAATGTTGTACTGCATTAGTCAAGGGCTAGGCTTCTCTATGAGTACTACTAAATTATTCTCGATAGCTTTATGTACAATATTAAGAGAGTGCGTACACCAAAAACGTGTCGGTATGGTTCCCAACCCTCCCGGATGCTCCGGTAATAATGATTAACCTCCCGACCTCCCGGAGAGCAATCATTTCTCCGGTTTTCCTATAAAATAAATGCATCCATCGCTCACTAGTCGCTACTCACTCGCTTTAAATTTATTAACTTTATTAATTATTTTCTTTCAAACTACAGATAAACTTTGCGATCTATTAATCCTATTAAGTAAATATGCATTATTCAATAATCTAGCAGGATTAGACCAAAAGAAGCGAACGAACATACTCTAAATAATTCAATATGAGACAGTTCGTTCGCTTGTTTTAAAACTGCTCCTGCTACGAGAGCGCAAAGCGAAAGAAACGAAACACGAGCGTGAAGAGCATTCATTTTGGAGTGGCGACCTAAAGCGATCGTTCTCAGTTGAGAACTATTACGCCTCATAATTCTCATCGGAATTAACAATGAGATAAATAGATAGTATTTTATCTTTACACCCAGCCTTAACGATTAAATTATGTGGCTGTAATAATGCACAAAACGCATCGTCATTCCGCTCTATTGCGCACGTTCGCGTCTGCATTATTCAAACCAGTTCGCGGTGCTGTGTCACATTATGCCGTACGATCGTCAACGCCTCCTCACAACCACATTAGGTATACCGGAAAAACTCCACCATGTAGTGCCTGTTACATGACAAATTGCAACTATTAACGGAATCTTCTCCATTTGGTATTGGTACTTCGTGGAAGCTCTACTTTTTTTACAATGTAGATTAAGTATGATATGTCAGAGTAGCTCGGTGGCGTAGTAGATAAGCGCCGCTGCCTGCGACCGTTGTTGTTAAGCAACATTTGCAATATTCGGTCACGGGATGGGTGACCAAAAAGTTATTATTTCGTGCTTCTCCATACTTCGAAAGACACGTTAAGCCGTTTGTCCCGGCTGTAGTTTGGTTTGCAGTACAGTTGCAGTGCAATACCTTCCAATCTGCATTAGGCCAGCGTGAAAGATTCATAAGGGAGATCTATAAAAAATTGATGGTGCATTTTGTGGTCCGGGGTGGACCACTCCATCGGCCGTCCTCTCAACCTTAGTCTGCTACTGTAGCTGTTTTTCCAGCACAGGCTATTCTCCACCTGTGGGCGAGGACATCAGAGATTTCTAGTTTATATTTGTCAAACTTCATTTTTCAATCGGAACGTAGATCGATTGATTTATTTATCCAGCAGTCGAAATCAGATTGTAATGTAGCAGGTATTGTCATAAACTTATCATACCTCATCATTCATCATCATCAATCATAATTTCTCTAATTTAAAAATTACATCTTTCAAATTATTTTGTTTACAACCACCAGACCTAAAAATCAAGCAAAATCTTTAATTGACATCTCACTAGTTTTTTAACTTAATTAATTCAGCTTTGATCTTAATTTGTTTTTCTAATGGCTGAGAAATTTTCATTTTTTAGAAATTATGATGAAGCCCAAAACTTGATAAGATTTACTTGGAATTTAGTTAATTTTAGACTAATTAATAATAAAACCGGGAATACGTAGTAATATTTTTGTGTTATATATTCATTTTGTGCACATTCATTGTAATTAGGATATATTAAACACCTTAACATCTTGACAACAGGTTTCATATTTTTTGCAAAAATATATGGCGCTGTGTTGAGACCGAATAGTAAAACATTAAATTCATATACTAGTGTAAACTAGTGGCCGCCAGCGACTTCGTCCGTGTTTTCCATTATTTCTTCGCTCCTAATAGCTGCAGCGTGATGTTATATAGCCTAAAGCCTAAAGCCTTCCTCTACAAATGGTCTTTTCAACACAAAAAGAATTTTTCAATTCGGACCAGTAAGTAGTTCCTGAGATTAGCGCGTTCAAACTAACAAACTCTTCAGCTTTATAATATTAGTATAGATTATTCCATTCAGATCTAAGATATTTTAAGATACTTATCATGAATCTTAAATAAAAAATAAGTCTTTTATATGAGTTTTATGACAGTACTAAAATCTTCTAATTGTAAGGTTATATATTCGACGGCTATGTATATATTTTTATATATGTTCGATATTTCCGCCAATTGTGAACCGATTTTCAAAATTCTTTTTTTTATTCGACTTTTTTTTAGACGACTATATCGAAATCGAATATTTCTTTAGAAATAGCACCTATGGTCATTAAGTTTTTTATACATTAATCAAAATTATCAAATTCTAATTTAGAATAGCTGCGACATTTTGTATCAATATTGATAAGGTGTGTGACAGAAAGGATTTTTATAACCCTTTACACATTCTAGAACCGTTTAACCTGATGTCATTAATGACCACTGGTTAAGACCGGTTAATTACCGGCGTCATTTCCCGATTCGTCTACTGGCGACGGCGAGTGATGCTCGACTATCCGCGCGATGGTCTCGTTGAGGGCACAGGCGGCTGTCTCATCAAAGGTGCAAGCTCTTTAGCCTTCGGACCTATTATTGGTAGCGGGGCTTCTACTAGATGATACTATATTTTTAACTCCGATTATCCAGATTTATTAATAGCGATGGCCGTTTTCAAAGTCTCTGCCATTTTATGACCAAAAAACAAGCTATCTATCTTTGTCAGTTAATTCTTTTCTCAAGACAGTCATAATAAAAATTGCGTCTGGTTACAGCATTATATCGACCTGCGTCCATTAGTAATATCAGTAATACTGGGTTTTTAGTGTCTTTTAGCAAAATTGGATTGATAGCTTCTCCAAGACATGCAATAGCATTGCCTATTTGCTCAACCTGCATCGCTTTGACGCGTTTTGTAATAACGTCGTTAATAGTAGCTTTAATCTCTGGATTCAAAGAAGGAGCATCTATCATTTTGCAATTTACTCGAGGTAAATGAGCCTCAAGCAACTCTTTACAAAATTCTGTAGTCACGCCAGAAGTGGCTAATATTCGAAGCGGACAGCAGTCTTTCTGGATATCCATTCCGAAAGTCACAGCTGTAGACGGGTCCGCTCTCAAACTTTGTAATAAAATTCATTCATCCGACTCTTATCGTTTGTTTCTCGCTGTTCTCAACAGTAGGAGAAGCGTGAGTGTTCATTTTCCAATTCGATAGAATATTCCAATATTTCGGGGCCGTCTGAAAAAATATGTTGTGTGGTGTTCTGTGACTGGCTTGTAGATGGTATTGGCTCAATTTCGTTATCACCGTTTAGATTATCAACATTCTACGGTTCCGTAATTATGTTATCAGAAATCCGGAACTAGATTATTTTTTACTAATTATATGAAGTTATCCTTTCGCATTAGAAGGGTAGGTAAACAAAAATTATTATGTACTAGGTACTAATAATTATGTTGATATCGTATCTAACAGCTAAATAATATAAGTTACGCTGTCATTTTATAGGTATTTGTATTCTAAATTTGTAAAAATGTCCCATAACCTGATTTCACAGGGGAAAATGGTAATGAAATATAAAAATCGTGTCATATATACATGCTATATAACGGGTAAGGTAAATCGTGAATTATAATAAGTATCCATTATAACAGTACGGTACTTATATTATAATAAGTACCGTACTGTTATAGTGGATTATGTAAACTCAATCGTAACACCGTAAATTCGAAGTACGAGAAAAAACGCAAGAGCAAATTATTATTACTATAGTATTCATATTTGGTAGGTAAGGTGGACTCGAAACGTAGCACCATGAACCATAGTTTATGATATAAATTTGTCTTAAAAACCCAAATCTAAGTAGAAAATCGTCAAATGAAAATTGAGTGATTGCATAGAAAATAAATCTAATTTACCTTGAAGTTGAGACGAATCCGAAGATGATAATCTTCGTAGTCGTCCTTTTAACAACTTTCTTGATTTTCTGTTTTATATAACTTCTAAAATCACTATCATATCTTTTCATTTTAGACACTTTTTAAGAATTGGCACGATAATTAAATAAAAATAAATAAATGCACAGTGGCGGGACACTGAAATGTGAATGAAGTAAGGAAGGAAGCGCAGTAGGAAAAAGTATGTGAATACCCTCTTCACTTCTTAATTTTTTTTTATTAGCATTCAAGTCATTGCATACATGGCGCCCCTGTTTGTGTTACTACAAGTGTATAATGCTAATCTCGTGAACGAAACACAGAAGCAATAATTATGCTGGCTAGCATAAACTCTCACAATCAAATAACTACAGATGAAGGGATATTTGTCTTAATCGTCTCTTAAACCTATGGTATAGATGCAGTTTATGATGGTTGATGATACTGGCTAAGAACTTGGTACTTTGAAAAGACCTAGCATACCTAAAAGTTGTATCTTTCAATATATAATTCAAAAGCTGCAAAACTTAATAAATGAATGGCGCTTATTTGTTAATTTAATCGAATGAACAATAGACAGAAAAATAGATAGATATATGTTGTCAGTGGTCGATGAAAGTGAATCGTAATCTACAATATGTACCTCTTCCAAAATAATTCGTATTGGGTAACCCACCGCAATAAACTCAACAACAATGGAGTACCATTGCGTTACAATATGTACTACCTACTGTATGCCACAATCTGTCATATCTGAACGATCAATCAAAGCTTCGGATAATAATTTTTGATCAAGATAAAGATTCGCTGATTATTATCACAGCACTAACAGTATAGATCCGCACGGGCGATCGCTTAACTGATTTTCTAATAAGCTATAAATAATTAATTAATCGTGTGAGGGGCATTAGCGGACGTATAATGAGCAGTTGCGTGAAGCGGTGGACAAAAACACGTTTCCAACTACGACTGTGGAATTACAAAGCCGACATTAAGCGTTTTTCGTTGCAGTGCGGTAGGTGGGTAGCGATGTCACGATGAATACAGAAGTGTTACAACCGGGGACCAGTTCACAGTATGTTTTCCAAGTATCCGGATAGCCTACAGCTTATGCTAATCATAGCACTCAGAACTGTTAACATTGTTAAGAGCACTCTAGCAGGTTTCCGCTGCCCAGTAAATCACTATGTAGGCAATTTTTAAGAGAACGCTACAGTTTATGCCATGTTTTTGGAATACTTGTCTAATCTGTATGTTTTGTTTACTTTCGAATAGAAAATTGAAAAAAGTGACATAAAATGAGTAAGGCCTTATGATGACGCTTATTTAATAATTTAAATATAGGAAAGTCAAAAATATGGACATCGTTCTTTTATAATTACCGAATTAATAATCATTTGCAGCAAAAAATCTTTAAACGCTACATTTTACTTTGCAGTAAATAAAAGTCAAACCTTCCACGAACTCTCGTCGGAAGTATAAATATAGAGCCACAGATGTCGCTACCGGCGCACAATTTATGATCTTACACAAACTGGACCCAAACCAGTGTAAGATTTACAACGCTATAAAGAAACGCACATCATACCTGATAATCTTTATTGAGCTGGTTGTGCTCGTTACTCACCTGAGATGAGTATTAATGAAACTTTTTGTATTCATTTATTTCGACTTATGTAAACCATAATAAATATCTAAAAATGACGTTGATAAATTCAAAAAACTTTTTTTTGTATTCGGACGAGGATTAACTATGACTTTAACCTAAAACGAAGTTTATAGAAATTTTGAAGCCTGTTTTACTTGTAAAATCTATACACACAGCAGCACGCCAAGTTACCTGCCTGTTGTTGTTATAACTATATGTTGTTTTAAGATTTCATGGCCAATAACATTAGAATGATAGTTTTTTACAGGATTGCTACCATGCACCTTATTTTTATTGCTTTCGAGCCCTGCGATTTTGTAAAAATGCAAACCCGAATTCGAATTCCTTCATCTTGAATCGGTCTTCATATGAACATTCCGTTGCATACGTGAAGTGAGTTTCGAAATGACATAGAATAAAATATCTCAGACAGATAGGTATATTTAATCAATTTTGTTTTCTATTTTTATATAAAAAAAATGAAATCAACACAATTTCTTTACTAAATGACGTCAATACAGACACATGACGGAATTCTTTTGCTCATATTTCAGCGCTGTTGCAAGCTCTATGATCACGGAGTAACTAAAGTTTTTGCGGGTTGATGGGTTATTATTTACCAAGACTTCATGGGGTGGATGAGTTAAGTATACTGCACAACTTTTACTATGGTAGCAATACTGAATTCATGAAAAAATAACCAGCTGTTTCAAACTAATTCGAAGGCGCGATTACAATTTTGTATTAAACTGTGTTCATTCAGTGTTGCTCCTATAGTGAAAGTTGTCGAATATATAAGTATGAGTTAAGACTCATCCACCCCACGACGTCCTGGCATATAATAATATTACACCTTAGGGCCGTCCATAAATGACGTCACACAAAATTCATGATTTTTAAACCCCCCCCCCCCTGTCACCAGTTTGTCTACGCAAATTCTACTAAATATTCCCCCCTTCCTAACGTGTAACGTTATTTATGGATGGCCCCTTATATTGATCTAATTTTACCTTAATCCATGTACGTTCAACACGTACCACTGTTCACTATGTCACTACTAACTCGCGCCTGTTCACGACGCACGACATCTTTTTTGATCCAGAACTAAATGAAAACAATGTACGCACATACATGTTAACAACCCCGTAAAAAACTATAATTCTCACTTGATTTATATTTATAGAGATTAATATAACCTGACGGCCTATTAAATATACCTACTTTTAGTTACAAACGTTAGTTCTGAAGTAGGTATCTATTTATTTAGTTTTGACTACCGATCTACTGAACCAATTCTATTGAAATAGTGTAAGTGTAGGTACACACTATTTAATAAGGATAGAGCCGCTGCCTAGTGGCCAACTCCTGAGTGAGTTTGTTACTTCTACGCAAGGAATACAAGTGGCAAGTGTAAAACTTTTATTAATATGTTATAAATTATTCATGATAGTCATTCGATTGCTAAATTTAAATCCACATTAAACTGTCCAAGCTTCAGGTCACAAGCTACTTGATAGGTCCACTGACCACCAGATGGCACCACATGTGTATTTTTCTGTAAAAACAAAGAAATATTTCACGTTTATAAATTTGAGATCAAAAAAATTCATTAAATCTTTCTATGCAATGGACAGTCAAAAATTTACAGCTCATTGTTAAAGATAAATATATACTTTATTTACACAGTGGTAAAATTGAATATTGTGAATGGAATATGCATACTATTTACACCGTAAGACAGTACTGCGTTCTTAAGAAGGGAAAATAGATAATTGAATTTTGTTATAGAAATCCTAATAGGTACTTTCCAATCACATACACTTCGCACTGCTATAACACTAAAAGCAACAACTTCTAATCACCAATATTTTGACCCCCTGCCTAGTGTGAGAGTCCCACTGTACTCGGTTCCCAACAGTGGGCGGTTGAACAGGTCCCGCGCTTATATATTTGCCGCCCACCGCCCACTCCGCCCATAGAGCAAAACCGTTCACTGGTCCGACTTCATCTCCTGAATCCCTGAAAAACAAACATACATTAGAGACTTGTGGCATAATTGTCTAATTTTTCAATCTATCACAATCATTTTCAAACATACAGCGTTTGTGATAGTAATTTATGGAATTATGTAACTTTTAAAGACACAATTGCTTTCGGAACATATGATGATTTGAATGATACAGAATGTCATAGTAATGAGACACATCAGAGGATCATTTCTGGGTAAATGCATTGATTTGTTCAATAAAGTTACACAAAATTTAATTGACCTACCCATAAATAAATTTAAAATTCATGTAAAGAACTTACTTATGAGTAAAGGCTATTATAAAGTTGATGATTATATTAAGAACCGCTGGAACTGGAATTAACAGCCTTCGCTTTGTTCTATAACGACTAATTATATGTACAACCTATGTCCTACAGACTTTGAAAGTTGTATTTATTATTGTGATATTACATATTATTTTGGTAATGACATGATTTATGTAAATGTCATTACTTATGATAAGGAGCTGGTAAGTTTCTTTCGCTTATTCTTCTTGTCAGCTAAAAGACGTCCTGTACAAGTGGTAGGGTAAAAAAATTTTTTGGACTATTCAAATATGTTTCTAACAAGCTTGCTCAAATAAAGATATTTTCTAATAAAGACATTTCATTTCATAGATAATTCATTTCGTTTGTATATAATATTTACGATTTCGTATGATTGTAATAGATTCTCCTATTTCGACTAAAGAATAAAAATAGTTTATTCATATAAACAAAATAATAGAATGTTAAATCATTTCATACTTTTGACAAACACGTTTTATTTCAACAAAAAACAAAACCGTCGTACTATTGTACTAACAAAACGCAAAAGCAAGTTTTTTTTATGTCAGCTCGTCTAGGGATGAATCGAAACGAGAAAATACAAGTACTTACTCGATACTTTTCTTTCGATACCAAGTACTTATGGCATCGATAGTTTGGAACCGAGTAGTAAATAGTATCGTGAAGTAAGAAAATAAGTGTTTGTATCGGTACTTAAATGGTCAGTCACTGAGGAGTGTCAAAAACTCGCGAGCATTAGTCTGTTTACTCTGTGTTAAGGTGTCTAAAGTTTATCTTATGAAAAAGTCCCACAGGCGCAGCGTCCCTATCCCTATATGACGTTTGAAAAACATTTACTAACATTATGCGAAAACTATTTGACATATGACAGCGATTGCGTTGTTTTTTAAGATATTGATTAAACAATATCGTTTGTTTGACGTTAATTAGAATTGTCTAAGATAAGCGTTAGACGCAAATATTACTTTGAAAGCTATTGAGAATAGTCAAAAACAGAATATTTTGTATATTTAACGGGAGCTTATTCGAGATATGTATTATTTGAGTTATTATACTTTTTTTTTGTATACACATGTAGATAATGGCACTAGGTCGGTTTTTACTGCTAGTCTGTCAAAAGTAGTCTGTAAAAGAAATGATGTTGATAGGGGCAGAATAAATAAACGATTAAAAGTTGCATATTAGTAAAGTTATAATACTTACAATAACGGCTGAGTATGGTTAGCAGCATAAGATGGTTTCAAATCGGCAAAACTGATTTGTAACAAACGACGTGGGGCTCCTCTGCTCACGCACGGGTACTCCCATAGCGGCTGCGCCTCCACAATCGCATCACTTACTATACGAGAATTCTAAAACATGACAAATTAATAAAGTGCCCGATTCGCCACTAAACCAGGATGAAACAATGGAGACAAATCTAGTGATATGAATACCACAATGTCTCTAGTGTAATTGCATTTTATAGCAAATATTTATTCAGTTTTCATTTTAAATTTAATTAAATTAGTATATTGTATACTATTTTCCAATAGTAATCAATATCTATATTAATTATATTATAGATTGTTTATTTAAGTAGTTCAATGTCTAAGCATTGAAATGATTTAAAAATGAAAATACAAGTTACCTCAATAAGAGTGTCGAATATAGACATGTCAATGCCTTCGCAATTACCCAAGGGTACCCTTATTTTATGTAAATCTTGAAACTCTACTGGCATTGCCCAAATCTGACAACCTTCTGGTATGAATGATACTCCCTCTCGTAGTTTATCTTTAAAAGTGTATATAATATATGCCATTTTTAAGTTTTCCCAAGGAAGTATTGCACTACTGAAATTAGGATCACAAATAACATTAGTGACGGATCCTAAAATCTCCTTGTCGACTTCAGATATAAATCTGACATTTGTTATATCGTTTTCATTTTTGTAGTCTTCTAGTATCCTTAAATTTAAGTTCATAGTTTCAAGAATTAAAACCTCCTTAGCACCTTTCTTAGCCGCAGCCAAGCCAAGGAAACTACTACCATTCAAATCCAACACCACAGCGTCTTTAGGCATCTCTTCACAGATTGCATTTAAGAACTTCTTACTGCGTTTTCCATCGTTTAAATAAGAGACGTGTGTTCTCGACATTGCCATGTGCACGCCACAATCACAGACGGGTCTTTTATAATGAGTATACTTCACATTTTGATCTTCTAAATAGAACCAAAGGGAGTAATCATCTTGACATGACACCAATGTTACTTCAGAATCTTTTTGAACTGTTAACTCTTTTGGTAAATAGTAAACTGCTTGCATCCAGTGGTCGCGCCAAGGTATTGAGTCTTGGGGACGTTCAGCCACCAAGTTAGCATCAGGATGACACCACCACGGTGCACAACTAAGGACTATTTTACCTGAAATTATGAAGTTGTAATTAAATTAACTTTTACTATTGATTGTGTTCACTCATCGTAAAGCGTTTACAACTTTAAATCTTCCCGCGTTAGATGGTATCACGACGGCAAACCAATAGCAGGGCTCGGCGACCCCGAGCATGCACTTCGAACTAGCGGCGGAGGAACGGAGAGGTGGAAGGTTAAAGTGAAAAAGCGCGGATCTGCTTTCGGCACACACAATATTCGCTTGGGCAGAAATTCATTCTTACTCAAATCATTATTTTGTGCTTTTCAAACATCGAAATGACGGTTATCGACGCGACAAACGAAAATTTGAACTGCTAGCATATCTTTTAATGTGGTGCTGGACAATTCTGTGGGGCACCCACCCTCAATCGGCGGCTTCCTGAGGCTGAATTACACGCATTGGTGGGCAATCTACCAAGGTTAGGTGTGCATATTTTGCTATTGTTCACCAGTCCGAACCTATAACGAATTTCTAATTTTAAAAATACCGTTGCCCAACCCAGAGTTGCCCAACCCAGACCCTGCCAAGAGACAGGTCACATTCGTCACAGATTTATTGCGATGGTATTTTAATACAGTTTTTCTTTCTGAACATGTGTAAGATGTGTCATACCATTTAGAAGAGCATAAACAACATCCAAGACAGAGTGGCTCACTCGAATATGTTGTTATCTTTGGAATCCTAAACTTTTTAAATTATCTTAAATGTGGGTATTGATACTTTAATTTTCTAAAAATATGTAATTCATATCTATTTTTTTATTTACCTTCAGTGTCCATATTCAACTCCCACCACATAAACACTTGTTGAGCGCGACCCGTGTTACTTATAACAAAGTCTTGCCTGACAGTACGCTTCATATCAATTGCTGTCCTACCAGACCAGTCATAAAAAAACACTGGGATCTGATCAGACAATTCTCGAAAAACTTGCCGGGGTAGTTGCGACAGCTGGATATCATGAACTGCTGCCGATCCTGGACAATCTTTCATCTAAAATCATCAATGATAAAGTAATCTCACATGTGTTTATTAAACTTCCTGATTTTCCCAGAATTATTGTAAAGATCATGAATTTTATTTGTTCAAAATAGGTTTGTTTGTCCAAATTCATCTTTTCTTAACCATTTTCTAATTAAGCCAAACTTATAGTTCAGAAAATTAAAACTATAAAAATTATTGAAACTCTAATTATGTTAGAAATATTATATTACACAAAAGTTTACATACAAGCCAACTCTGCCATTAAGCCTGATAAAAGTATGAGAAAACCGGAAATAATTCGATATAAGCCTGGAATAATTTTAATTAAGTTTGTGAGCCAATTACAAACGATTATACTAACACGACTTTTTTCACAAATTTTGGTTTTATTTATCATAGCGACAATGAAAATTACTCAAACCCAAATAAAAAGTTTACAGGAAATAGTTCTTTTTATTTAACTTATTTTTTTTAGTTCTAGTCATATTAGTCATTAAAAAAATTATATAAGTTATGTAATAAGTGTTTTGTATTAGGACAATAACGTAGATCGAATCATATTGTATCTAACCAATAACCTTTTCGGTAGTTGAGTTTTAAGATCAACCCTGTTTTTAAGCACAGGTAAAATAATAACAGAGGATATTGAAAGCAGACTTTAAAAAAAATATCGAGTTATAAGCACTGGTATCCTAATCTAACACAATTTTGAGCAAATAATAGAAAATTCGAGAAACATGCTATAGCGTATAAGCTAGTTTGATCCTTAAGATCATAGATATGCGGTCTATTATTGATTGGCACGTCATGGATAAATAAATAAAAATGGTGCGTGGTGTGGCGTGGTCTAGACTCGAGCGATGTATCCATTTCCTATTTATTATATCTGTGTTATTAAATAAAAGTGTAAGTACCTTACATGATAAATAAGTAATCAATTAGTTACAAAAATAATCTTTGTAATTGTAAAGTTCCTCACCTAAATTGATTAAAGTTGGACGGGACGTCACAATAGGGATGACGACTGGGTAAAAAAATGCAATTCTATTTAGTCTGTCAGTCAGATAATAGAAAAATATTAGACAGGTATTTTTTTTTTACTTCAATTTAACAAGAAATAGCTTATATAATAGGCATTAAAGTTGAGGAGTGGGGGCTCGCTGCGTCACAGTTTAGTAGAAAACGTACCATAACGTGACGTCATGCGATATTTCGCTAACGCCGTAATTTTATGATTACGAAAAAAATAAAAAAGTACGTGTTTAATATTTTTTAACACACTACCTGACGGACAAACAAAGAAGAATTAGTCGTCATCCCTATTGATTGCAATCGATGTAGCTTTCAAAACAGGGCTGGATTTAGGCAGAATAATTTTAGTGGTCATTTATTTTAACGAATTACCAAAATGTAAATGATATCTAAGTTTATTTAAATTTGTGTCAAAAATGACTTAATTTAAATAAATTTGAAAAACAAACAGATTGAATAAAAAAAGATTACAATATAACAGTATTTTACAGTGAAAATGCCTACATTTAATCCAATATATTTAATAAAAAAAATATATGATCTGTAGTTATAATTGATTAATTATCTCTACAGCTGTAGGCATTAAGGCTCCAGCACGCGTAACATGACGAACTCGACAACGTTTTGTCTACACTCAAATGTCACTTTTCTCGGGTGCGCCCATACTATATCTCACTCTCAACCCGAGAAACTGACAAATGAGTGTAAACAAAGCGTTTCTCGAGTTTGTCATGCTACGCGTGCTGATAGTGTATAGAAAGACTTCAGCTGTTTGTTTACCTAAATAAGAAAATGCAAAAACATTTTATTTTTGTCATAAGCTTAATATAACTGGCAATACATGAATCGGGACATGGGCGCCGCGGCGCCACCGATCATGCCATAACTTACGTCCCACACCCCGCGCTTTCTCCGCAAGCCCTTTGTAATAGTTTAACATGATAAACTTTTATTGAAAGAATTTCTGAATAGATTTTAATTATGTTTAGTAGAATATGTTTAACTCAAAAGTCTGCTGCATATATTGCGTGTTATATTTATGCTTCATACATAATTATAAGACTATTGGTATGCAATATTTCCATGGAAATTTTCATTGAATTCAAAACAAAATATAACTAACGCAATATCAATTAAATTGTATATATCAAGTAAGTAATATCAATGAAATTGTATTTCATTGTTATTAATATTGATAAAATCATTTTTTTTATATTTATGGTCCATGTTTTCACATAAATATGAGTTTCCAAATATAATATTAGGATTTTTTTATTTTTTATGAAAGTAACAATGTGAAATAGCAAAGAAGTAACTTTTTTTTGAAAAAATGTAGATGGATTAATTCATACAGTAAAAAAGAAATAAATAATACCCTCTTAATAAAAAAACAGCTGTTATTTTTTAATGTTTCATCTTCATACAGAAACTTGGTATTTTGATCAGGCTAACTCTACAATGCACTATTTCACTACATACTGCATTTTTTTTTAATGTTTTTACTGCAGTACATACCTGATGAAATTAATGAATTCTGAAGAAACAAAAATATAGGTCTGTGCATTAAATAATTATATTTTTAAAGCTTTTCTTTGATCTTTAATAAGAAAGATCATCTTTCAGTTAAAAGTACCTTTTGAGGAGCCCTCAAAACTATCTGCAAATCTTCATCTGCCAAATCATTCAATTTGTTCCATTTCTGCAATGTTGGGCATTCAACAACTTGCACATATATCACAGCTGAATCGGGTATCACTATGCAATCTTTCTCTAGAAGGTACTGGTGCGCATGTGAAAATGTAGATAGAGCACCTGAAATTAAATAAGAATATCTCATTTCTTCTTAATATTTGAGCTTTTCATTCCAGGTTCTGCTCATAAATTGTTATCCAGGCACAGATACTATATGATTTCAATAGTTTCATACATACTCTTATGTTGATGGAGCAACTTATAATGTTTGTCAAATTCTATGAAATTCTACTTTGATTGCTCCATTTTTGACTCTATAGAATTTATTTCAAAAAATTTACTCAATAACCTTGATGGATGAATTTATTATCTTCACAATCTTTAGGTGATCATCAATCATGATAAGGTTGTTCAGCAGTAAAAATATTAGTAGTAAGTGACAATATAGTAATACTAGATATTCTAATAGCTAGTATGCAATAGCTGCTTCCAATTTCATAGGCATAATGCCTAATGGCGAAACAATAATAAATAAAAGAAAATACATTTGATGTAAATACTAAAATAGTGATTAAAGGAGTAAAGACATGTTCCACCTTAAAGCCTCTTTACTTTATCTATTTTGTTATTTATGATATTGTGATGAAAAGTGACTTGATAGTCTAATGAAGTCACTTTCCAATTTATATAAAATTCTTGTGTTCTATTATCATGACTACTAGTACAGCTAGGTAGCCTAGGAAATCAATATCTTTTTCAATTTTAAAGGGGCAAATACAATGCAAAGTAAAATAAATTATATTAAAAAAATTCACCTTCTCCAATGAGTTCTGTATCAAAAACCTCAGTAACCAATATGTTAGCTTTTTCCTTCAAGTCTCCATCTACTCCAACGGTCAGCTCAGTAGAACGCTTTGGGATAACTGTTATTTTATCTGCGACTCCATTGTGTTCTAGTATTTTAAGACAACACTCAGCCATAGGTTTGAAAGCTTCACATGCAACAATAGAGTCTGCACCACATCTGGCTGCCATTATTGACAGTAAACCTGTACCAGTACCTAGAATTTTGTTCAATTATTTTTGTTACTTAATATTGCTCTATGCAATGAATAAAACTAAACTTTTGATAATTACCAATGTCAAGAACATTAGCCTTCTTTCCTTCACTGTGCATTTTTTCAATAGCTAATTGAAGGGCTCTATAATATTTTTTGTTCCTTTCAGTATCATGTAGCATATCAGCAAAAGCTGATCGGGCAATTTCTTGGTGAAAATCATAATCTTCATGCTGCACATCCCATTCTGTATTTCCTGTAATAGGGTTTCTCTTCTGCGTAAACACCTGCATTGTCACTTGCGACAAAGTAAATAAACTTCTATATCTACAAAAACAACTGTATAGTTACAAAACTAAGTTTAAAAGCCGGTCTGCGATGCGAAACGAACTTTATGGATATGGAACCATTTTTACCGTTCAAGTGAACATGCAAAGATGCAATCACGAAGTTTGAATACAACTCTGGTATTCCGAAAATAATACCGTCGCATCAATTCAGCTGCAATAATTCATAATACTATTTTTTTCATTTTTAAAACAGCACAGCGAAACATAAGAAAAGAAAATGACACACCAAGTCGCTGACATAACACTGACATCGACTTCTATGCCATGACAGCCGACCACAGACTTAGTAGGTATCACCTGGCTAGGTAAAGTTCATTTTTGTATAAGATAAAGGGATGTAGCGACTAACTCATTTTGCTTAAGAATCAGAGTATGTTCCTGATAACTAATTACATCTCTATTATGTTGTCGAAGGTGTTGAAAGTGATATTAAGAATAATTTTGAACATTTATTCATCATGGTTTAAGAGAGTGTACCAGCCAGATATGTATTTGAGTGAAAAATGACTTAATCAAAGAGCAAAAAAGAGACAACTAAAAAGACAGATTTCATAATTTGTCACTCATTTAATCTGACATTTATAATATAAATCAACAAACACTATATCCAAAAGAAATTGATGAAATCAACATTTCTTATTTATTGTACAGTTTTGTATTCGTGTAATAAAATTCAGTGAATATTTTTTCAATGGCAGCTATTTTGTAGATGTCACTCGCTTCGTCTTTCATTACGACGTTTTACTATCATGGCGGCTGCCGTCGGTAGAATTTGTGGGGCACGACTTTTCAGAAATACTGGCATAGTTGGCCCCCAGGTACTTAAATTTGTTACAGTTTTGAAAATGATCTTATAATATCATAAATTAGTGCAATCACAGTACTCTACTATTCACCAAAATTGAGGAAAATAGTGATAGGCTCGACGAGACAGCGGGTGTATTTTATCAGTTTTCATGTAATTCTGGAGGAACTTATTGGCTTTTATCAAAAAGTGAAGTTGTGAGAGAACATACGAATCTTAAGAATGATTCATGTGCACATAGGAAAAATCCAAAGACAGTGATAACCTTTTCAGCATTATGTAACTTGTTCATGAAATCTAATGAAGACTGTACATTACAGGTATGTCAGCTGTCCACTAGTGCTCAAGGATGGACAAGAAATAGAAAATTGGTGAGCAAACTTACATTATGACTCAGTCACTTTTATAATTTATCAGTTAATTTAAGTAAATTCAATACAAACACCACTTGCACCATGCTCAAAATAATTCCATTCAGGAATTTTAATTCACTAGATAACTTAAACTTAATTCAGGATGATTCCTTTGCTAGAACTGACAAAGGATCATAGTTCATACTAAAAGTAACATAATTGGTTTGTAAGTAATTAATAATTATATTATTTTCCATACATCTGCAACAATTCAGATCATAAAACAAGTGTTGTTTTGTTTATAGTTACTTTCTACATTGGGTGTTGTGGGAGGTGGAGTAGGAGCCCTGCTCTTTGCTCTAGAACAGTCTGTGCAGGCATCTGGCAGTGAAGCACACCCCCCTCACCAACCATGGAGTCATGATGGCTGGTTTAAATCTCTGGACCATGCCAGGTGATCACTACATATTATGTAAAACAATCCATGTGACACATCTATTCATAGGGTTAGCCAACTGTACTCTAAAATAGAGTATTCTGCTCTACATCATGTAAGACTACTCATATAATGTTTAGCATAGAGGATGCTAAAACATTTTTTTTTTCACACTATTTGTAATATTAGGTTTCAGAATGTTAAATAAACAGTATACTATTTCATTATATATGCATGTGATAGGCTTAAAAACTATCAAAAGCTTTCATTCAAATTTGACAATGTTTTGTTAGATGTTTGTAAATAACAATGATAGATGCTAATGCATCTGATAAAAGTCTAGATTGCAGATAGGGAGATGAAAAAAAAAATATTTGACTACTGGATTGAATGTTGTCCTCAGGAAGGTTTAGATATATAATTTGTTTAGGTTTTGTGTAAAGTCACGAAAATATATCAATGAAAATGAAGAAACATTTAGAAATTGACTATCACATGTGAAAGGGCTGTTAGTTACTCTTCTTTGAACTTCTTAAAGATAATCCTAAAATTTTGTATCACCATCAATTTTGTTCATATATCTTTATACATATAACAAATTTGCAAAGGACAGCTTTAAAACAGAATTAGTCATTTAAGTAACTATAGTTTGTGCATTAATATAATGCAATATACATTTTTGCCCTGTAAACTAGTATTAATTTGAACACCAATTAATTAGCTACAAATTTAGTCTTGTTACAGTGTTGCATAATGTTTTGTGTGCAACATTATTAATTCGGTCATTAATATATCATTCATATCTTACCTAAATGGTTATAGGAAGTTGTTCAATTATTGCTTAGCTCAGTTGAACATTTCCAATGCATTAATTAATAAAAAGAATAAGCATTGCAATAGGGATGACAACTACATTCTTTTTTTGTTTGTCTATTTGATAGACAAACAAAATATTGATATACTCTATCAGGTAAATTGTTGAAAAATATTAAACATGTCTTTTTTATTTTTAGCATAATCATTAAAATTTGACAATACATTCAGTTAAAATGTCACATGATGTCACGGTTTTGTACATTTTCTACAAAACTGTGATGTAGTAAGACCCCATTCCTCAACTTTAATACCTGTTATATAAGCTATTTCTTGTTAAGAGCCATATTACATTTTGCATAAAATGGTAAATTTGGCGTTCTCAATCTGGGAAACCAAAAAATCTCAATGATTTTGACATATTGAATAGTTTTTTATTTTTTATTTAACTTTTTATTAAACCCAAAATACCAGAGAACTATTTTTGTCAAATGTACGAAGACATATTTTGAGTTCCTGGATTGAGCTACTGTTATAAACAAATGAGTTATATTTTGAAATAGCACTATTTAAATATAAAAAAAAAATCTTATTAATAACTTAAATATTGCTTGAAGTTAATATAATATTATTATCCAAATTTAAAGATTTTTAAGCACAAATTTGTTTATTTAAATAATTAACAGTGTAACAATGCAATTTTATAATCATTTTATTTTATTTGAATAAGTGTTACGTTTTGACAAATCCTTTTCAACCATAATTTTTCAAAACTCAACAGATCACACGACATTGGTATTGAAAATTTTACAATTTTTCACCTCAAGAAATAATCAATAAATGCTGTATTATAAATACTATGGTATTGAGAACTTGTGACCGTAGACAGGTGGTACCTAATCTCACAGAGTGCAAATTTGTAATAGGGCTCTTAAATTCAAATAAAAAATATATGTATCTAATATTTTTCTATTATTTGACTTAGACTTAATAGAATGTCTATTTTTTTTTTACTTAGGAATTATACCTATTACTTACCTAACACAGAGGTACTAGGGAGTAACAATTTAAACTAATTCCTGTTCTTTCCTAATCTATGATCTACCTAAAATATATCACCATTTTTGGACATAATATTTTGAATAATAACTGAAAAATTGATCAATATAATTTGTTAAGTGAGGAAATGATAAAATATGAATTTTAATATCAATAATGTTTAATTAATTAGTATCCGACGTGGTTATGAGGTCTACAAACAGGTGTGCAAGGCGTGTCACTCACTGCAGTACATTGCCTTCCGAAACTTGGTTAATGTCAGTCACACTGAAGAAGAAGCCAAGGCTGAGGCGGCAGAGGTATGACTCTTTAAGAATATAAAAAAACATGACCTTTTTATTTTTTTTATATTTAGATGTGTTTCAACAAAATCTCTATTCAGTATTAAATTGTAAAACTAACTTCAGTCAGAAATGAGACTTATTAGTCTCATATTTGACACAGATTAAATTTCTTAAGATTCAGCAGTTTGACTATTTTGATTATAATAAACTCATTGATCTCAGGTGTTTAAAGCTTCTTTGTCGTTTTAACAGGGAATTAATGAATACATTTGATAATACCATATCATCTATGCCTTTGTGTTTACTTATCTTTAGCTTGCCTATCACTATTTAGTAGAAAGTGGATATCAATAGCAATTTTTATATGTCCTAGGTAATGATAAAAGATGGCCCAGATGAAGAAGGAAACTTCTTCGAAAGGCCTGGCAAACTCTCTGACTACTTCCCGTCGCCATACCCTAACGAAAATGCTGCTAGAGCAGCAAACAATGGTAAATATTTTTATTTTGTTCACATTTATTATATGCATACATATACATAAAGTTTATATTGCATATGTTGTTAAAGTCTTCAGTTTTAACACTCAAAGCTCCCAAGATGTATTAAATATAAATGAAATGAAATAAAATATCTTTATTCAAGTAGGCTTATTACAAGCACTTTTGAATCGTCCAAAAAAAATTTTTTCTCTACCACTTGTTCAGGATGTCTTTTAGCTGACAAGAAGAACAAGCGAAAGAAACTTACCAGCTCTTTATCATAATCTTTATCATAAGTTATGACAGTTACATAAATTATGTCATTACCAAAATAATATGTATTATCACAATAATAAATACAAATTTCAAAATCTGTAGGTCATAGGTTGAACATATAATTAGACATATAATTATTTATAGTTTTAACACTATTATACAGTTTAAATTCAATAAGTGCAAAATAAATTAGGTTAACAGTCCAAGATAAGTAACTAAATCCCTTGTATTTTATGGAATATCTGGGACAACGTATGTGCTATCACACCCTGACCCGAAACCATATAGTTATAGTTTATTTTCTACATTGACCCAATTGGCAATCGATTTTGCGACCCCAGACGTAGTACCTGTTGATTAATACCAGATTGAAATGGATTCCAAAATTGTGATCTGATCACGATAATATTTTGTTGTTCAGGTGCGTACCCACCGGATTTGTCGCTGATATGTTCGGGCCGTAAGGGTGGCGAGGATTACATCTTCGCGCTGCTCACCGGCTACATGGACCCACCCGCTGGCGTTACACTGCGAGAAGGACAGAATTACAATCCTTACTTCCCAGGAGGAGCCATTTCTATGGCACAATCACTCTTTGACGAGGTACGACTCTACTATGGAAAGAATAATTATTATACCACCATATTTATTTTACCGTTTAACACAAGAATATCTTAGAAATGTCTTTTAAATGAGGTATGAATAGGAGCGGACTTTTCCCTGATTATAATGTACATCGGCAACACTAAAACATGCTTTTGTGACTTGTCTGTAACTGCAACTTCTTCCGTTGGCGACTGATTAATTAACTAGGTCCATGTTATAAGTCGGTTTCATTGAAAACATTGACTCAAGGATGTCTCCTTGAGTCAATGTTTTCAATGAAACATAGACATAGACATCCAACCTAAAAAAAAGTATATTTTCACACTTAATCCCCTGCGGATTCCGTACCGAAAAGGTAAAACTACTATGATTTCGCTGTTTGTCTGTCACCGGGCTGTAATCTCATAAACCATGAAAGTTAGTAGAAAGTATTTTGTTGTTGCTTCAACACCAATATTAAAAATCAAAATGAAATAAATATTTAAGGGGGCTCCCATACAACAAACATGATTTTTTTGCTGTCACCAAAAGGTATCACATCTACTGTGATGGTTAGTTCAAATCCTTACAGATAATGTATTTCTGTTGCCGAAATAAAGAAATACTAAAAAATATAGTAAAACCAATATTCAAGTGAGTCCTGCGTGCGCGACTGCGACTCTCATTTGGCCTGGTTTTTTTTCTTGCTTTATTTAAAGACAGACTAAGACAACGTGTAGTAACTAAATAAATAAATCGACAGGCGGCTGAGTACAGCGACGGCACGCCGCCGACGGCATCTCAGTTGGCCAAGGACGTGGCCACTTTTCTCCGATGGTGCTCGGAACCAGAGCTGGACGACAGACGACTGATGATGATCAAGGTCATCGGCATGTTCTCCTTGCTGTCAGCCGTCGTATACTACTTCAAACGACACAAGTGGGCGACGCTCAAGTCGAGAAAATTAGCCTACAAACCCGTTTCTAAGAAATAAACGCAGCCATCAAAAATTGTAGAATAAACAAAACGTTTTTTAGACATTTTTTTTCGATAGGCACAGTATGTTATTTGTTTATAATTAAATTAATTTATTTTATACACCACGCGTTTACTTCTAACTTCGAGTTCTGGAATCGTGTTGTAAACTGTTACCGAACATACTGTAAGATTTGTTTTCGTTCAATTAAAACTATGGGCGATGCATATTTGCTAATGTATTTACTGATTATAGCGCAATTTTTAGCTCTGTGCGACTGATAATAACTGCACAGTTAAGTTAATAACTTAGGTGGTCTAATGTTAACTGTGCTTGTGATGTTCCATGAAAGATAAACTGTGAATCAGTGTACAGTTGAATAAATGAGTTATGAATAAGTTGAGTATATTTTTTTAAATTTCTAATTACTACATAATGTAACTGTAGCTTGCCTCCGATCATTATTTTTTCTCATAAGATCTATTTATGTTAAACAGATTTTGAATGAGGTTTAACATAAATAGATAAAAACAAGTTTAAATATTTCGAAGTTAACAATCAATCTAATGAAAAAAGGTATGACCCAAAAGCTCTTGTCCACCACGTAAATAGAGTCACTTAAACCGCCCGACGTTATCTATTTCGACTCGGCCCTATGCTGGGCCGACATAGTAAAATGGCCCTTAAAAATAGGCGGATGCTTTACAAAGTCTGCATACGTCTCGTACCTCTACCGTATTCGCCCACACCAACCCTTACTTGGACTGGACTCCTGGACGCCCAGCAGGCAGATCCGCTCCTGTCGTCGTCATCGTCGTCGCCCCCCCCCCCTTGCGAGCAGGCAACCAACTGCCCAAGGCAGTGTTTAGTCAGTAGGAGTCTGACATAACCTCACAGCGCATCAAAATCGGTTCAGCCAAACGCGAGATAATCGCGAACAAACCTACATACATACAGGTCAATCTCAGAACCTCTTTTTTTGAAGCGGTTAAAAACTGATACTTTCATACAAACTTTTAATGCTTATTCCACCCCCTCGGGATTGAATTTCCGTAAACCTCTCGTAGTGTTTTCTCCACAAATAACTCTACTGTCTAAAGATCATTAACCAATCTTTCATAGTTAATGCTAAGAAAAATAAAAAATCAGTTATTTGATAAAAAATATTGTATAGATTTATGTATTTTTTCTACTCGTAATGTATCTTTAACAACAAAACACAACTTAGTAAATTAGTTTATATTTCGTTTAAATTACAAATAAATTTTGAAAAAAAATATAATGGGCATTTATATTTTTTTTCAGTGAGCGGGAATTTATGGGCGCTTATCGGGAAAACATCCACTTCGCCCAAAACGCATTTTTCCATCGCTAGTCACAATCTCATCGAACTCGTAAGCCTTAGGGCGCATGTGCACTACACTTAATTTTCAGGTCCGGCGGTCCGATTTTTTCCGGTCCGGAATGACATGAAAAACACGGATGAGTAGCTTGTGCACTTGTCCGTTTTTTCCTAATTGGAGCGGCGCAGTGTAGGGCAGCTCTCTTTGAAGCTATACGTCACTTATGCTAGGTACGATGAGAGTTTTGGAACATCGGCTTGTTTCTGAAGGCAGTTGAAAAAAAGTATTTGTATTATGCAGCAATGGTTGTGCAACACCTTTCAAACTGAAAGCGATTGCAATAGATTTAAAATTAGAAAATCAGGGGGCGGATCATTTTTAAGTGACATAATAATTTTAAAGACTTCTGCTTCATCCACAGGCTTTAAATATTGGGTTTAATCTTTCTTTTAAACTTCTGATTATAATTTTCTTTTTCTTCTTTTTTGGCAATCTGCACATTAAAGTCATTAAAAATCTTGTAACACTTAAAAAAAAGGTTTATTAGTTAGTTATTGTTGTTGGTGGGTTTAGGGCCCGTAAGAGCGTTAACAGATGGGTAATAAAACCAAAAAAAAAATTATAATAAACGTTTACTACCCAAAAAGTAGGGAGACATGAGATCTCAGGGTTAGGGTTCGACGGGAATCCCGCAACGTGGATCAGTATATAGATTAGGTACAATTTTATATGGCCCTAGTCTACCGTTCGCAATAGCTATAGTATGACCGTTTAAATGAGTCCTCGCCCGCGCGGTACAGGGGCGCGGGGTATGACGACAAAGGGGACCGAGAGAGAGGCGGGCGGCAGGCGCGCGCGCATGAGACGAAATGCACACTAGACAGATCCTAAGATATGTGACGTCATAATCCACTATGACGTCACATATCATAACGGTGAACAAATTGTGATTTTTTTATTTGAAAATCAATTGATGATTACATAAAATTTAAAAGAAAGAAAATGTAACTTGTGTAGGTAAATAAATAAAATATTTAATAATAAACTTTTGTACTATTTATTAAATACAAGAATTATCAAAATTATAAATCAATCACTTATGTCCATATCAATATCAGTGGAACTTGATTCTTCACTTTCAAAGCTGCCGTCATCAGAATCATCAGAGTCGTCCTGAGTGTTAATAATAAAATCAACAGCATCATCTTGAAGTCCGTCATGTTTACAGTACTCGTCCTCGATTTTAATTACGTGGTTAACACAATGCTCCCACTTCTCTTTGGAATATTCAGCAAATAATCCCTCTAATGTAATTTTTTTTGGTCCAAATTTGAGTCGACACTTTTTTGTGCTAATTGTCCCTTAATATCACCCCAGACCATCTCAATAGGGTTCAGGTCTGGGTGGTATGGAGGCAAACGCAACACTTCATGTCCGTTTCTCTTCAACAACTCGTCAATTTTATAAATATCTTCCGTTTCTGTATTTTTAATTAATTTAAATAAGTCATCCTTTCTAAGCTCATCATCAAAAGCCACGCCTTGTCGTCGTAACCATGTTTGCATAACTGCCTTGGTAGAAGCCATAGTCGGCTTTTTCTCTTCTCGAACCGAATGGTAAGCTGCGTTATCCATAACGATGATAGAATTTGGTGGTATATTAGGCATTAGCTTTTCATTTATCCATTTACTGAAATTAACGAAATTCATAGAATCATGATAATCACCTGTTTTACATTTGGATTTAAATATCACAAGTGCTCCGTCTACAAATCCAGTTTGACCTCCGCAATGAACGATGATCAAACGGTTCCCTTTACCGATATGAGATAGCACGCCATGTACATCCTTTGATTGCCAGCATTTTGAAACGTTATGAGACGCATTTACATAAGTTTCGTCAAGATATAAAATATGTCGTCCTTCTCTACGATATTTTTTAATAGTCTTTAGGTATTTCCACCTCCACGATGTTATATTTGGCTGTTCAATAAGAAGTTTCCTTTTAGAACCGCACTTCTTAAATTTAAAACCAAGATCATGTAATAACAGCCTTAAATATTCCCTGCCGCAGTGTAATATATTCTCTTGTCTAAGTACAGCATTCAAAGTTTTCAGAGTAGGTATATTTTTTCAATTGTGTAAAACTGAGTCACTTTTCTTCTTACCACTCCTTTTGTGAAATCGTCTATTTCCACTCTTTTTCTGCGAACTCGTTTCGGTTTTCTCGGTGAGGTGAATCTTTCGTTGTCTTTCAATAATTTCCCTTGCTGTACATGTACATGTTCTAGATACAGTCTTTTCCGATAGCCCAGTAACTTCTGCTACGGTTTTATTTAAAGGTATGTCTTGTTGATATTCAACAGAATTTCAAACAGAATATTTTTGGTCCGAAGCCAGCGCTTCAGCACACAGATGTTAGGTAAAATTGATGATCATCTTGAAGCTTCCCAGGGGTGGGAAGGAACCCTAAATGAAATTAAAAATATTGTCACGGCCATCAGGTTGGCTGCGACATCACTGGTCTTCAGGCGGTGCGAGGTAAAAAGCAGGAACAGATGGAATAATGTCATGGGTATTGATCAGTGATGAAGCAGACAAACAGGCAAGATAATTAAGCAAATAAAAAGTGGTGTGCATTTCTCGTTAAATAAAAGTAATAAGTGGGTATTTTGAAATGCCACACCCAAAAGATCATTCTAGATTTGACTAGGTAAATAATTTGCAAGGCGTTCAGATGGGACTAAAACACGCCCGTTAATAAAAAGAAATTACATAAAGATACAATATATTGTTGAGAAACACAATATAAAATTTAGACAAAAAAAAAAGGCTAAACTGATTAGAAAATATGCAACACTTACCCAATACGGGGATATCACTTCGATAAAGTTAATTAATAAAATATAATGATTAAAACATTAATTTTACGTTCGCGGCTACAGCAGCCGCGAAAGAATATTGAAAGACTATATGTTGAGGTTACGCTGCCTTCGGTTGAAATGTATCACAAGGAGCGCGTTCACAGGTTTTGTACCTTTCATAAAACTGGATTGCGCCTGCGACGCGGAGAACATTAGCTGCGAGCAAGACATGTTGTCAAACCCTTCGCCGTTTATCTATATAGAAAATTATTGGTTTGTCAATCTTCGGACAACAAATTTTATAGTAAAATAAATGTATACGTTTTATAAAATATAAACCGTTACAATCTCGCAAATTATTTTTAGGTCATTTTATATACTAAATTATTAAAATTAATCGACTGATTTCATTATCATTCAAACGGAATTGAAAAATATCAATTGATCGTTTAAAAAATATCGATAATTTTATACAAGTCTTTCTCTTTGGTCAGTTCAGGCAGGCAGCTACCCTATATACAATATTAGTCTATGCAGTCAGCTGTTTTCTGTCAAAATAAGACGGGTCATTTTTTTGGGTCTAACCATGGTCTAACCGTTTTCCTTTGCCTGTTTTTGTCAACGAACATTAATTTAAGTGTGACTTTTGAGTTAATTTTTCCTATAAACCTCAATTATTGTGATACTGGACAGATGAATGCTGTTATCGGCCTGTGTCATTTTTGCGAAGCCCATGGCCCTCGTCCTCTATTTTGTACATTTACAACGGATAACGAAAATCACACAAAAGAATATTCAAAGCCTTCAGTAGAATGTACGGGATGCACTTCCCTTGGTCCAGAAACAATACTGGTGTCGAAAGATGACGACGGTACCATTTTCTGTAGCAGAGAATCTGTATTAAATACTGATGTCACTGCGTTCTTAAGACAAGCTGCTATAAGGAGTATCACTTGTGAAGTATGATTAATTTTGCATTTTATTTCTAAAATGAGACTATTTTTGTCAAATGTTAATTGGAGCCAAATAAAGGGTGTCTAATATAAATATTAATATCGTTTGAATTATTAAGACAGAATAATAATAGATAAGTACTGTATGTTACCTTATTTTATCGAAATAAATAGCTTTAAATTTTCAGGTTAGTTGGAGCAAAGAAGGTGGAATTGTATACTTTAGTGATACACAAGGTCATGTGCTAAGCCTCAATTTCCAGATCAAGGATACAAGAGCACGTGGTTTGAAACGCTGGTTCTCCATTGTAGTACTTATGAAGGATAAGATGTTATTACTCAATATTACACCGGTTTTATCTGAACACATGCAGGTAATCACATCTTTATTAATCTTTTGTCAGTTATAGCCAGACTACACTACACTAAATTATTGCATTAATGTAATATCATTATTTTTAATTATACCAGAAAATAGCAAAGGAATTGCAACAGTCTGCTGAAATTGTATATGACAAGGAACAAAAAGTATGTACACAAAGAGCACTAAGACTAAGAACTGGCCGAAATGATTTTGGACAATCGAGGTCTCTCAAACAACTAACAGGTAATTTGTTTTGCATAGAAATATATCCTCCATGAAAATAATCTCATTCATAATAAACTTATGTAATATGAATATGTAAAGATCTAATATTGCATTTTAATTGATAGGTGATGAAGATGTATTTAAGAGATTACACACACATTTCACTTGGATGTTAAAAGCAGGAGCCTTAACATACTCAGAGACTCTACACACAAGTGATAATATGCTCAAGAGACTTAATCCACAAATGGTCAAGAATACAATTTTCAGTACCAATGCATGTGACGTGCTGTGTGATAATGAATGCATGACCTTAAGAGCTTTGGAAAATATGTTATCAAAATCTGTTTTTAGGATTTTGCTGTACTGCACACTTACAGGAGTTGATGTAAGATCATTTCTTTTATTAATACTTATCTTGTTATAAAAAGATGATAAAAGTTACTACTTGGTTAATCCAACCAGCCACCAAAAACAAATTGACAATGACAGAAGAGAAAACATCAAATTGAGACATGTTGACTTAATTTCATTGGATTATGGTTTAAACCTGGTACTAAAGTTAGCTCTTGTTTTATTATTAGATGGCCAAAGTTTATATTATAATGTTAAGATTACTGTTTCTCATATAAATATAAAATTATCTTCTTTTAGATTTTTATAAGACCAAATACAGCTGAAAAAGATACTATTATCAATGCATTGAAGAGATTAACACCTACAAATCAAAATTATCCAAATGTTTCAGTGGGTGATGATAATTGCAAACCAATTCCTGTTGATAACATTTGTATTTTGGAACGAACACAAAATAGCTTTAGTTGCACATGGTCTGGTGTAGTACCTAATAAATGTAAGTCTCCACTCAATCTAATTGCCAGGATCTTTTCTTTTTGGGTTTCCATAAATTTTCGTGTTTTTGCTGTATTCAGTGTTTGATTCAATTTAATCAAATTGTGAACATTAAAATTTACAAATTCCATTAAATTTATTTTATAATTGTAGGTCCTACTTTAATGGGCAGAATAGAGTATGCCATAAGTAATCCAAAATTCAATGATGCAGTACTTCATCAACATGTTAAATCATTAACATTAGAATGGCTAGGGTAAGTGATTAATTATACATAAACAGCTTATGATTGTTTGTAGTTTTTCTTTGAATGTTTGGTCAGAGCATTTAATTTTGTGTATTGATGTAGTGAATAATAATGATATTTGTTTTAGGATCGTGAAAGCAGTAAAATCAGGAATAGATGCATCAGGACCAAGATCAGATGCTGTGGTGAACTTGAAAAAGGTGTTTGGCATAACACCTCATGATGATATATTGGTTCGATTCTGGATCGATGCCTTCTGTACATAATATTTATTTTAAGAATGTGAAGATTGTATAAATAAATCTGTGATATTTCCAAAATGTCTTACTTTTGTGTGCTCAGTCATTAGTTAATGTAGCAGCTCCACCTTTTCGGATTTCAAAATGAAATTATGACGACTATTAGTTGCCACTAGGTCTCAGACTGATAAATAAAGAATTAAAAGACAACCTGAACTACATGCTTATAATGAATTTCAAAAAACTTCTAGTGGTGGCGCTGCCAGACCGACGTCGACTCAGCCACAGACTTATCTCCGAAACTTTTTCATTTGTGCCTCAGTTCGTAAGGGACTAGATGAGTAAATTCATTTGAAAATCAAGAGGTAGTGCTGCTAGCCTGACATACGAATCTACGAGACCAACCTAAATGAAACTATAAACTAATGTAAATTTTAATGAACGTTTGTGGAACAGAGGGTATGATATGACTGATAAATAAATCAATGCTTACCTCAGTTTTAGGATCTTCCTATAGCTACACAAACGAGTCTAGCAGACTATTATCATCGAAACTACCTACGTTAACTTTGCCGTTCAATAACGGACTGATAAATAAATCAATGCTTAACTAAGTTTTTAGAATCTTCCTATAGTTTCAACAAACGAGTCTAGCAGACTATTATCTTCGAAACTACCTACGTTAACTTTGCCGTTCAAAAACGGAATGATATATATGGGACTAAGTAGATTAATAATTCATTTCAAAATCGAAGAGGGTAGTGCTGCCAGCCTGACACCCTAGACTTTTCGACTTGGCGGTGACTAAAGTAAATATTTTGGGATAAGCTGAGGTCAGCTCAGCAGTGCCAAAAGTTCTAGAACATACTAGTAATTCAAAAGCTCAGTTCTTTTAAAACATCAAGCAATTTTAGCATACATATTTTTAATTTTCCATTTCTCTAAAGATAAAATAATGATCTTAAAAGAAAAAAAACACATTTATATTTGCAGTCCTTATATTAAAGATTACACATTAGAGCGACGGCTCGCCCTAGAACGCTCATGTCCCTTGGACCGTACGTAAGGCTTAGTATGTGAGCGCGGAGCTCCCGGGGCCGGACCGAAGTGGCGAACTGCCTCCCGAGCATTGCGCTGTCCTTGCACCAACACAGTTTTTCGGCCGGTGGGAGCACGAAGGGCAAGCTGGTCAAATGTCAAGATTTCTCCTGAAATTAAAGAACACACAATTTGGGACTTGTATTCAATTAAGTTTTAAGATTAGATTTTTGAAATAGATCTCATTAATATTAGTTTGTATTGCACTATCCCTGACAAAATTTAATAAAATAACAGTGATGTTATTAGAACTTATGATTTTCAAGCATTATGTAGTTTGTATGTACACATGTTTAAGATATTAGATATAACTGTTGTTTTACACTCAGACAGTTTCACCTTATGAAATGGTAGGTCTATCCTAATTGTTGTTCATTTGTCTTAACAAAGCTGCAAACTTTTATGAATAGCTTAGGAAGAGACAAAATCTCTCTATAAAAATAATATATAACCAATATAAAATATATAACCTATAGATAATGGTTCAGAAAAACATTAAGAAGCAAACCTCAATATATTAAGAAAATGAGACAAATGAGATTAAGTCTTTTATTTTATAGATATACATGAAATATATTTAAAAAAAGAAAAAGAGTATGAGAGAGACGTGTACAATAATAAACATGAATGTGCTTTCTGTATGAATACAATGATATGATTTTAGATTCAATGATATGATTTTAGATTCAATAAAGTAGATAATCCATTGATATTTAGATAAATGTTTTTTAACTTGATCTTGATATATACAAAATATGAAAATTGGTGAAGCTTTTGGGGGGGAGTATATATGGTAACTAAAACTGTTTAATACCACATACATATTTTACAGATCGCAGACATGTTAACAGAACCATGTCCAGAATGATCATTCATATTCAATCCATTCCAGGACATATTAAGCGCATGTCCACTGAGAACAGTTTCAGCTTGATACTTTCCACTCGATTAATAGCTTGTAGTAATACTATGACTAATAGAAAACAATAAAATGAAACATATGAAATCAACATACCACCAGCAGCCAAGATGCGGGCACGCGCCTTCTCTGTGACGTGGAGAGCAGCGACTGTCATTTTAGGTACAGTGTACAACCTAACATCATTTGTCACTGTTCCAACTACCACAGCAATGAGTCCCTCACGTGTAGGTTTCTTCATGTGACGAGCAAGACGTGATAGGGAGATTGGTGGCCGGTTGATGCGGCTCATAAACAGACGCCGCAGGACGATCTGATTGAACTTGGCATTTGTACGCCTGGCCAAGTATCTGTACAACTATCAACAATATAAAACATAGGTTATAAATCAAGCACTTGTCAAAATAAACACAAATTAGAAAATTACTCAATATATGATTTAAAATTATACGCTACGCAGTGATAAACAGTTCCAGTCAAACTTACTTTTACAAGCAGTCTCAGGTAAACATCCTGAGATTTCACTTCAGTACGCCTAACTTTCCTGTCGTGTTTATGATTGATGTCGATACCCTGAAATAAACAAAACAACACATTCTATAACTAATCTGTATTTGATATTTTATATTACACTTTCACTTCACTTCATCTTTGATCAGATTTTTATAGATTTTTCTGTATTTTTGCTCAGAAAACTCACCATCTTGACAACCGGAAGAAAAAGAGACTATAGACGATAAATCACTTGACAGTCTAATTTTTTTTTCGTGGTTCTGATATATTATGGCCCTGGAACTTGTATAATTGAGCAGGTAACTGTCAACATTTTCTGACAAAATGTCGCTAGTTCTAAAATAGATCTTTTTTATGTGAATCATTGCTTTAATGAGGAAGTATTTAAAAAAAAAAATTGTTCCCGAAATCACACTAGATGTCGATGCAGTACGTTCTTGATATCTCCATGACAACCTTACGGTTTTCTTTCATGTTTAAAAGTAAATTAGTTTTCAAAACTCAATAAACAACTATATTCTATTTGTACTTTTTAGTATTTGTATTGATATCTAAGTTTCGAACTTTTCATGTTTCAGTTTTTTAATATGTTAGTTAAAAGAAACGGAAATGACTGACTTTTGTCCATTCGTTTCCTGCAAAAATCAATTTTTGCTAGAATCGCCATCTAGTGATAGTGCTGTAGTATTAATATGTTGTCTATTGTTCATTTGACTTTGTCAATATGAATTCAGTATATGTCTAATGTAACTAATATTTTTATGTTGATTAAAGCCAATATTCTAATGATAAATTGGTTATTTCTATCAATTTAATCAACATAAAGAAAGCTGATAAAAATGTCGAAGGAGAAACCTGAAAGTTCTACGGAAGAAATATCAAAACAAATGTCAAATATGTCTCGCTATCTCCGACCGGAAAGATTTGAATCTGAACCGAATTCTGTGATGGCCGATCTCAAATGGAACCATTGGTTAGCTACGTTTACTAACTTTTTAAACGAAGAAGGTCCTCATATTTCTACTGAGTTGAAATTACGTTTGCTAATTAATCATTTGGCACCTACAATATTTTCCATAATAAGAGATTGTATTACGTTTGAAGATGCTATAAAATTATTAAATGATGCGTATATAAAACCTAAAAACGAAATATTCTCTCGTCATGTACTTTCCACAAGAAAACAACTGACAGGTGAATCGATAGCTGAATATATACAAATGTTAAAAAATTTAGCTCATGAATGTACCTTCAAAAGTGTTACAGCAGAAGAATATAGACAAGAATATATACGAGATGCCTTTATATCGGGGATAGGTTCAAAACAGATTCGTCAACGACTTTTAGAGAACAAAACTCTATCATTAGATGATGCTGTGAAGCAGGCCGTAACACTTGAATCCGCTGAGAAAGATAATAATGCAATTACCGAAAGCTCAGTTTTAAAGACTCAAATCAATGCTGTCAGTGAAATACCTTATTCAACATCGTCGAATGAGAATTTAGCCATTGCTACGCGACGGAAAAGGAGGTGTTTTTTCTGTGGATCGGAGAGTATTCACCAGCGAGTAAAGTGTCCAGCTTATAATGTCAATTGTCAATTATGCTCCAGAAAAGGCCACTTTGCTAATGTTTGTCGCTCTGCTAAGCAAAATACAAGTTTTTCGAACGCAATAATACACCAGGATAGTCACATAGAAGAAACAAATGACGGCACTGAATGTATTTCGGCTGCATTTCCGGGTAATCTGATAAAAGCAACAATTCCAGTCACAATAAATGATCTCCGAGCTGATGCTCTTATTGATACCGGAAGTTCATGTAGTTTTATCAACGCAGAGCTTGTAAAATCTATGAATATTAAAATGAAAAGAGTAACCCAAGCAGTATCATTCGCATCATTGAATCAGATGTCATACGTTAACGGACTTTGTCATGCTACAATAAAATTGAATGAACATAGTTACACGCGCCATCCATTGCTTATAATAAATAACCTATGTGCAGATGTTATTATTGGGCATGATATTTTAAAACATCACAGATCTTTAGAATTCAAATTTGATGGAGACAGAGAACCACTTCAAATATGCAATGTAATGCAGGCTTCAGTACCTCCAGCTACTATATTCTCTAACCTTTCGTCCGAATTAATTCCTGTTGCAATTAAATCGAAAACTTTTTCTGAAAATGACCAAAATTTTATTAAAGATGAAATTGAAAAATTGCTGAAAGATGGAGTTATTGAACCAAGCGTATCACCATGGAGAGCTCAAGTTCTAGTAACGGGTGGAACTACACATCGTAGGAGAATGGTGGTAGATTATTCCCGAACCATAAATCGTTATACTGAATTAGATGCCTTTCCTTTACCAAAAATTGATTCAATAATATCTAAAGTGTCAAGATATAACTATTTTAGTCAAATTGATTTAAAATCTGCTTACCACCAAGTTCCAATATTAGAGAAAGAACGACCATTTACAGCGTTTGAAGCTTGCAGGAACTTATATCAATTTACTCGCATTCCGTTTGGCGTCACTAATGGAGTAGCAGCCTTTCAACGAACTTTAGAGTACGTCATACAAAAAGAGAAGCTAAAGGGGACGTATGCTTATTTAGATGACGTTACAGTTTGTGGGAAAACAAAAGAAGATCATGATGAGAACTTATCAAAATTCATGGAAGCGGTTGCTAAATATAATCTAACTCTTAATAAAGATAAGTGTACTTTTGCAAGTGAAACTATTAATCTATTAGGATATACAATTAGTAATAACATAATTACACCAGACAAAAGTCGTCTAAAGCCATTAATGGATTTACCTTTACCTAATAATACTGCTTCCTTAAAGAGAGCACTTGGAATGTTTGCTCATTACTCAAAATGGGTGCCTAACTTTTCAGCTAAAATTCAACCACTCGTACGAGCAAAATTACCACTCAATACGGAGCTAAGTGACAGTTTTCAACAACTTAAAAGAGATATCGCTAAGGCAGCATTGATAAGTATAAACGAAACTGATCTCTTAACGATAGAAACCGATGCATCAGAATACGCTATTGCTGGAACCTTGTCTCAAAATGAAAGGCCAGTGGCATTTTTTTCACGATCATTAAATGACGCCGAGAAAAAGCATTCTTCTATTGAAAAAGAAGCCTATGCTATCGTTGAGTCTTTACGAAAATGGCGTCATTTTCTAGTTGGCAGACATTTTTTACTAGTGACAGATCAAAGATCAGTATCTTTTATGTTAAATCAGAGACATAACAGCAAGATCAAAAATGAGAAAATTGAAAGATGGCGGCTAGAATTGTCTTGCTTTAAGTATGATATAGTATATCGGCCGGGCAAAGAAAACGTTTCCGCCGATACATTGTCTAGAGTTTGCGCTAGCCTTAGTACTAACAAGTTATATGACTTACATAAATTATTGTGCCATCCAGGTGTGGTAAGAATGTGGCATTGGATTAGAACAAAGAATTTACCATACTCGATTAATGACGTAAAATCTATTACGGCGTCATGTCCTATATGTGCAGAAATTAAGCCGCGATATAATAATGCACATAGTCATTTAATTAAAGCTACAGAGCCTTTTCAACGTCTCAGTATTGATTTTAAGGGTCCTTTGCCCACGATTTCTCGTAACAAATATATACTCACGATAATTGACGAATATTCAAGATTTCCGTTTGCCTATCCATGTCCTGATTTATCTTCACAATCTGTCATTAAATGTCTTAAAGATTTATTCCTTACTTTTGGAGCACCCGCTTATATTCATTCAGATAGAGGAACGGCCTTTGCATCGGATGAAATGAAACAATTTCTAACAACCTATGGTGTTGCCTCAAGCCGTACTACTCCATACAATCCTCAGGGAAACGGACAGGTGGAACGCTTGAATGGGACGCTTTGGAAAACTATTCAACTCAGTCTTAAGTCAAATGGTTTAGATAGTTCATGTTGGGAACAAGTATTAAACGTCGCCTTGCATTCTATACGATCACTCCTGTGCACAGCTACCAATGAAACACCACATGAGCGTCTATTTCGCCATACACGTCGATCACCGACAGGGGATACTATACCTTCATGGTTATTGATTCCCGGTCCAGTACTAATGAAAAAGAACGTTAAAACATCAAAATTTGATCCTGCCGTAGAAGAAGTAGAATTACTTCATGGAAATCCTCATTATTCACATGTTCGCTTGTCTGATGGACGTGAAACCACGGTTTCAAATAGACAATTAGCCCAACTACCGACAGAGGACTATGATTCTGATGAGGAAGTCGATGCTGCAGATGTACCTGTTGTTACAGGTGATGTATCAGATAGTTTTCCTAGAGAGACTGACGCTACTGCCTCTCCATCTGGCACTCAAGAAGAAGGTACCGAGGTTTTGCGTCGGTCGTCACGAGATAAGAAGATGCCTGAATATCTTAAGGATTTTGTTAGAAACTAAATAACATGGGAGGGGTGAATGTAGTATTAATATGTTGTCTATTGTTCATTTGACTTTGTCAATATGAATTCAGTATATGTCTAATGTAACTAATATTTTTATGTTGATTAAAGCCAATATTCTAATGATAAATTGGTTATTTCTATCAAGTGCTTTTTTAGTGCTTTCGTTTTTTTAAATACCTCCTCATTTTGCGCGTAGTATCTCTTATTTATTAGTCTGTGATTCTGCGCATTTACAGATAATACAATAAACATGCATTTCTATATACATACTTACTATTATTCTAGTGACCAAACAAATCAGAAGGTCCTTAATAATATATATAATTTATGAAATGTTACTGAAATGTAATTTAAAAAAATATCTAAATTTTTTGTTTTACGCCAAACGTAGAATCTCAAACTACACAGGTAAAATAATGTATGGAATGGCCTTCAATTTTCTTTCTCACCTAATAAAACTACATTCAACTTCGAAAATTGAGTTATAATATATTTCAGCACTTTTATGTAGCCTATTTATATGAGCTTTCTTTTATTATTTTTTGATGCATTGATCTAAAGTTTCTTGTAAATCATATCGTAAAAAACATCATTCTATGTTATGATATTTACATTTTTATGATATCTCTGTTTTTAATATTCCCTCATTATCACTTGTGCTTTGAGAATCCGTACCCAATTGGTTAAAATTCCGCTGTTCTTCCGTCTGTCATCAAGCTGTATTTTTAAGACAGTCGAATAAAATAAATATTACGGTGTCTCCCATGCAACCACCATGACTTTTTTGCGTTTTTATTGATAATGGCTTTAATTGTCTTTAATTTACGAGACCCATTGTGCGTTTGACTGACTCGCACTTGACCGGTTTTTTAAACACACATGACTTCTATCTGCTAGCGTAGGAAAGACATATGGATGGCTTTCTTTGAATGGAATTATATCACCTGGTTACAAAGAAAGGGAAAAATTGTGGTGGTTCATATTCTGTGTGGTAACGTAGTAAATCATATTTTTTTCTTTATTTGTGCATATGTTCAGTTAACCACACGTCAAATTATACAGAACTATCAAATTTATTCACTTAATTTTAAACCTTAATACATTAAGAGTAGAGATCAAAATCAATTGCAAAAAAAATTACATATTTTGGTAACCTGACTGCACGGAGACTGCATACCTTATGTCCATACTTAGAAGACATTGTTTCTTTTTTTTAATAGAATCGAATCAATTTTTTTATTCTTCTCTAACTTCAATAGACAGAAAAAGTGTCTTTAATTAACAGTAGCTTCCGAACACAATATTAAAATTTGTGCAACGGTTATAAACTCTCCTGCAATAGTATATAATATCTGTAATAAACATTGTAGACCAAAGACCAAAATTAGTACTATCGTATCACAGATTAAACGTACTATAGCTCAAAAAGCATATACTTAGTTACAGGCAGGTTTTTTTATTTATGACATGTTGGCTCAGCATTTAAAAATTAACGATTAAAACAAATGAAATTATTTGTCTCAAAATATGTCATCGCGACAGATATCAAGTTTCGACCGCCGTTTTTTCGAAAGGCATGGAATTTAATACGAAACATCGAAAATTATCCAAAACTAAAAATTCTGTTCGTGCGCCTTCATCTGCTAAACCACGATTAACCAAAAAGAAGACTATAGTTCGAAAACGAAAATGTGTATGCCTCCCTGAAAATTATTCGGTAGTAGAGTTTCCGTCAATATGGAATGAGTTGCGACAAAACGGTCAACTTTGCGATGGTACGATCGTTTGTAGGGACATGAAATCTATTCGCGTGCATCGGGCTATATTATCTGCCGTAAGTCCATATTTTAAAGCTATATTTATAAATTCATTAAGAAAAGGAGAGCCAGAAGAGAAAGAGATATTTGTTGATGTTCCCAGTTATTATATGAATTTGATACTTGATTACGCTTATACGGGAACATGCATAGTAACTGCAGAAAACGTGGAATATCTGCTGCCATATGCTGATCAATTCGATGTTGTCGGAGTCATCCAACTGTGTTGCCAGTATCTTTTGCAAGAATTAAGACCACATAATTGTCTTGGTATTTTCAAGTTCGCAAGGTATTATTTCTGTGGAGAGTTGGAAAAGAAAGGAAAGTTATATATAAGACAGAACTTTAGCAGGATTCTTAAGGAATGTAATGAATTTAAATCTCTTACATTTGATGAACTGGAGGACATTCTAAGGGATGACGAATTAAATGTCCGTAATGAAGAAATAGTATTCCAAGCTGTAAAAACCTGGGTAGAATACGATATCGAAAACAGGAAGAGATATATACCTTCGCTATTATCTTGCGTGCGGTTTGGTCATATAAGTTATAAATATTTTAAATCAAAAATACTACAATGGCAGCCTGTAGTTGATGATTCGGTAAGTTACTGTATATATTCGGTTAGTTTGAGTATACGTTTATTTGCTTAACATAGTTTTGGAGCCAACGTTTAAGGAAATTGTTTACTAATTATATAAGATATTTTCCAGAACACTCAGGAAGCCTTATATCCAGCCGTGGTGTTTCATACTTTACTAGATTCAAGACCTGGAACAGAAGCTGACCTCAATGATCCGCTAGCAAGGCCACGAATACCATACGAGATACTTTTTGCGGTGGGAGGATGGAGTGCAGGAAGTCCAACAAGTTTTGTAGAAACTTATGACACAAGGTTGGAAAATTTTTATCCGATTTCAATTTTAAATATGGCGTCATCCATTTACTCATTGAATACTCTTATTTGCGGTGGGAGAGTTAACTATATTAAAAAATATGTACTTTCATCTACATCTACACTAATATTATAAAGAGGAAAACTTTGTTTGTTTGTTTAATTGTAATGAATAGGCTCAAAAACTGCTGGACCGATTTTAAAAATTCTTTCACCATTCGAATCCACGAGTAACGCTATATTTTATTTTGGAAAAAATAGGGTTCCGTAAGGTATTTTGGTTTTACGGACACAAGGTATAAAAACACCTAGGTATCTATGTGGAATGAGGCACAACAACCATTTTTTTTTATCTAAAAATCTTGATTTTTTTTTGGATTACATTTAACGTGTTTATTCATGCTATTAATCCTTGTCAAAATATTAATCTTGTATAAATAATATTTTATCACTATGTACAGTTTATGTAGATAATAGTTGGTCTTTGAATTATTAAAATTGGACGTTTGGTTTTGAAGTTATGGCGAAATTATAATATTACGATTTCTGCTGCACGGCCCGTTGCGTAGTGAGCGTTACCAAGGCGGAGGTACGCGTGCGGGAGGGGAGTTTAGATCTATGAGTAAGGTACCAGCGGACCACACGGGCGAAACCGCTGGCGGAAAGCTAGTTAGGATTGCCACTAACCGTACATTATTACTGTTTCTTCTAATACATGTTATGTACACAGCATTGCTCGAGTTAATTAATTTAGCTACAACGGCTAACGTATTTTAAAATATCCGGTAAAGTGCGAGTCGGACTTGCGCTCAAAGGGTTCCGTACCATTATTGAAAACCACAAAATTTTTTGTGATGGCGGCAATAGAAATAGACCATCTACTGTTTTACTAACACGATTTATCAAGCCTGGTGACAGAGAGATGGACAGCAAAATCTTAGTAATAGGGTTTTCTTTTTTAACTCTTTAGCTACGGAACTCTATAAACGTAAGATTATACGATATGTGTCATATATCATACTAAGGACTCATATTCCGAAGTCAGTTCAGTCTAAATTTTATGTAAAAGCTTTTGATTTTATAATTAGTTTTTATTTTTAATTTATTCCAGGGCTGACAGGTGGTTTCTTTCTATCCACATGGATTTAACGCCACGCGCATATCACGGACTGTGTACGCTCAACAACTTGATTTACATGATCGGTGGGTTCGATGGCAGTGATCACTTCAATACCGTACGATGCTACGATCCTGTAGCCAATACATGGCATGAAAGAGCCTGTATGTATCAAGCAAGGTGTTACGTTAGCGTCGTTGTACATGGTGAGACATCCATAAAATAATGTTATTTATACATTACTATTTAAAAATGATTTGAAAATATAAATTACTTAAAATGCTAATGATTATTGTTTTCATCGACGGTTACTGAACTGAACTAGCTGGAATACAAAAAAAATTGTTTATGGTTTACAAAACGAATTCTCTTAATTGCGCGGTAAAATTCAAATGGATAATATGTCCGTGTCATTTCAAATCAGATCAATGTTTGTATATATGTATGTTATTCAAAGTAAGATTACTTCTTTAATATGTAGTTATAATTACCCCACCGCTGGGCAAAGGCCCTCTTGGCTAAAATGAAATATGGTGAGCGGGTAGAACAGGCCATAACACTGACGGTGCAACAACAACAGCTGCAGATAGAGCCGGAGACAACAATTTAATTTTTAGTCACCCATCCTGTGATTGGCCTTTGCGTAACTGTTACTTAACATAAATATTGATCGAACATGCTAGCCATACGCCATTGTGTTCTTGAATATTGTCAGTAGTATTTATCTTTATATTTCTTTGACTGGCAGAAGGGTTGATATATGCGCTAGGTGGATATAATGGACGCACGCGCATGTCCTCTGTGGAGCGATATTATCCAGACAAAAATCAATGGGAGATGACCACACCGATGAACAAACAGCGATCAGATGCTAGTGCCGCTTCATTGAGCGGCAAGGTTCGTTTGTTTTGATCTTTTGTTACTATTTCCATGCAAAATCTACGTATAGATTTAGATATACATCTATCACAAATCCCTTACAAAATATTGTGGTAATATTTCTTAGAGGTTTGTTTCTTATTAAATAATGTTTGTTGTATTGTGAGAGTTGTAGCAACAAAGATATTACCTTTACCCTTTAATAAAATAATTGGATTTGTATAGGGTTATAACATGAGGTTTTAGAATTTTCTTCTATGTTAGAAGTCTTTGTCTCCCTTTAGCTTAAACCCATTTTTTCAAGATACACATAAAGCTTTATTTTTTAGATGTAGCAAATACCAAAATAATTTTTTACCAAAAAAGGTTTATTAATGTCATCAAAAGGAAAACAATAAACTTTATAGGTAGTGTTATTTGCACCCACAATGGGGATTATTATTGTTATATGAAATACGCTCACAGATATACATAGTGGGCGGTTTCAACGGACAAGAAGTGCTGAGTTCGGCGGAGGTTTTCGACGCGGACACGAAACAGTGGAGCTTCATTAGGTCAATGCTGAGCCCTCGGTCAGGTGTCAGCCTCATTGCTTACCGAGACTGCCTGTACGCGCTTGGCGGTTTCAACGGATACAGTCGACTCAACACAGGTAGCTTGGCTTTTACATAACAAAAAATAAACTGAATATCTTTGGCATATTTGTAAAAGAAAAGATGAAAAAAACTTAAAAAAAATAAACATGAAAAACGTACACTTTCAACGTTTGATTTTGGAATCAATATTTAGGTCGTTTATTTTTACGCCGCTTATAATTAATTTCAGCAATTTTGTACAGATTTTCTGCTCTGTAGGGATTAGAGATTACCAACTGTATAATCTTACTTTCAGTTTGGTGATGACTGGGCATCTTGACTACAACGTTACCGTTAATTAGTGATAACAGTAGGATGTAGTATGGCACTGTTACACTAGCCATTCTTAATGTATCATATCCTGTAAATCTCTCCCTCCCTATGTCGCATCACAGAACACAGAAAAGAGGTGTCGCATTAGGTTGATTTATATGAAAACAAAAAGCTGCTGATTATAAAAAAAAACGGCCAAGTACCTACACGAGTAGACACGCGCATGCAGGGTTCCATAGCATTATCCATAAAAACGAAAAAAAACACGTCGTTGATGGAAAGTTTTATGTTTTTTAGTATTTATTGTGTCATGAGATACAGCCTGGAGACAGACGGACGGACGGACAGCGGAGTCTTGGTAAAAGTGTCCCGTTAACCCTACGAACCCCTAAAAAGAGTTTATTTCAGTAGAAATTTTCCAAAGCCTCTGAAAACTCACAAAAATTAAAATCAAGGGACTGATATTAAAGCATATTATTTACAGTACTGTTTACCACTGTTAAAAAAGAAAATGAAAATAAAATGTCGTAAGTAAAGCAACGATGATTTACGTTAAGACACGTATTAAAGGGATAAGATAAGATAAGAGATAAGAGGGATTGATATTCCTAGGATTGATCTATCGCGATTTCTCATGTAGGTGAAAGATTCAACCCAAGCCGCGGTGGCGACTGGCAGGAGGTGACTGAAATGTTCAGTGCTCGGAGTAACTTTGCGACGGTGCTTCTGGACGATATGATATTCGTTATCGGAGGCTTCAATGGTAATCGACATAATTTGTTGTTACGATTTTAGCATTAAATTAGTCTTCTACAGTGTTATTATTAAACAAGGTTTAGTTTTGGAGTAAATTCACGTTGAGACTGTACTTTGTATTAGTCACAATTCATATTATTAAACAGAAACTTAGCAAAGGTGAACCTAGTACGAGGTTTTACGGGAGTAATATTTACTCCTAGAAAGTAATAGGTTTGCTTATTCTCTGTAATATATGAATTTGGACATTAGTCTATTGCACTATTTTTATTATTATTTTATTCAATATGGACTTAATGATATGCAATTATGATTTCACTCATTAATCTTACATAATATCTTTGGTTCCTCGCTAATCAATCAAACTTAGGTCAAAGCTGAAAATCGGCAGTGTGCTTGCGTTAAGTAAACATTTTGCCGAGCTTTTGTCCTTTTTGCATCGTCCCGGCATACCTGTGGCCCGGTGTATGTTTTAAATAATTATTTAATTTGCTTTTATTTTATTTCTTTGTTTATAATTTAATTATTTCAATGTGTATATGTATATTGTAGCGTGTCTTATTGTTGATTGATGCAAATAAAATTATCATTCATTCATTCATTCACTAACGCTGCAATTATAGCGTAAATTTACTCTCACGCTATATTATACCTTGTATATTAATAGCACTGCTAAGTTCTTCTATTAAAATAAGACGAATCAACTTTTCTATAAATTTAATATATGCCTATCACTTTAAGCTGAGTAGCTAATCATGTATATGATTGCAAGATGTTCTATAAAAATCCAAACCCGAATTCGAATTCACTACAAAAAATGGCAGCCGCTCAATCTTGAATTGATAATAACATTCCATTCCATTTTTGAATTTGTTCAATGTATTCGATGTTGTTGTTTGACAATTCGTGGCGTAGTGTATAAGCGCCACGGCCTGCGATGGTTATTGTAAAGCTCAACAAGGGTCGGTCACGGGATGGGTAACCAAGATAAAATTATCTTGAGCTATTCCGTGCTTCTGAAGATACATTTAGCCGTTAGTCCCTGTGGTGTTATTTGCAGACGTTAATACCTTCCAATCCGCATTGGGCCAACGTGGAGGGTCATGACACATCCTCCTTGACCATCTTTAAGGAAGCCTGAGCAGTTTTTAACGCTAGGGAAATGCAACCTTAAGTCTTAAACCAGGGCTCCCCGACCCCGTACCCATCCTGAAAAGGCTTAAGCGAGGCTGGCCTACTTGGTAAAACCCGCTGCGAATACCCTCCGGGGGAGGGGCGGAGGGGGGGGAGAGGACACGGGATCCGGCAAGGTCCAGCCCCACTAAAACCTGAGCCCCTGAAGTGGGACGTAAAAGTGCTGCTGATGGCGATGATGCGATGTTGTTTATTTATTTATTTACTAATCTGAATAAGGTAGTCGAATAGAAGAAGTTTTTGAACCTAGGGTCAATTATTCTAGGGTCCACCACCATTCCTCACGTAGAATGCTACGATGGTGACACATTAGAATGGTACGACGCCGCCCCCATGAACCTGAATCGCTCAGCTCTGAGCGCGTGCGTGTTATCAGGGTTGCCAAACGCGCGCTCTTTCTCTTACCTAGCTAAAGCGGTGCCGGCAGCGGGAGCAGATCAAGCACATCGTTCTTAAAAAATAATATTAAAAAGACTATCCGCCGGTCTCTGAATTGAGAAAAATACAAATTCTCAACTGATTGTTCTTAATAACTAATGTTTTTTTAAGTTTCACAAAGCAGAGTATATAGTTTTGTCAAACTGCTGTCGACTGTTCATCAAAGAAATTTAAATCTGAAACGAAAACCTGTTTTGTACGCTTTGAGAAGTACCTACCTTTACATTGTTAATTCAGAAACCGGGGTGTTAATCAAAATACAAAACAGTACAAACCACTTTTACGAGTAAATCCTTCGCTGCCGTTGTCGTTTACCATGTAATTGTGTATTATTTAGCCATGTAAAGTGAATCCAACAACATAAAAAAAATGCTATTATAAATTTGCGTTTATTAAGTGCGACAAAAAATATTTAAGCATTTGTCCACAAATAATTAACTGTAAATAATTTGTAAAAGTTAAATCAAAAATGAAAATCAAATTTATTTAACTTAAAATATTTATTTGAAGTTTATATAGTCATATAATATTTACTTTTTAACTCTCATTATAAATTTAATGTAGTTGTTGTTTTCACTTTGCATTGATAAGTCCAAGCTCTTCTAGATATTTGCAGCATATCTAACGGTGGCATCCGTATCGCGTTGACTATATAATTCTGTGATATTACCTTTGTACATAGTTTGTGTAAACAATTTTTATCTACTTATCATAAATCATGGTTATTTTAATGTACAGATCGTGTCAATATAATGAACCTTTGTACTTTTTTGTTTTTTAGCGCGCTGTTAATAGTGCATTGAAATACTGAATTATTTTAGATTAATTATTTTGAAGCGAAGGATTTGTAAATTTTCAAGTCTTTTTTATTTGTATAGTGGAATTTATGACAAATTTATTTTGGTACTTTTGTGTATAGTTCGCGTCCGATACAAATCAGAGTGGTCGCGTTTTAGATATGTATACGATATGTTATGGGTGTGCATAACACAACCGTAATTTTGTTGTATCTGTGATATTTTCAATGACATTATTATGGATAAAAATTGCAAAAAATGTAAAATTGATTTTTATGAAGAAAAATTTACTGTACCCAACTGAAAGTTTGATAAATTCACAAATAAAGAAAAACAATACCAGTACATTGTGTTTTTATTTGTAATGTACAATAATTCGCTTAATGTAAACTATTGTCGTGTTATATTATTTCACTAGGGGTTTCCATTTATTGACAACATTAGGAACTATTAGGAATTATAAGGCACCATGGCTTATAGGTAGATGGATTTGCATATTGCTCATAATTTAGGAGCTAACTATGTTTAGGTGGACCTCCAGCAAGAAAAATTGCCTATGGTCCACCCAGGTACAACCCCAGACCTGCGATTTTTGCTAACCGGGACAGAAACTTTATTATTGTACAATAATCTACCTGAGATATTTTTAAAACATTTTCTATAGGATCATATAAATATAGTGTAGTGAATTCCAAATAATATAACCTAACCTTACGTTTACAAAATGATGCTTAAAATACGCAAAAATCGTACGGTTTGCGGACGTTAGAGAAACACAAAGTAATAATATAACAAGTGATTCGATCCCTATTGGCCATGGACATACGATAGCCGCTCCGCTGCGTACGGCTTGAATAAACGCACACGACAGCGAGAGTGGAGTGCTATCGTGCGTATATTTACTACTGAAGAGTATAGGGGGTGAAACCGGGAGAACCCCACCCCGCGCGAATCCCGTCGCGATCGAACCGAAGTCAACCGGGCGCAGTATTTCAACGGTCGTGTACGGGCACGGGCGGACTCTCTTTCACTAAAATAAAGTGATGGAATTGAAAGGAAAGGTCGCTCTCATCACCGGTGCCTCTGCCGGCATCGGACTAGCCTATTCAGAGGAATTGCTCAAGCAAGGTGCCAAGGTAATTATTGTTTTTATTATGTACAACAATCGATAAGCTTGTGCCTTTGATACAATACAAAGTAATTCTTAAGTTCAAGGTAAAACAAACGTTGAATGAAGCGAGCTGAAAATAGGCCAAAAGATAATAATGTTGCTAACATATTTATGTAAATAACTTATTAGTCACAAAGTCGATATCAACATCTTACAGTTTTAGTATTGATTTTTGTCGGCGCCCGGCAGTGGGTAATTCGAGTGATTGTTTTCCGTATACTTATAATCATTTTGATTTCTTTTTGTTTGATCTGGACTAAATAATTGGAAATTCCTATAATAATAATCTTTTTTAAACAAACGGGTAGGTATATGTACCTACAATTTTTATATCTCAACTTGTTTTCTATTTGCTACAAGTGTAATATCATACAAACTTTCATCCCCTAATTTAGCCCCTTCGAGGTGGAAATTAAAAAATCCTCCTTAATGCTCCTCTAGACTCCCTAAAAATTTGTATAGACGAATCTTCTATACAAATTTTGAACTTTTTACGCTCAGTAGTTTCGGCTGTACGTTGTCTGTCAGTCAGTCAGTAGGCATTTTTACACGTGATAAAAATTCAGTCATCGTAAATTTTTTCTTATTTAACACGTCTCGAAGGGTTAACAGAAGTATGTCGTGAATTACATCTTAGCATATTATTAAATTCTAACTTAGTCAATGTTCTCCTACACGCGTAGCACGACAAACTCGAGAAACGCTTTGTCTACGCTCATTTGTCAGTTTCTCGGGTCAAGAAAGTGAGATATCGTATGGGCGCACCCGAGAAAAGTGACATTTGAGTGTAGACAAAACGTTATCGAGTTCGTCATGCTACGCGTGCTGAAATCAGTCCATAAAGGCGATGTCATTGAAATCACTTATGAGTTACTATGATACACATTTACGTGACAGAGATCCGATCATCGTCATCATGATCAGCCCTTTTACTTCCTCACTGCAGGGGCTCAGGCCCTCTTTATTATGGATGATTAAGGAAAATAAGATTGGTATTAACGACTGCAAATGCAGCCGGGAGCAACGGTTTAACGTGCCTTCCGAAACACGGAGTAGTTCAAGATAAAAATTTTTTGGTCACCCATCCCGTGATCGACTAGCGAAAGTTGCTTAACAACAACGACAGCGGGGCGCGACGCTTATCCAATACGCCACCGAGCTACGATCCCGAAGTCCGATCATATCCTGAGAATTATTTGCTTTTACCAGGTTTCACTATGCGATATCGACTCCGAGATCGGCGAACAAGTATCCGACGAATTGGGCGCAAAGTATGGCCGAAAGAACGTACTTTTCTGTCAATGTGATGTTACTGATTACCCCCAGTATGAAGGTGACTTTTCTTTTTCATAGATCTCTTTTTACATACAGCCATACAACTTGGAATATACGTTTAAGCACGTACATTAAAAAACAATCTAGATTACACTTCACTTATAAAACGAGAAAAATTAAACCATTCGATTGCACAAAGCCTTTCTGGGGCTCTATTTTTGAATCATTCGTCTCGCGTCGAGCGCTCGTTTTCTACTATCACTCGCATACAACGTTCGCTAAGCGACGAGTGGTTCATACCATTCGTTGCAGTCGAGCGATTTAGAAATGGCGAATTTGTTAAGTCGAACGAAAATCAGTAGAAAACGAGCGCTCGACGCGAGACGAATGATTCAAAAATAGAGCCCCTGGGACATTGCATACAACTCTGGTCGCGAGCAAACTGACCCACGATTATTCTCATATTAGAAAACATGATATGATTTACTCAAATCCCAAATTTTAAATTAAGTTGTTTTTATCGCTTGTATAATGAAAATCAGGAACAATGAAGACCCCAGAACAACCACACCATTGACAATATAGAAAAAATCATTTGCTTCATTGACCCTATCGGAAATCGAATCCCGGACCCCATATAGATGTCTCCAGAGTTGGATCACAAATTCATTCTCATAAGTACAATCTCCTATCCGAATGAATCTCTAAGACAGCTTCTGGTGTTTTAACAAGAAATATGACTCAGAAATAGAATATAGTAACTATCTTGGGGGTTAAATTTAATTAAGCTTGACAACGACATTACGGTCGATTCTTGGTATGTAACATTACACTACGCGTTCTATTTTCAGAGGCTTTTGAGATGACTATGAAGGTGTTCAATCGGCTAGACATCGTCATCAACAATGCAGGCGTCATGAACGACAGATTTTGGGAACTAGAAGTTGATGTTAATTTAGTAAGTGATTACAGTTTATAATTTATTGTTTTCCGATGCGATTACGATATGCTCTTTTATTATGTATATCGTTACGATTTCGATGTTTGAGACGAATCGTACCGTATAAATGGCTCGGCCCTTTACACGACAAAAGAAATCTAGCGTGACTCTAAAATAAATCACAAAACGTTACAATCATTAATAACAACATTCAATGAGGCTATTTGTTTTGTGTTCTTCGTTTATTTATAGGATTATATAACCCACAAAATAAATTTTGATTGTCCACAAAAGACAACCTATGAAAATATTAATATTCACCATAAAAAATCTGTCCAAATATTCTGTGAGACACGGTGAGATATGGCTAAAAATACTTAGCGGAACGGATTTAGGAACAAGGAATGTCGCACACATGAGCACGGAATACTAAAAATAGAGATGCATGTTTCATTAAAATATCGAAATATCAAGTTCGATATATGTATATCGGTTACAGTCGATATCGATATATCGCTTCACATAGCCGATATAACGATATGTTTATTGGATCTTAAATAAATTATTGAAAAAAACCTTATGTAAAAAAATACGTTTAATCTTAAAGTTTTATATAAAAATCGGCCAATAAATTGGTGGCCGCTACATAGCTACGAAGCCTGCCTACTTCGTATAATGTTGAATCCTGTACACGTAGCATGACGAACTCGAAAGTGTTTTGTTTACAACTAAATGTCATCTTTCTCCGGTGCGCTAATTACAGAAGCTGCAGCCGGAGATTTCAAAGAAAACCAAAATTTACTTAATACTAATTTAATGAAATAAAATTACATTATATTTCTTAATAACTAACCTAACTATGTGACCCGATCGATGGTTGATCTAAAAGTGAACTCTATTACTCGGATTGCCTCCACGTCCGTTGTTGCTCCACGTGCCGCTGCATCAGCAGTTTTGGTAATATTTCGGTCACTCCAACAATGGGACCGTGTGCAACGATGTTATATGTCAGCAGATTCCTTTAGTGTGTGTGACCCGACTATAACACGCTCATACACCCTCGACCTGACAAACATGACGTTTGGTGTAGACAAAGTATTCCTCCATCTTGTCATTCTATACGCTTTGCTTTTAAATAAAGACGTTCAGAAGATACGTAGTGTCTCCTTACTAATCTGTGTTCAGAAGGCATGCTTATAGAGAACGGTAATATGCTTCTGATCACAATAGGAAAATGTCTGATTGCCACTTTTAATAGATTGCGATAAGATTGGAGAATAACATTATTTTGAAATTAAAAACAAATTACAGTAATAAAAAAAATATTACAAATAAAAATATTACGACTTTCTTTACACTTTTACTTTTTATTAAATGGTCGCTTTACTTTTTATTAATTCCTCGGGGTAGCAGTTCTTAACTTCTTACACAGAATTGGGCAGTATCAAACAAAAATAAGCATGGAATCTAGAATGCGTTATGTCTTTTGTTTCTCGAATTACTTGAAAATTATCCCATATTAGGCAACTTAACGGAAAGCTTCCTAAGCACCTCCCACAAGTACACAAGCCACTACGCGTGTCGGCCGTCCACGAAGCGTCCTTAGAATCATGTCAGTACCTATCGACAAATCTTCATCCTGATAGATGGTATCGCGATTTCGTCTCGTTAGACACCTAAACCGGGTCCAGGCGTGGATCGAGCTCTATTAATATTTCTGTAGTTATCAATTCTCTTCACTATCAATACAACATAAATACATTGTTTTAGAATGGTGTGATACGCGGCACTTTGCTTGCGTACCGCTTCATGGGCAAGGACCGCGGCGGTCAGGGTGGTACAATAGTAAACACCGCGTCCACAGCGTTCGCTCGCCCACAGGTTTCCACGCCCATCTACACCGCCACTAACTATGCGGTTGTCGGACTTACCAGGGCGTATGGAGTGAGTTATTTTCAATTATTGTTACAATAAGTAATAAGCGTCGTTGCAAGTTTGACAGAAGTTAAACATCGAAACCAAAAAAGTATGCGTTAATACGCGACGGATCATCCGTGAGTGGGTAAGATTGAATGTCATTGCCTGTTCCGACTTTCGCGACCTGTCTATTGTCAGATATGCACTGACCCTGAATTGAAGGAAGCACCCCATATCTCCAGGCTTTGATTGAATAAGACGTTAATTTGTGAAGTTTTTTGACCAAACTTAGGCGCGTTCGCACTGTATCACAATTTTAATTCTGACCGTTTTGTCTAGTAGTATAAATAAAAGTTCTTTGTATTAAACAACAAATTATTAAATGTCTTACATCGTCATACAGGATCAGTACCATGTCAACTTGACTGGCGTGAGAAGTCTAGTACTGTGTCCAGGCCTGACTGACACAGGTCTGGTAAAGGAAATACGCAAGCAACTCATGTCATCAGAGTACGAAGCAGCCTGGCAACGGGACAACGCCAATAGTAAAACGCAAAGGTAAAAAAACAATTAAAAAACTAAAACCCGACTACAGCTAAATCGCGCTCTAAAAAGTTTGAAACGAGAATAGCTATATTATAATATGATGATCAAAGGACGGAGTAGTCCGGCGCCCTGAGCGAGATCGCTATGGCGCCCCTTAACTGGAATTTAAACTCGTTCGAAAAAAGATAAAAATATAATGAAATAACTATTTATTTAAAGACATAATAATTAATTTAAAAAATAATAATAAAATTAAACTTTTTAAGCTTTTTATCGGCGATATTTATAAGGTAATTTACGTCGATTTTCTTAGCTATTTCATTTTCGATTGACATATTTATAATACCAAGTTTATCAATTAAGATTGAGATATTGTCGATCGCAGATAGGTTTTTAAACGTAACAGACATGGTTACTTTCGCATTTCTAATATTGGTACCAGTGCCGGTTTTAGCACTACTAGCGCCCTGGGCGAAATTTCTTCGGCGCCCTCTAACTGCAATTCAATTACAATCAGTTACTACTACATACTACAAATCAGTTACTTGTCTTTTTTTCGCCGACCCGGCCTACTTACTTGTAATTTTCCTTAAATTTAGGCAGATTGTTAAGTTGGCAGCATTAGAATGGAACGTAATGTTCAATCGGTTTAATTTCTCGGGAATCCCCGACTTTCCGACCATACAGAAACAATGTGTTTTTCTATAATCGGGGATTCCCTAGATCTATCTCTTTTAATTTTTGACGAAGAAGAACACAATCAACAATTATCTTCTTGCTTGACATAAGTGGACGCTCTTAAAACAATTATTCGATTATTTTAAAACAAACAAACAATTATTTTAAAACAAATGAGTAGCTCGGTGGCGTAGTAGTTAAGCGCCGCAGCCCGCGATCGTTGTCGTTAAGCAACTTTCGCAGGGGTCGGTCATGGGATGGGTGACTAAAAAATTGTTATCTCGAGCTACTCCGTGCTTCGGAAGGCACGTTAAGCCGTTGGTCCCGGCTGCATTTGCAGTCGTTAATACCCTCCAATCCGCATTGGGCCAGCGTGGAAGGTCATGGCCTATCCTCCTTAACCATCCATAAGGAAGGCCTGAGCCCCTGCAGTGGGGACATAAAAAGGGCTGATGATGAAACAATCAAACGTTTAACGCTACGTTACGATGCTCTTGTTCCAACTATATAGTGACATTAGTTTTATTTAAAAAGTAGACATATAAATAGTGTATAAGTAGCTGATTCATTTTTGACGGATCACATCATTAGGTAAGTATAGATTCATTTTTACCCTAACAGGGTGTTGTTATCTATAACTTTGTGTAATTATTGTAACTTTGTGACAGTGAGTTTGCAGTGGGCCACTACTTATTATATAATCAATTATTTTGCTATTTCAAATAAGTGGACAAGTAGCTGGATCCGCTATATTCGGGACAACAGTATCAACATCATCTAGTACATGTATTTGTTGTACACCAATAACAGATTTATCATAGCACAACTTGCTCCCTTACTTCGGGATTTTTCATCCACAATCTCTTGAGTAGCTATTCCATCTGACTTGCCAGACAGAGGCTCCACTGCCGATGCATTCGTTTGTATTGCAGCATTTCAGATTCAGCTTAACGTTTAAACATACTCAAAACGAAAATTTTCTTAAATGGCCGAGCGATAATGCCCGCCAATGTACTTCATATTACCTAATAAAATACATATCTTCATATTGGTAATCGGTATGTTGTTCTGTTTTACCATAATATAATATTTTTCTTGTCAAGTTTGACAACTTGAAAATAAAAAAAAATCCTCAAGGTTCTTGTTCTTTTTTCACCGACCCAGTAGGCCTTGTTCAATGAGCAAGGGAACTATAAGAGGGCGTCTGTGGGAAATGAGGAAGTTTTAGAAAAAAACACATTAGTTCCCGAAATCAAACTAGATGTCGCTACGGTATGTTCTTGATTTCTCCATGACAACCCTTCCAGTTTTCTTACATGTTTAAAAGTAAATTAGTTTTCAAAACTCAATTAACAACTCATATTCTATTTGTACTTTTTCGTATTTGTATTGATATCTAAGTTTCGAACTTTTCAAATTTCAGTTTTTTAATATGTTAGTTAAAATGAACGAAAATGACTGTCTTTGTTCCATTCGTTTCCTGCAAAAATCAACTTTTGCTTGCGCCGGACGAAAAGGGGCGCTGCGGCCTGCGGCGCTCCTTTTCGTCCGGCGCCCCTGGGCGGTCGCCCAACCGCGCCCTACCCTAACGCCGCTACTGATTGGTACCATATAGATTAAATTACAATTTGAGATGGGTACTAATGAAGAATGCAAACTATTAATTTTAATCTTAAAATAAAACATTCTCTATGCGAAATTCTTTGACACAAACGAAAGCGCGATTTAGTTCTTAATGTCATCTAGGACTTATAGCAAAGCCAAAGGTTTTACTACATTTTAACCGACTTCAAAAAGGAGGAGGTTTCTCAATTCGACTGTATTCTTTTCTGTTTGTTACCTCATAACTTTCAGTATGTCTATCCGATTTTGATGATTCTTTTTTTATTTGATAGCTAGTACTTGCGGAATGGTCCCGTTTCGGGCGTCTATAAATTAATTAATAACCTACAGAAAACCTCCGCCCGACTTTAATAGCATTTTCTTGATCAAGTCCCTATTGAGATAAGCAATATTTGTCACTTTTTTTTTATTTGAAGTCGGTTCTATTTTTTTAAGTTTTTAACTAACTGAAGTCATTGAAAAGAAATACCGCGATTTCAACCCCAAGTAATAAATCAAAACATATCAAAATACTTTTTCTTTCATAAATTTACTTAATAAATTACTCTTAGTTTCATGGCATTCATGAATAATATTAAATACATTTATTCAATAATATTATTTGTCATTCATCTTCTTCTTAACTTTAACGTTGCGGCTCCACATTACTGCCAACTTCATCGTTTATCGCATTTAATGCAGTAACACAAATCAAATAAATAAACAACGGTCGTTATGGTAACATTTTGCTTCCCATAAAAACTTTTACTCCCATTTTCATCCCTTTAAGAGCAGTGTTTCGGGATAAAATATAACCTATTAAAATATTACCTTCCCAGGGCCTTAAACTACTCAAATATCAAAGTTCATCGATATATAGGGTGGGCCATGAATTAGTTAACATTTGAAAAAATCGTATAAAAAAAACCATTTAACATATTTTAGAAATCGTTTATTTACGAGAAAGCTAATTAGTTGTAATTTTTTTTTAAAATTATTTCGTCTAAATGACCACCGTTTCGGTTTTTGCACTCATCTAAGCGAGTCCTGAAGTTTTCAAATACTCTTCTGCAAAGAGACCGCGAGATCGCCGACATCTCTTCGATGATTTTTTCTTTAAGTTGACGCAGTGTATTCGGTTTATCAATGTAGACACGACTCTTTAAATAACCCCATAAAAAGAAGTCTGCTGGGGATAGATCTGGACTTCTGGGTGGCCATGGGATGTCACCACGTCTGGATATCAGCTTTTCCGGAAACATGTCTTTGACCACCGGCAAGGACTCGTTCGATGTGTGACACGTGGCTCCATCTTGTTGAAACCATGTGTTACGATTATAGCCAGCAAATTCCAGTAGCATCGGTGCTAAGAACTCCCGTAACATTTTCACATACTCGGCAGAATTAACAGTAACTGAACGGCCTCGAGAATCTTCAAAAAAGTAAGGTCCGATGATTCCTTTTGCTGAAATTGCAGCCCATACAGTTACCTTAGGAGAGTGAAGTGGCCTCTCATGTTTAGCTTTAGGATTTTCGCTGCTCCAATACCTGCAATTCTGTTTGTTTACATGTCCATTTAGGTGGAAATGGGCTTCGTCAGAGAATAAGATGTTGTCAAAATTACTGAATCGAGTTAACATTGTTTCGGCATATGACTTACGCAAATTTAAATCATTAGGGTTTAGTTCTTGCACTAGCTGGATCTTATATGGATGTAATTTCAAATCTAATTTCAAAATACGGCGTAATGATGTGCGGGATAATCCTAATTCAGCCGAACGTTTGCGTGTCGATAAACCTGGATCACGTCGAACAGAAGCGGAAACTTGCTGCACGTTCTCTTCGCTCCGAGAAGTCCGCGGGCCGCCGGTTTGTTTCACATTTAGTGTAGATCCCGTCTCTTCGAACTTCTTCACCCATTTCTTTATTAAAGGAGCACTTGGACACTGACTTAAGTCGTGTAAACCATATTCAACGCGAAATAAGCGTCTCACAGTAATGAGCGAAAAGTTGTTTAAATAAAACTGTTTCACGCAGTAAGCGCGTTGCGGCCCCGTGAAGCGATCCATTGCGACTAAATTTCCAAGAAGCGAGCTAGTGCCCCCGCCCGCGCCTGCGCCCCGCGCGGCAATAGTTTGCGCGGTAAGTTACATTTAAATGTTAACGAATTCTTGGCCCACCCTGTAGATCCAAAAACAAAATTTCATACAAACGTTTTTACCCTTTTAACCACCTTCGGTTCGTCAGTCACACCTCTACGTAATAAAACGATTGTACCCTCCAAATTTCAAGCCTGTACAACCATTAATTAAGTCTGCCAGTCAATAAATCAGAATTTTATAAACGTGAAATAAAAATCCAAAGATCTAGATAACATTGAAATGGCATCAGAATATTTGTAAAATTTTCTTTTCTTTGTTTTAGTACATAGATTTGTACGAAAAAAATCACGATCGTGAACTCTTTCCCAGACAGTGCAAGATCAGCCAAGTTGCAAATGCTGTTGGCCCCACGCAATTGGGAGCCTCGCTATATTCTGATTTTTTTTTTTAAATTCAGTGTTAAAAATGCAAGAAATAAAATAAGCTACGCTTCTGCCTTAACTTTTTCTTAACGATATTTTTACTGAAAAATAAAACTCATGTCACAGATTATGTTGTGTTATTTGAAAAGCAAAAGGATGACTTTTCTGTTTCGTTTGTAAAATTAATGATTCCAAAAGTTTACGTAAGACATATTAGGTGACAGGAAGAATGTCCGCAATTTTTTGAAACGCCTTAAATCATAACGTACAATCAACAAAATTTCTGCCTAAACCGTTTAAGAAAAATATTGCTTGCACAAGTTTACCACAACATGCCCTTTTTTGCTTAACAATTGTTGTCAAACCTCAGAAAACAAGAAGGTATAGTATAGATACTTAGTAAAATGTTTAAAAAAAACATACATCGCTGTCGCAGTGGACCTCAAACCTAATCGGAGGCCCGGGGCGGCAATAGGCCCGGATGGACAACTTTTTCCAACTGAGGCTGAATCTTGATATTGCTTTTAATCCCAAAATACATTTCTAAATTTATAATGTTATGATTTTGGCGGATAACTGTAACCCTTTGGAGACCCAGGGCGGACCGTCCCCTCCGGCCCCCCATGTCTAATATTTGATGTTGAGAACTGCTAATATAAAATATAACGGTTTTTATATAAAAAGAAATCACGTTTTCCTCTAATGTTAGTCAGTTGGTAAATTTTCCTGAAGAGGCAATTTGATTAACCAAAGTATTTTTAAACTACTCTTTACATAGTTAAATACTTTTAGTACTTTAACGAATAGTTTATTTATAGCTAAGACTAATTAACCGATATAATAAATATATGAATGAATCTGTGATCGCAATACTGCTAATAATTATATTCATTTATAACAGTGCGGAGCACGTCGGCAGAGCATTAATAGAAATCCTTACTAAGGCGCAGAGCGGCTCCGTGTGGGTAGTGGAGAATAATCAACCGCCGAGGGAATGGCGTGGCTAACTCCAGTCAACGTAAGGCGTAATATCTGCAAACTTTTGAAATTAAAACTGCAAACATTTTAATCTCAGACGCGAAGCATTATAAATTGTGCTGAAAAGATATGAAAACTGATGTTGCCAAAGCTAAATGACCTAAAAGATGACCTCATATCTAGCACCATTAAACTGCTCTAAATAATGGAGTTCTATACAAGCAATAAATAATCAGAACAATAAAAACCGATCCACATCAAAGTTATGTAGTCTTTTCTTTATTCGTTTGCCCTAACGGAGTCGGCTTGGTGGGCACAATGGCATTATACCAACAGTTAAATATGCTACGTAAATAAAAGTCAGTAAAGTAAATCTTAAAGGCCTACCTATTTATGCGCATCTCATTATTAGAACTCATTCAATAGTTATAATCGATGAATTGGGCGTTTAGTTATATTTTTTTGAAGAGCAATAAAAAATTATTATGTATTAATTGCCCATTTTAAGTTTTTTATACAATTTAATCTCAATATTTAAGAAAACAGCCATGGGTTCGTTACCTGGCTAGTAAGTAAGTAATAAAGATGCCTATACTAATATTATAAACTTTCAATTTTTTCAATCACGCTAGCGATAAAAAAGCGATATCAGAGCATTTCATAAAATTCTCAGGCTAATTCTAAAAGAAACCTACTCTAATACTTGAGATGTATAGTGAGAGTTGAACCTTATGGCTCTTACACACATGCCGGCGTACAAGCTGTCAACTTCAACTGAGCGGCTGGTTTATGCAAAAATTTCCACATATTTTCAAACATTAATGATCCCTATATTGCGACCGCGGTTGTCTGGCGGCAACGTTGGCGACTCGTGGCGCCGGCCTGTGTGTAAGAGCCATCACAAAACCAGATTATGAAATGGTTGTGTAAATATTTTTTCTGTGTAGAATAATCTTCTCATCATATAAGAAGCGGTATTTATATATTTTTTAAGATATATTTTATAAATAAAATACAATGTAATATACATTATAGTTATAAAATGTAGACGTAAGTGCTTGTATTGTGTACCTTCCTACTCTTTATAATTGTATACATCAGTATGTATATAAATACATACACGCATATTTTAACAGCTTCCAAATTGTTACGGATGTGAAACATTTTGTTTAAATAATATTGTAGGGTGTATGTATTTGCTGTTTTTTTACTAAGTTTGTATTACATTTTGTATGAAGTTTGTTGAAGGTTAGCGGACTTTTATAAATATATTATTAATTTGCAATAAAATGTTTAAAACCAATCATGTTGTTTCTTTAATAAAAAGTCATTTTTGGAAGATTTGTAGTAAATGTATATTTCGATATCAATACAATCACCAGGTACAGTTTTTGAGTTACAGATTTTTTTTTACAAATATAATGCATCTTGTCAAAAGTTATTTCACATTTTCACACGAAAAGGACTTTTGCCAAACAATGGTAATAATAGTAGAATGTAGATTTACCGACAAACTATTTCCAATTTCTTTAAATAATTAAACGAAGTCCTCTTCCTAAAAGTTTCGAATAGGTACTAAAATTTGTGTGATAAAACAGTGGATTACTTTCGTATTTCGAATGATTCTGGCATAAATCAAAGTGGCGGTCCCACCGGCATCGGCTAAGTATCGTTCACTACAAATTACCATTCACAACTAAAAAAAAAACTAGATACCGAAACATCCATTACAGCACTGTAACTTTTGGCAACTGTAATAAAAGTTCATATATCTCTACCGGCCCATGGCACCGTCACAGGATCGCGCCAGCAGTCCTACTATCACATTTCATTTATCTATTTATTAACAATAAAACGACAGTCAATAAAACAACGTCATCCACATTCTATTCACATAGGGCCAATTGCAAAACGTCAACATCTAAGCCTCCGTATTGACCGCAATAAAATTTATCTTTCAGCCTGTCTGACCAGCAGAATCCTTCATTCATTTACTGTACATGAGCATACAAAAGGAGTGTTATCTTAACACAATTAAGTAGGACTGCTGTTTATAAATACAACTGGTCATTGGTCACTTTTAATTGGAAGTACAATGACCCTTTGGAAATAATAAAACATGTACATTATTAACTAACTTTCGTTACAACTTTTAAATAGGCACAAATGCGCATAATAGGTGAGAAGCTTCAAGGACATTTTTCATGAGCCATGACATAAACAAACATTTCAATTTCACTATGCAGGATTTTACATAGCCTCTGTAAAAATTGCACAGGGAGACGTGTTAAGTTTAAATTTCTCACCTTGCATGACGGCAATGACATTACATAATTTAACCTTATGCCGCTTTTTAATTTACGGTCGAGTTGCGACTGGATCATACAGCCCACCATTATGTCAATGTACAATTTGCCCAAAAACAATATATACCACCGCTCACTGCATTCCTATAATTACAATAAACTAATGTGAGCGCGCCTCCTAGCGAAGACACTTTTGTTCTTGCGCATGCTTACGGGAATTTCCGACTTTTTCCTTCCATTATATTGGATACAACACTATCACACCAAAACAATGTCCGTCTGCTTATATCCTCACCACTATATTACTTCCCGCAAGGACAAATTACGTTTTTTAAACTGATTACATTTAACATTTCAATCACCATTTTACACTTTTCCGTTACATCTGCTTTCCTGATTAGTCCTCGCGATAATAAATTAAGATTCATTGTATACTCAGCATCGCACCTCTTCTCTACTTTGCTGTAAAAGAAAACCTGCCATTTATATGTTGATCATTGTTTGTTACTAACAATAGGACAGAATATAAGCGCGACTCGAATTGGGTGCATATTGGTATATTTGATCATAAACAATCAAAGATACATAACATTTAAATTTAACGTGCTTTTCTTGTTTTTGCTACTGATGCAGGTTAGCCTCACGACGGCATACCTAGTCTAGCCATAAGTTCTGTTACAAAGAAAATATCCAATAATTTCCAAAAAAATAATTTTATTCTATAGTTTTATATGTGATTATGTAGAGTGAAAAGTATACGTTAACATACTAAACTAGTTATTCAAAGTGTCCACCCTTAAGTTTATTGCACGCTTTTAAACGATCGTTCCATACGATGGATTTACAATCAGTTTCCATTGGAAACTTGGCCACTTCTACCTCCAAAGATTTCTTGAGCAACTCAATATTGGGGTGCCGCTTAGAGCAGGCCATGTCCTCTAGCACAGATAACAATTTATAGTCTAAAATTGTTGTCTGTGCTAGAGGACATGGCCTGCTCTAAGCGGCGTTTAAGGAGTGGAAGTTAAATGGAGTTTAAGTCCGGACTAGCCGAAGGCCAATCATCAGTCTTTATGAAGTTTGGAACATTTTGCTCAAGCCAAATTTGGGTAGTGCGTGGCCTTATGACCCAGGGTTGAATCCTGTAGGAATGTCCACACTTCGTTTTTGAATAAGGTGTTATTGAGAGGTTAAACTACCGCTTCTAATACCGTATCTTGATACACTTTGCCTGAAGTTTTCACTCCTTTTTCACAACAATGGAATTTTGAAACTCCATGGTAGGAGACACCCACCAAACCATGACGTATGCTGGATGATGATAGCCTTGCTGAACTTTGGCTACTACCTTGGAAGCTTCTTTAGAGCTGTGAGCATACACACAATAATTTTGTTTGTTGTAGTGCTCCTTGATTGTAAATTTTTTTCATCTAATGTAATTTTTTTTTTGTTTTAGTGTCTGATTTAAGGTATGTCCTGTGTATCTCCAGTAAGCCCCTAGACCTATGTCTGTTTGATAATCCGAGTGTCCTCGGTGGGATTCTCATTTCTCTGAGAAGAATTTTCTACTTCCTTATGAGATCACCGGATCTGTCACGGGCATCAACAGACATGGTTTCAGTGTACCTTTGGATGGTATGATACACAAACATTCGTCTAATCCCTAGCTTTTTCAATGTATCAATGTACTCTATTCTCTTAAGTTCCCCACTCCATTTTCTAAACAAAAAACACAATAATGGAGGGAAAGAAGTATATTTTTTATTGTAGAAGCTAATGTTCGAAATTCAAATTAATTTTATATTAAATGCATGTAAATAGCCAGTAACAGAATTTATGGCTAGACTAGGTTTTTATCAGCAGGCACAAAGGCCAACGTAAAAAATCCTATCTGTACGACAACCGTGCTACATATAAATGGTTACATACCATGCGTGTAGCGGGGTCACTGGGCGGCGCCGACGGCGGGTGCGGTAGCGGGGGCGGGAGCAGGCGCGGGGGCGGAGGCGGGAGCGGACGCGGACACGGGCGCGGGGTTGGGAGCACGCCGCCCGCCGCTGTTGCCGCGACCACGCCCTCCACCACGCATCACCCTCCATCTGTACACAACAAATTATAACATTACATTATACAACAACTAAGTAGAGATTCAAATTGTAACAAACACATTTTTTTTTTTTGAGATAAAAAAGGAAAAACGTTTCAATGAACATGTTAGTGTACTATGATATACATCCTGTACCTGGGAGGTTGACAACCTATTTTTGTCAATATACCGAACTGGATCCCTGCTATTCAATAAACATGAGAAGTTTAAATATTAAACTAATATTACCATTTAAATATGAAATTAAAAGAATCTTCGAAAATATATTCTATTAATGATGTTAAAAACATTAGCATAGATTATAAAACCCTATCTAAATTTAAAAAAAAGACGTTATATTGACCGTTTTGCTAAACTTTCATATAAACCGCCCGCATTTTGGTTCTAGATTTATAGTTTTGTGGGACCTAAGATTATCTAATTTTTGTAATGGAAAGAATAAAATAAATATAATAGTAATAATAATAGTAATCCGCATATTATAAATCTCAAGCTAGCAAAACAAAAAAAAATTAAAACAAAATATACTACACACATATTGTTTAAAAGTTACTTTATATTTAATTATTTATAGTTGTAACTGTCAAGTAGCCAATATTTTATTTGAAGAAAAAAAAAAACAACATTTACCAGTCCCGGGAATCGAACGCGGGGCGATAACCTGAAACTGGTGTGATTTGCCTGACTTGAGACCATGGTGGTGGTCGAATATAGTCATATTCGTCATATTCGTGATATGGCGCATGGGCATTATTACATTTTTGACTACTTATTGATATTAATTTTATTATACTATACTCATATAAATTATTTACTGGTAAGCTTATTTCATTCGATTGATGCATATGATTCAATTGACAAATACATATATATATATATATTTGTTTACTTTTTTATATTTTTTAATATACAATATTAGAAAATGGAAAGTAACTTCATATTTTAATGAAGTCATATTTCAATCTTTACGAGTGCATGAAATAAAACAGGGAAAAAAGCAGCCGTTGCAGTTTCTTGCGGGTTTTTCTGGATACCGCCGCAGATTATGAACAGATGGCATAGAGTTTCGACTTTCACAAGTGCTTATAACAGCCTATACTGGATAAATAATTTTGATTTTAGTAATACTGACGCCTGATGAGGGTTGTGCACGTTGTGCATGTTGTGATGCCTCCACACGGGGCGGCCGCGCCACGCGCCGCGCCTTGCTGACGCCACGCCGAACGTCTCAGAGTTCAGTTTGCGCTCCGTCCGCCAATCCGTCCGCTGACTTCTACCCTTCAGTCTGAAACACAATGCCATAATTTATATAACCGAGAGACTAGTGTCTATATAATGCTGTCAAATCCGTAAACATCTAAGACAACAGACATACTTATCTATACTAATATTATAAAGAGTTAAAATTTGATTGTTTGCATCTAATACGCTCCAAAATCACTGGACTGATTTTAAAAATTCTTATTTCTGGAAAAATCCTGGAAAACAGCTAGTTATAGTATACATGGTTATATTTCTTACATTATTTAGATTAGAGATTGGTCTATCAAAATTGCCACCATAATTTGCCTTTTCAGATCAAATTTTATTTACATAATACAAATATTTGTATTAATAAAATATCAAAGTTGGATATGATTAAACTATGAGAACAAAAACAATAATTTTAATATTTGATATGACAAATGACTAACTGACGACTGCAAACAATTTGCAGCTTATACATTCATCAAACTATATTATTTTTAAAATTTGGTTAATTTCACTATAAAAATATGTAGTTTAGTTTTTACTATCCATAGGAGACACAATATTTTATAATATTCAATAAGTGAAACATTATTACAAACCTCTCGACAGCTTCACATGAGATGTTGTCGAAGAAGCTCTTGTTTTTATCATAGCCAGTGAATCCGCTTTGATCCTCATCCAATTCAGCTTCGCCCGCACCAGTCTCATTACCAGAGTCATCTTTCTTGTCTACTTCACCCTACATACAAATTTCTAGACTTAACAAATGTCATTTAGATTTAAAAAGTCAACTCAGAACTGTTTGCTTACCCCGCAAGAGTATGCAATGAACCTTATGTTAAGTAAATGGTCTATAGGTAATTGTTTTCTCCCTAAACAATTACCTATAGACAGACCATTTAGAATTTGTAATCAATACAATTTTCATAAACAAACACAAATAACAATTTAAACTCGATCATGTATAGTTTAACTCTAAGCAATATTTATAGTTTAATTTTACTAGTTTTTTGCTCATGAACAAAGCAGACCTTTAGTTAATATTAGTGCTGTTTACCTCAACTTTAACTACTTCATCAGAGATCTTAGTCTTGGCGAGCTGACTACGCAGCTCTTCAAACTCGGTGTTTGCTTGCTCGAAGTCATAATCGTTGTCAAACTTCAAGGTGTTCTTGTTACGCGGTACGAAACCACGACCACGGCCACGCGGGCGGCCTCGCCATCCACCGCGATTATACCCTTGTCCTACAAAAATAAACAGATTTAGTAATAGGAAAAATTCACCAACAAAGACAAGATACTAGTTTTTAATATAACTTTTTTTTTCCTATGGACAAATTTCTCGATAACTTTACCTATCAACAGACAGAAAAACTAGGGCACATCTATAATCATAATGGGGTAAAACTTTGCTAGTTTGTAGGGGTGCAATACATACAAATACTGATCCAATACATGTAAATTTTTTCACCTACATCATATGCAGGTGACAAAGGTTATAATAAGAGAGATATTAGTATAGAATCTTGTGGTTTTACAGATTCACCATTTTTTTCATATCACACATAGGTTATCATGAAGTAAGCTTGAACTACTTTGAAAAAAAAAAAGTTTTGAAGATATTCTGGTCTGCTACCTCCTAAAACTGATCCAAACTTTGCATAGGTATATACTGACCAGTCTGATGATGATGGTGGGGCTGCGCCGACGTCTGCGGCTGTTGGTGTTGTTGATGTTGATGCTGTTGATGGTGCTGTTGATGTTGTTGATGCTGTTGATGGGACTGGTGGGGCTGATGCGAGGGCGCTCCGCCGCTGGGGTAGCGCTGCCTATTGCGAGAGTTGGTGCGGTTGCGTATCTGCTTCTGACCACCGCCAGAATTGCTGCCGCGGCGGCTGTCACGCTGCTGCCCCGATCCACTCGCTACAGAACCCACCTGCTTGAACACCACGCAACATTCGACTAATGGAAACTACATAGCCATATTGACGGCGCCTAAGTAGATAATAGTGAACTAAAATTTTTTAGAAAGTTTTTTTTTTCACCAGTTGCGTCTAATTAAAAAAAAAATAGTCTAATTGCTAGGATAATGTCGAGTAGAATGAGATAATTAACATGAACGAAACCAAGTTTTCGTTTATTTCGACGACTACTTTCGTAAAAGTGTAAGTGCACGTCGGTTTCAAGGTGTCGCCATCTCTAAAGTCCTCGAGCTTCCATTCCCCGTCGAGACAATTTAATTTTTTTCTATATTATTTCGGGTCTGGGCGTTGTGGTACCTTCGTTATCTCAGATTCTTCATAACTCGGATGGTTTATGCCAGCCACACACATAACGATATGCTTGCGCTAGCTTGGTTAAGGATGCGTGCACAAATATAATTTCACTTACATTTGAACAAACGTGCATGCATATATTGCTAGCGGCATAATAACTGAAATAATTCTTGAAAGTGAGCTATCGGGTGTGTTATTTTATGCTTTATATGACGATATGGCAATATTTGATTTTATTTTGGCGACAAAAACTAAAATATTTATAAATTCTTCTAAAAATATCGTTCAATAACTTGTTATTCTAAAATTATCTCAGTAATATCGTTCATTACGCGTAAAAAGATGTGCATAGGTGTAAACAGCTAGAACAGTAGTAAAGCTTACGTGTAATGCTCCCACACACGTTTTAAGTAAACTTGTGCGAACGAAAAGTTCGGAGTCGAGAATTGAAACTTGTACAAGTCTACAACTATGCGCTATAATTTTCCAATCCAAAGTACTGCATACTTGTACAAACCTGCACTAGCACAAGTATATCGTTACGTGCATGGCTACCATTGGTTACTCATCTTGAAATCAAAGCGATGTACGTGATGTTGTCTAATATTTATTAAAAAGAGTTTGATATATTTCAGTTTTCACTAAGAAAATACTGTAAACTATTGATGAATTAACTTTTGCATTTGACCCTATCTACTTAGGTGAATATTTTCAAGCATCTTATAGAACGATGGCAAATCAAACTCAAATAAGGTGACTGCAGATTTGAAACCAATGGATGTTATTTGTTTTCTGTTCATTTTATATTTGAAATAAAATTATTAGTTGAAAAAACCAGACACCGTGGTTGAAAAATAGAAACTAGGTCTTTCTTAATAGACGTAAAAAAATTGATAAATGTTCTAACTAAAAAAAAACAATTTTTACTGTGTACTATACAACATAATAAGTGATCTGTGGAAGTCGTTTTTTTCGTCAGTGCCTTTTATGTCCAATGGCTCCCCCAGTGTACATGAAACTGAAATTAGCAGCTACCAGCTGACAGCCGCAGGGACGAAACGTAGAAAAAAAGACCCGGGCCCACAACTATATTTTTTTTAAAAACATGATTGACTATTCCCCGGATAATAAGTTCAATAAAAAGAGAAAAATAAATTCAGGACGGATAATAATAACCACGAAAAAAAAAACTCCACCCCTTCTCTATTTTTCAGTAATTTTTATCAATAAAGATAGACTTTTTGAGATGTGAAAAATCATATCTTTATTTCTAGCCAACAGATTCTAATAAAACTTGGTCTTTAACTTCATTATGATGTAAGGGAAAGGTAGTGTCGAGGGCAAGAGGGATACTTTGCTCCTTCTTTAATTTCCAGCAATTTTTATCAATAAAGATTGACTTTTTGAGATGTGAAAAATCATATCTTTATTTCTAGCCAACAGATTCTAATAAAACTTGGTCTTTAACTTCATTATGATGTAAGGGAAAAGTAGTGTCGAGGGCAAGAGGGATACTTTGCTCCTTCTTTAATTTCCAGCAATTTTTATCAATAAAGATTGACTTTTTGAGATGTGAAAAATCATATCTTTATTTCTAGCCAACAGATTCTAATAAAACTTGGTCTGTTACTTCATTATGATGTAAGGGAAAAGTAGTGTCGAGGGCAAGAGGGATACTCTGCTCCTTCTTTTTATTCCAGCAATTTTTATCAATAAAGATTGACTTTTTGAGATGTGAAAAATCATATCTTTATTTCTAGCCAACAGATTCTAATAAAACTTGGTCTGTTACTTCATTATGATGTAAGGAAAAAGAAGTGTCGAGGGCAAGAGGGATACTCTGCTTCTTCTTTAATTTCCAGCAATTTTTATCAATAAAGATTGACTTTTTGAGATGTGAAAAATTATATCTTTATTTCTAGCCAACAGATTCTAATAAAACTTGGTCTGTTACTTCATTATGATGTAAGGGAAAAGTAGTGTCGAGGGCAAGAGGGATACTCTGCTCCTTCTTTTTATTCCAGCAATTTTTATTAATAAAGATTGACTTTTTGAGATGTAAAAAAATCATATCTTTATTTCTAGCCAACAGATTCTAATAAAACTTGGTCTGTTACTTCATTATGATGTAAGGGAAAAGTAGTGTCGAGGGCAAGAGGGATACTCTGCTTCTTCTTTAATTTCCAGCAATTTTTATCAATAAAGATTGACTTTTTGAAATGTGAAAAATTATATCTTTATTTCTAGCCAACAGATTCTAATAAAACTTGGTCTGTTAACTTCATTATGATGTAAGGAAAAAGTAGTGTCGAGGGCAAGAGGGATACTCTGCTTCTTCTTTAATTTCCAACAATTTTTATCAATAAAGATTGACTTTTTGAGATGTGAAAAATTATATCTTTATTTCTAGCCAACAGATTAATTATTAATTACAAACTAAATTAAAATAACATAAATATATAATAGTACAAAGAATAAGGATAAAAAATACTTAAGAAAAAGAAAAATAGATAAAACCCGGATAAAAAAAAATATTTTTTCGTAAAACAAAAATACAAATATGACTTCAGCAGCGAAATATTATAAGATTGATGAATGAAGAAAAAAAGGTTTTGTTATCTAAATTTTATGGATTTCTAGCTTATACCGACGGGGTTACAACCCAAAAAATCATAAGAACTATTGAGTAGTTAATAAAAATCGCAGTAAAAACCAAAAAAAAACGAGTTTCCTTCGTGCCAACTTTCTCCCTTCCTTCTTGCATCATAACATAGTTCTGAATCAAATTTTATTAATATCTGATGGTAAGGAACAAAGTTATGACTTTTTTCATGGTCAAAAGTTGCTATTAATTAATAAAAATTATTAGAAAAAATGGAAGTGATCGAGTATCCCTTTTGTAACTTTGTCATCACTCGTATTGCATCATAACATAGTTCTGAATCAAATTTTATTAATATCTGATGGTAAGGAACAAAGTTATGACTTTTTTCGTGGTCAAAAGTTGCTTTTAATTAATAAAAAGTATTAGAAAAAATGGAAGTGATCGAGTATCCCTTTTGTAACTTTGTCATCACTCGTATTGCATCATAACATAGTTCTGAATTGAATTTTATTGATATCTGACGGTAAGGAACAAAGTTATGACTTTTTTCATGGTCAAAAGTGGCTTTTAATTAATAAAAAGTATTAGAAAAAATGGAAGTGATCGAGTATCCCTTTTGTAACTTTGTCATCACTCGTATTGCATCATAACATAGTTCTGAATTGAATTTTATTGATATCTGATGGTAAGGAACAAAGTTATGACTTTTTTCATGGTCAAAAGTGGCTTTTAATTAATGAAAAGTATTAGAAAAAATGGAAGGAATCGAGTATCCCTTTTGTAACTTTGTCAACACTCGTAATTGCATCATAACATAGTTCTGGATTGAATTTTATTGATATCTGATGGTAAGGAACAAAGTTATGACTTTTTTCATGGTCAAAAGTGGCTTTTAATTAATAAAAATTATTAGAAAAAATGGAAGTGATCGAGTATCCCTTTTGTAACTTTGTCATCGCTATGATTGCATCATAACATAGTTCTGAATGAAATTTTATTAATATCTGATGATAAGGAACAAAGTTATGACTTTTTTCATGGTCAAAAGTGGCTTTTAATTAATGAAAATTATTAGAAAAAATGGAAGGAATCGAGTATCCCTTTTGTAACTTTGTCAACACTATAATTGCATCATAACATAGTTCTGAATTAAATTTTATTAATATCTGATGGTAAGGAACAAAGTTATGACTTTTTTCATGGTCAAAAGTGGCTTTTAATTAATAAAAATTATCAGAAAAAATGGAAGGAATCGAGTATCCCTTTTGTAACTTTGTCAACACTATAATTGCATCATAACATAGTTCTGAATTGAATTTTATGAATATCTGATGGTAAGGAACAAAGTTATGACTTTTTTCATGGTCAAAAGTGGCTTTTAATTAATAAAAATTATTAGAAAAAATGGAAGGAATCGAGTATCCCTTTTGTAACTTTGTCAACACTATAATTGCATCATAACATAGTTCTGAATTGAATTTTATTAATATCTGATGATAAGGAACAAAGTTATGACTTTTTCATGGTCAAAAGTGGCTTTTAATTAATAAAAATTATCAGAGAAAATGGAAGGAATCGAGTATCCCTTTTGTAACTTTGTCAACACTATAATTGCATCATAACATAGTTCTGGATTAAATTTTATTAATATCTGATGGTAAGGAACAAAGTTATGACTTTTTTCATGGTCAAAAGTGGCTTTTAATTAATAAAAATTATCAGAAAAAATGGAAGGAATCGAGTATCCCTTTTGTAACTTTGTCAACACTATAATTGCATCATAACATAGTTCTGAATTGAATTTTATTAATATCTGATGGTAAGGAACAAAGTTTTGACTTTTTTCATGGTCAAAAGTGGCTTTTAATTAATGAAAATTATTAGAAAAAATGGAAGGAATCGAGTATCCCTTTTGTAACTTTGTCAACACTATAATTGCATCATAACATAGTTCTGAATTGAATTTTATTAATATCTGATGATAAGGAACAAAGTTATGACTTTTTTCATGGTCAAAAGTGGCTTTTAATTAATAAAAATTATTAGAGAAAAATGGAAGGAATCGAGTATCCCTTTTGTAACTTTGTCAACACTATAATTGCATCATAACATAGTTCTGGATTAAATTTTATTAATATCTGATGGTAAGGAACAAAGTTATGACTTTTTTCATGGTCAAAAGTGGCTTTTAATTAATAAAAATTATCAGAAAAAATGGAAGGAATCGAGTATCCCTTTTGTAACTTTGTCAACACTATAATTGCATCATAACATAGTTCTGAATTGAATTTTATTAATATCTGATGGTAAGGAACAAAGTTTTGACTTTTTTCATGGTCAAAAGTGGCTTTTAATCAATAAAAATTATTAGAAAAAATGGAAGGAATCGAGTATCCCTTTTGTAACTTTGTCAACACTATAATTGCATCATAACATAGTTCTGAATTGAATTTTATTAATATCTGATGATAAGGAACAAAGTTATGACTTTTTCATGGTCAAAAGTGGCTTTTAATTAATAAAAATTATACAGAGAAAATGGAAGGAATCGAGTATCCCTTTTGTAACTTTGTCAAAACTATAATTGCATCATAACATAGTTCTGGATTAAATTTTATTAATATCTGATGGTAAGGAACAAAGTTATGACTTTTTTCATGGTCAAAAGTGGCTTTTAATTAATAAAAATTATCAGAAAAAATGGAAGGAATCGAGTATCCCTTTTGTAACTTTGTCAACACTATAATTGCATCATAACATAGTTCTGAATTGAATTTTATTAATATCTGATGGTAAGGAACAAAGTTTTGACTTTTTTCATGGTCAAAAGTGGCTTTTAATTAATGAAAATTATTAGAAAAAATGGAAGGAATCGAGTATCCCTTTTGTAACTTTGTCAACACTATAATTGCATCATAACATAGTTCTGAATTGAATTTTATTAATATCTGATGATAAGGAACAAAGTTATGACTTTTTTCATGGTCAAAAGTGGCTTTTAATTAATAAAAATTATTAGGAAAAATGGAAGTGATCGAGTATCCCTTTTGTAACTTTGTCATCACTATGATTGCATCATAACATAGTTCTGGATTAAATTTTATTAATATCTGATGGTAAGGAACAAAGTTATGACTTTTTTCATGGTCAAAAGTGGCTTTTAATTAATAAAAATTATCAGAAAAAATGGAAGGAATCGAGTATCCCTTTTGTAACTTTGTCAACACTATAATTGCATCATAACATAGTTCTGAATTAAATTTTATTAATATCTGATGGTAAGGAACAAAGTTTTGACTTTTTTCATGGTCAAAAGTGGCTTTTAATTAATGAAAATTATTAGAAAAAATGGAAGGAATCGAGTATCCCTTTTGTAACTTTGTCAACACTATAATTGCATCATAACATAGTTCTGAATTGAATTTTATTAATATCTGATGATAAGGAACAAAGTTATGACTTTTTTCATGGTCAAAAGTAGCTTTTAATTAATGAAAATTATTTAAAAAAATGGAAGGGATGGAGTATCCCTTTTGTAACTTTTTCAACACTATAATTGCATCATAACATAGTTCTGAATCAAATTTTATTAATATCTGATGGTAAGGAACAAAGTTACGACTTCTTACATCTCAAAACCATGTCTTTGAATAAAATTTGTTGCATAAATTTGGAGATGAATGGGTCTCTTTTGTTTATAATTTTTTATGCTCATCTTCTCTTTATTATCCACTTTGTAAGTAGTTATTCATACTTTAAAATTTTATCGGGGGCGCGGGCCCCACTCCGCGTGTCGTCCCTGGCCTTGATCACCGCGTAGCTGCTAGTTTCAGCTTCATCAGTGTACACACAAGTATTATAAAAAGTACTTGTTAATTGAAATTTTAATTTTTTATTTCCATACCCTATTTTTTTTATACGAGTAATTTTCAAATAAATCCTAATATAAAAAAGACAAATACATATTTACATTTCATTACAAACAGAAGTTATCACATTTTCTCTGCAATGTTAATTTCTTGTTCTTTGTTGTTAGTTAAACCTAAAGAGTCTACATTACTTACCTGGGTACTTTGGTCCGCAGTAGGACTCTTCCTGTGGCCAACGGCCGGAGTACCAGATCGAGACGACGTTTGCTGCGAGCCCCCTCCAATGAGATCTAACATTGAACCTGAAAAATGGTTATATAAATATATAGAAATAAAATTTAAATCTGCCATTCAATCCAATTCAAAATCTACTCCTTTGAAGTTATCATTTTAAACAATTCAAAGGTATATGTAGACTATTGAAGCGTAGACTGGTTAAAAAGGGCAAATTTCTGCAATCAACTGACAGTCAACACATTTAATTTTTTGCTCTGTGGAGAAACATGATAATTTGAGAAATAACTTAGTTTAAGCGTTAAAACATATTGGAGAAATTTGCATTACTGTTTACCACATAACTGTAGCCTTGATTAAGCTGTTAAAAAATGTAACCATATAATTATAATTTGTCAGGCTAACAGATCAATCAGGGCTTCAGAAGATTCTATAAGGGTTGATTTTTCAATCCTCAGAAAAAAATACCAATTAACTGAAGAATTAAATTATGGGCTCTTTATTTGTCAGTTTAATTTTTCAATTGATATTTATTCTTGGGATAGCTAACAAATATGCTATCTGACAAATATGCTTATCTATTAAACTGCTAACTTCACAAAGGAGAAACAAACATATAGAATTAACAAATGCTAGAAGAGAGACAACTATGGCTTTGATTTCTGACATCTGGCAATGTCATTACAAATGTTAACTATTATGCTAAGGGGTTATTTAGTTGTTGTGGTATATTTGTATGCAGTGATTTTGCGTTATTAATATTTGCTATATAGAAACTAAAAAGAGGGAGGATTCTGTGAATTTTAATAATGGTGAAGGCCAACTACTAGAGAGCCATGTGGACAGAAAGAGGAATAAACAAATAATAGAAAAAAAATGCTATCACCAAGAAACAAACAATGATATGTTATCCTTTCTAGAATAGAAATCCTTTCTTCTACAATTCCTTTTTTTATTTTAAGTGGATTAACATATTAATTTGTAATGGCTTCTTCCTCCAATGGCCATATTGTCATAAACTAAAGCATGAAAACTAACCCCAAACTGTAAACAAACAGTGCTTCAACCATACCATTTATCTGTGAAATATGTAATCTGGCTAGCATAGTGACAGACAGTGAATATTCTCTGAATAAAGCCATCTGATGATTGAACAACATACTTTTTTACTATCTGTTGAATAAACCCTATGTCTGTTTTATCTGAGGGTTAAAAAATTGGCCCTAAAAGCAATAAAAAAATAAAATATTGATTTCATTCTATGTACCTAATGTAAAATTATATTATGCATAGACAAGAAAGACATTGATGAGATGGTGAAATGGTGCATTTCAATATTATTAAAACATCTTCTTTTTTTACTTTTGGCAACATAATGTGACATACTAGAATTATAAAATAATCATTAAAATGTTTTATATATAAAATTAAATATGTTTAATTAATTTCTTAAAATATTTTACAAGCAACAGACCAAGGAACACTATATATGCAGTTTGCGATTTTTCAAATTAATAATTTGTTAGATTTGGTTAGTTGTTTTACAGCTGCACCAACATTTTAATTGATACAAAAATAATTTACAGGAATTATAAAAACATTTGATTCTGAATTTTAAGTAAAATACTCTGGATTTTTATTGTATAATTGTTAGCAGACTAAACAGTTAAAACATAATATAAGAAATAATAATAATGATGGATTATTTAAATATTATTAAAAATACATGCTATGGTCGTGGATGATAATAGAAGCTAATGATAATTATGTTCAGTTAAAAATAATAACTACATTAAGAAAAGTGTGAGGTAATACTAGTTATAATATAATTACATAGATTGAATATGAGTTAGCATAGAGTAAAAATCGCAAGGTGGCATTTTTTCAAAGCTGAAGCATAAAAATCTAAAGGAGAAAAACCTTGGTCTTTCACTTGGTTGGAGTGATGAACCACTCCTGATCCAATTGGAGCAGTTGTAGGTTGGGGCTGAGTCACCAAATCCACAGATGTCTGCGGAGACAACTCACTAGTCTTGTTAAGTTGGGTGTGCACACCTCCTGGGAATCCAGCCATAGGGTGATATTGAGGATACTGCGTCTGCCCCACCACAGGATGATTGAACTGTCCCGCATATTGTCCTGGAGCAGACGTACCACCTCCCAAGGACGCCGGTACAGACATCTGCATGATGGCAGGATCGTTGGGCAAAGAGGGGACATCATTCAAAACCCTTATGTCCTTTATGTCAGACCCACGAAACAAGATGTAATCATACACCTGACTTTGAGGGGCAATGGGGAACTGCGATTCACGATCCTCAGTACCAAAAGATCGCACTGTGGAATAAAAATAAAAACACTTATAGTAGTTTGTTTCGAAGTAAAAATAAACACAATATTCAAATAAGACTAATAAGAAAGATATTTATAATGGTACAAAGAATAAAACATTTTGTTTACAGGATTAGCGACGTTATCAACGTCATCAATGTGTAACTACGGCTAGCTCGAGCTAGTCTAACAAAATAAATCTGAGGGTAGAATACAAACAACGTGTCATCATCAAAAATTTTACATGGTTAAAAATGTTACGTGATATCTCGATATATAGCCAAAAGTAAAGTATTTTCACAACCAATACATAAACATTGAAAGATTTGGATTATAGGATAGTAGACAGAAATAGCCGATTAAGGCATTAGGAGGCATCAAATTTCTCCATTTGAGATTAAAATGGAATAATTGCTATCAATTAGGTATATGTTCAAAATAAGAGTTGGTTAGGAGTCTTTTACTAAACGAGAATCCATTTGTCAACTTACCGCTAGCCAAAGCGATGGTACATTTCTGAGGATCTACGGTGAAAAGTCGTCCTTCATATCGGATGTCAGCTTTAGATATTAGGCTTATCTTGGAGCCCAACTCGGGCATTCCAGAACTCATTATGTTGCTTTAAAAATCCGCCGCCGATGACAACGATTTTTTCCGATATCTTCGACCGTGAAAAATTTAGCCAGCGTATAAAATGACTGACGTGAAGTTGACAACAAGCGCGCCGCGATTGTTGTTCGTTTCTCAGCAGTGTTACCACCTCCGAATATGTTAAAGCACAAGCGCCATCTAGAATAAAATGACGCCAGATTGCCTTTACTAAAATAACCAGTAGTCATGAATGCATCTAAAATATTTTTCGGCGCGCGGGGTGATGGAGGGATATTAAAAAAATAAGTAAGTTTTAGTGAAAAGACGAGATTCCCGAATTTCTAAAACCGAACATGTAATAAACACACGTTTATCCGACAATTTTCATTCATTAGTCTCAGTCAAACATAAACACGAACGAATATGTAAATAGGTAGGTATGAATGTAGAAAATTACAGATAAAACGTAATTGAAGTTTAGGAAATACCAAGGCTCAGCAGGGTAAACTTATATACTGATGATGGATGGCAAAGCCAATAAGAAACCCATTAATACTGAATCATATTGAAAAACTGCAAAAAAAGAACAACAATTTTTATTGCTTATGTGATGAATGTCTCAGAGAACCAACTGAGCCCCTATTTTATTAGAAAATTAGGAAACACGTTCTTATAATTTTGTCAAAATTATATCCATGAAGATTATTATTGGTGCAACAGAGGCGGTGACAGTTCCATTTTAATTAACGGAAATTGAGATTCTTACACCCGGTTTCTGAATTGAGAATTTGAAGTTTGGAGATATGTCAAAATTATTGATTTTAATATTTATATAAATATAATTCGACGTGTGGATGCACAAATGGCAATATGGCACATAACCGTCTCGTACTCTTGATTGAGTACACTAGCGCCAGAGTATGCTAGTGAACCAATCAAGAATGCAGATCGACATAATTGCAATAGGATATTTGACACTTTTCTGAAATTTATTTTAAATCGTTGTTTGCTACATTATAAACACACTGTCATTATATTTCATTGGAATCTTTTCTATTTTTGGAAGAACTTAAATAGCCAAAATCGCACTCTATATAATCGTGACATCACAGGCCAGTAAATATGTCAAATCGATAAGTAACAACTGTCTTTATAGTAAATTGAAATAATAATTTAGAAGAGAAATTGAAGTCGTAGTGCGTATTTTTACGTTTTTTATTTTCCTCTACTTTTTTTTATAACATAAGCTACAAGTGGTGCGTAGTGCCACAATGTACTAATTCTATAAATTCCTCACAAACTTCGTGTCTAGAAGGAAATAGATTCACAATAGATTAGTAGCTATATAGAGTAGAGATGGGTGATAAATTAGGTAAGGATTCGCTAAAAGTATTGAAACTTTTTATTTCATATCGATACATTTGAAGATTTTCTTTTTGTTTTTTTCTATATCATAAACATTTTACGACTCATTTATATTTGTTGACAGGGCTCGCACTTTACAGCCATTCGACGTACAGATAGATGAGACATTAGTACGAAAAAGAATGTACTATTTTTTTTTATACGTGTATGTAGTATGTCTGTCCACTAAATGCACGCCACTTGATAATTAGACATCCTGCCGATGATTTGATGACAACCGCAAGACATGATTATAAAAATTAATACACATATAAAAAAATATTTAAAATTAATACAGGTTATAAAGATTAATACACATACATAGAAAAAGGCTATGGAACAGATTAATCAATGTTAGGAAACTGAACATGATTCTTTGTGTGATTGTTTTGTGTGTGATGTGTGATGGTGTTAGATGGTAGGTAGGATTTTGAAAAAAAGCGTTAAGAGGTCACGCTTGTGGCACAATGGGAAAATTATGATTACCGCTTTGAATCAACAGGGTATTTAACACTATTAAAAATAAGTTGCGTGTAGTAGTCATCCTGTTAAGTAACAATCTAATAAAGTTTATTTCGGAAAACGGAGAGAACCAGGACAGAACTCACCGTGAGTGGGAACATATACGTGCTATTTCACTTATAAGTCTCGCCGAGCCTTGTCGGTGAAACTTTTCGGCGTGATTCTGAACGGCCTAATGAAGTTAGTTGAACAGGCTAGATCCCTTCGCAAAAAAACCTATATGTCAACAAAGCGTCAAATGTTTAATCAAAATGACAAACCCAAGATTTGGCTGTATGGCTTAATTGCTTCGCCTGTACCATTCTCGAAGACGAAAACAACAACAACAATCAAAATGACAACGGTTATTTAAATTTAAGTACAGACAGACTGCAGTTTTGTTTGAGCGGCAAATAAATATTCCAATATTGTTACTGTAATTGTGTAACAATTTCATAAAACATAGCGATTTAGAATTTTAAATGTTAGTGGACGTATTGTAATGGTTTTAGAAACGCCGATATCTTCTAGGCGTAGCTTTGCTCGCCTTAGCAGCAGCGGTGGTAGCAACAATTCTATTCGGCGACGAAGTTTGATACCAAATCGTGTAACTGAGAGAACTGAGGTAAATATAAATAGTCATAATATAACAGAAATAGAATAAAGTTTTTTTTTTCTATACTCGATCCTAACGAAAAGATTAATCAACTACAATTGAACTATATCAATATATTTTTTAATATTACACATCTAAATACCGAACAAACTATTACTCAGTCCAATGTAGCTATTCCTCTAGACTCTAAATAATACATTGACAAAAACGAATGATTGACCGTATCAGTATCCCATTGCCTCACTTATTCTTGCTATAGGTGGACTTTAGATAGGACGTTTTTCTATGTTTGCACAGTCAAACATAAATTATTTGACACTGGAGAAGAACTTGAACAAGCCAAAGATGGTTATAATTATAATTATACAACAGTTTAATAACATCATCTACTTATTATTCTAGGACAGAAATGATGATGAGGCAGAGCGGTCGTCTTTGGTGGCTTCAGAGCGAGCAGTGGCGACGTCTACACCACAAGCATCACCGCGTCACACGCGCGATACAATATCCTCATCACCACAGAAAGAACACTTCCAAGGCTGCCTTAAACTTTATGCTGAGAATGTTAGTTCAATTTACAGATTATTTATATTCATACAAGTCAAGTTGTTTTATAAAACTCAGGTTCAATAAGAAGAAATCATCACTTTATATTGTTTGGATCTAAATCTAGATAGTGGTACCTTTGTGGTTTTAGATTTTGTTGAAGCAGGGAGTTCTCTAGACTGATATTCTTGCTGGACCCTCCTACTGTAGGTCAATGTAATATTTCTAGTAGTCTATTTAAAGTAGTGTGGGGTGTGCATACTTGCCTGCAGATATGCCCATCTAGTGAATCCTCACTGAAGTCAAAGACTTTAGCAATTAAGGTTTTGGACAACATTTGAGATTATGTCTTTTATTTAATTAATTATTTACTCTCTTTTTTAGAAAATAAATAAAGACAATGCATGGAATCTACAACTCATTGACTTCATGACGTCTATGCTGAGGCGGCATGACTCACGAATGGACAACCTGCAAACAGCATCTACTGTAGTTGATGCATCTGCTAGAATTTATTCATTTAGAGTAGATGCTGTACATTATGATGTACTTAAAATGGCTGGTGGACTAAGTAAGGCTGCTCAGGTATGTATTAGGGTAAATGCACATTAATCTACATCCAACAAGTTAAAGAAGCCGAAAGAAACATTTTAAGGATTACTTTTATTATGATAGCGTATTAACTTTTACATACGCATGTTGAATCATCACAATTCTTATATCACTTGTCATTCAAATCAGTGTAAAGAAAATTCAGTTTATTCACTTTCTTGGGCTTGGAACTGCTAGCAGCTGATAGGTAGAGTGCCTTCAAACTATATTTATTTAAAATACAACATTATGAGTGAGACACAGTTTTTTTAAGTGGTAGTCCATTGTAAAGTTATTTGAAATACTTATCATTACATAGACAAAACGAGGGAAAAAGGATGATGATGGTGCAACTCAAGATGAAGGTGCAGTGGATGGAGATGCTGCGCCTCAAGTAAAAAAAAGGAAAAAAAGATCGAAGGGTGCCATTGCAGCAAACCCTGAGGTGTTCAATGGTGACTTCGACGCCAATGACTGTATAGGTAATTAAGGCATTTCAAATATATTAAACTGCCAATTTGGCTAAACTATGTTCGTTTGATACCTACAAATTGAAAGTGGCCTCAATTTTGCGACATAGTCCATGCTACTTTTTGTGTGATGTGACACTTTCGGTGCATTCTGTGTGATGGGGATATTTATTCTTATAATGAATTATCACAGATCCATTTTTCGAGAGGCTAGCTGCTACTACAGGCGACGTTACGTCGTCCAATAGAGCATTTAACGCAACGTTGCCTATCCACGACAAGACATTGGCACTAATATTGAGGTTTATAACTTTTGTTACTTAATTTCTAATGCATCTGTTTAATATTGTCAGGTAATCTAATAGAAGATTAAAAAATATCATTAATTTTTTACTCAGATTCTACCTGTGTAGCAAATTTCATTAAAATAAAATCAGCCATCAGGCTGATTTTTGTTTTCTATTTTAGAAATAGTGATGTAGATAATTTGTCTCTAATATAATTATGAAATTCTTGGTAATTAAAACCATAAGGGACATCTCTCTTAGTAGGTTGCTAGCTGAATTTAAAAAAAATCTATATTCTATGCTAATATTTAATGTTTTGTTTTATTTTCAGAACTGATGATATTTTCCTTGAACCAATAAAAGAAAATGTAGTAGAAGATATAGATCTCACTGATCAAATATGTGTTGCATTAAAAATGTTGCCTGCTTTTGTGGAAGGAGACCAAATATGCGAACCCTTCACTGGATTTTCTATCAGCAATTGGGACCCAGATACAGAGGATGTGTAAGTATTTAGGATAATCCATTATTTACGTCTATATCTTATTAGAAAATCATGAGAGCAATTTTGTAATTCAAAATGTTAAGTTATATTATAATATACCTCACTTGGTGATGCATATGAATAAATGACTGCTAAGTCATTTGAGCAACAGTTGAGATGCCAGTTGTCATAGTTATCTGGCATCAGTTTTTTCTACTAGTTTTATTGTTTCATGGATGCCAAGGATCCAAAAGCTCTTTAGTAGACACTGCCGTGACATCTAATAAAATTGACTACTTGTTTGAGATAATCCTAGATAATTATGTTTTATTCTATAATCATTCATATTAACAGTGACAGCAACCGTGTAAATAACTGGGTGGATGAAAACCGTTTGAATTTGTCTCAACAAGCATTGGCCTTCGATGTTAATGCAGAGGTGGAACCAATACCACAAGATGATGTTCAAAATGATTTATTTGGTGAGTTTTTAATTTAAAATAAAAATCATTTGTACTATGGATGGGTACTAATATATTAGAATAGGAAAAAAAAAAAATCGTCAATAGTAACAAAGTTTTAATGACAGAAGTTTCCTTCAAGAGCAATTTCCATATAATTCTGGTCCATATATTATAAAATAAGGAATAAAATTTAGTATTGAATGCAAGAGGCAGCTTTATAGTTAATTTTTTTATTAACATAGAATCTCTATTTGAACTTTAGACTGGTGAATATATTATAGATATTTATGATCTGGTGTATGGTTATGCAGAGGATGAACCACTAGGTGGGATAGACAGTGAGGAGGAAGCGGAGGCTGCACTAGCAGCATGTGCGGTCCGTGCGCCCGCCGCCCCCGTGGCGCGATTGACTGACATGAGGCCGAACGGACCTCACGACACGCGGCTGGAGTACTCTTACTGCGGGTCTATAGTCGCCGCCTGGGCCGGACCCGCGCATTGGCGGCTCAAGAACAACAGAGGTGTGTAGATAGTTAACAGATGGAGCGATTGATTGACATGAGGCCGAACGTACCTCGCGACACGCGGCTGGAGTACTCTTACTGCGGGTCCATAGTCGCTGCCTGGGCCGGACCCCCGCATTGGCGGCTCAAGAACAACAGAGGTATGTAGACAGTTAACTGATGAAACGACTGATTGATATGAGCCCGAACAGACCTCCTCAAGACACGAGGTTGGAGAACTTCTACAGAGGGTCCACAGTAGTGCAGGGTATAATTTTAGCCTCAGAATTTTAAGGTACTGTGAAAACATTATGAAGTATCATTTTTGGAGTATCAGTAATAATAGTGAGTCAAAATTATTTTTTCGTCTCCTAGCATAATCTTTTAACTCGTGTTCGGAAACGTTATAAACATCCAGCTTTAACTTTGAAAAGGAAAACGACACTATCTATAGTATTGAAACTGTCTTATTACATCTCATTCCAACTCCAACATTATCCGGAACTTTATTGGGACATGGTTACCAATAGATTTTTTTGTTTTTCTTCAGACATGCATTAGTTTCGATTACCGAGCTCTGAACTGACTTCAGTATATAACTTACAGCATCGAAACAATCTGAACGCACTCAGTCGACGGGCGGTCGTTTAACCGTGGATGGTAAAAAGCCGGCGCGGACGAAGCGTCAGCTCGACTTCCTCGGAGCTGGTCTCGCGTTCGACAGCAGCGCTGCGCCCACTGGCGAGTACGAGCCTACTCAGCCCGCCAAGATCATGATCAGCAGAAAAACTCTGGCCACTGGGCACACATGGAATGAGGCCAATTTCAAAACACCCATAGATAGGCAAGCCTTTGTATATAAATTTTTCATAATTTAAGCAAATATTTTCTACCAAATAAACAAGAATTTTATTGAAGTCATAACTGTTAATAGAATACTATAATTATTATATAATAATTATAATAATGTATTGGATAAAAATAGTAATAAAGTAAAAGTAGACAGTCTAGGCATAGATTTTGGGCAATGCTTAAAGTTTAGCGCCTATACTGGACATAATAGATATGTCAAGATATATTAGAAATACGATATAAACAGTGTGATTGGTTAAATTTTCGGACTTTTTATATACTTATGTGCATTCACGATTTAGGTGCTTGTGTAGATAGAAGACGGCGTATTATTTTTCTTGGTTTATTACCTCAAAATTTAAATTATTGTTATTGTCTCTTTACGTGTAAAGGCCACGTGAAATTGGCGAAAACATGTAAACGCGAATAGGCCATACATTAAAAAAGAAGTGAAGCATGAAAAATTATAGACGAACATTGTCTAAAGCAAGTGCTTAGTAACGTTACAAGTTTGGTGAAACGAAAAATATGCTTAAGCTATTCTTAATATTAAGTGATTTCTAGTTAAGCTATGCCTTATTCTAGGTTAGTGAAAACGGACGTTAAACTCGCATCTATATTTTTAAGCTACAAACAAGAATTTAAATGAATTAAGAACTCTCAAAAGTTTTATTACTATTATTGACTTACAAACAAATATACAGTAAAAAAAAATATTTTTTAAATAACTAAAAATGCAGAAAATGAAGTCATTCTTTTAACTGTTCAACTTAAAATAAAGATTCTTCATTTTCCCAACTTTATTCCGATAGAATAGGCTTGTGTCCTAAAAGTGAAAAAAATAGGTTTCTGTTATATGATAGAAAAATATTAACCCTTAAAATTTATTTTGTTAAATTTTCACTTTTAAATATTTAACAAAATAAATTTTGTGAAATTATTTGGATAATATTATGTTTAACAAACTTAAAAAAGTAGAGAAAATATATATCAAAAATTTGCTAAAATACATATGACATAAAAATTTGTTACATAAAACATTACAACTTTCATTTTAAGTATTGGATAAACACATCGTTGCATATTTAATGATTAGTTGCGTAATCCGAACAGGGGTTTAGACGAGTCACATTTCCGTAAGCTGTTTCTGAGGGAGAGCGTGGTGATGGCCCGCAAGCGTGACCTGCAACGGGCCCCCGCCCCCGCCCCCGAGCCCCTTGCCCACGATCCGCCCAACGACTACGACTATAACAACGAGAACGACGCCTCGTATTGCCCTAACAACATACCGGTTAGCCATTTTTTTTTATAGTAACTAGTTTTTAATGCCCTTCTAATATACCGTTTAGTTATTTTATTTATTACATAATGATCAGTTTATGATATCCTAAAAATGTGCCGGTTAATAACTTTAAGGGAATTCCCTTACATTAAGGGAATCATTGTATTTCAATCTTACAATTAGCAGTTTTTCGGCCCCACATAGGGCCCGTCCATTAATCACGTGATGTTTTTTTGGCATTTTTTAACCTCCCCTCCCCCATAGTGATACATGGTTAGGTTTAAGACTACCCCCCCCCCCCCTCCCCATATATAACGTGTATTTTTAGTACTTACAATGAATCTTAATTTTCTTATAGTATTATAGACAATTAAAGAGTACAATAATGTCTAGAGGTAGACAGAAAGATTACAGGACTTGCAGGTTGTTTTTGATTGACAAAAATAATGAAAGGAATGCGAAAAACTTTATGAATATTATTATTTAATGAATGTTTGACGAAAAAATAATTTTATTACACTTATTTACGCCGCTTTTCGGTTGAGTATCTTGCGTTTGTCGAATAAATAAATACACGTGATATGTTACTTCACCCCCCCTCCCCCCTTGTGATATTTCGTGACTTTTTTATGGACCCCTCCCCCCCCCCCTTTCGAGCCTCACGTGATTAATGGACAGCCCCATAGCAGTTTTTCGCCCACATAATTATTATAGTCTATGTCATTCGCGTATGATAGAGCTAGAAAGAAAAATAGATCCAGTAGTTTTGGAACATTTTCAATGTAAAAAACATTATATATCTAAGGTTGACTGTTAAAACTACTTTTTCTTCGCGGCAGAATAATAAGAGTGCACATGCCTGCTCTTAAGCAACTATTGCGTAGGATGAAATCAACAGGTTGATAATAATGTTTCTAGGATGGAGACGAGTGGGGCAATGAAGATGCAACCGCAGCGGGTGATCTGCACGACCAAGTGAAGGCAGCTGAACCAGAGGAGATAGGGGACATGCTGGAACCACCGACTAAGGTTTAAAATAAATACAGATTTTCTATTGATTCTATTAGTAACAAATTAGACTGCATCTCACACATTACTCAGATTCCAAGATAAGCATCTAAAGCCATTCCTTGTATTATGGAGTAACGTCGAAGGTAACACAATAGCCCATAAAAAAGACGATAGAAAATCAAACCCGGGATCTCAAGCAATGGCGACTCGGTTACGAGGGTTGGTATTATGCAACTCATGTAAAAATTATCTATGAAGTTGGTAGCGGATATTTCTTTAAATATCAGATTCTTATATAAATAGAGCTTTTATTCAACATTACAGTAAGTGCTAACTAATACGCGCATGGTGAATCTTCATTTGCATAGAGTGAAACAACCAATTCCGATGATGACCGACGTATGGTTAAAATTTATAATTAATCTTGTCTCTTGTTTCAATATGCATAAGGTGTAAAATACAACGCATTAGCTGTCTGTCTCACTCACACTCAGCGGGGGTCAGATGCGTGGATATTGGTGGATCGCCCGATGGTGTGATACTTTACTCTGCCTAATTAGTTTACATTTGCCGCACTTCGAAATTAAAACTTCTGCGTTGTCACACTGATGTGCCACATCAGTTGTAATTTACTCTTATCTGTTTAATTTTATTTAGGTACTATAGAATTTTTAATATATTTATTCACAGGTGGCGAAAATATTCATACCGTATGCGATGCGGGCCAAAAAAGTGGACATGAAACAATTGAAACATTGTACGTGGAAGATGTTGACGGAGCGAACACCTGAAGGCGAGAAAGAGGACGTCTCCAAGACTACATTCTTCTCGATATACACAAAACTGCCGACTAAACTGTCTACGAATATGCGCGAGTCCCTTAGTGTACCGTTGGCACTATTATCCATACTCCATTTAGCAAACGAAAAAGGTCTTATATTGGAAAAAAAGGAGGAGCTTAACGATATCGGTATATTAGGACTCATAAAATAAGTAGTTTTGTTATGAACGAGAGATTTGGTGTTTATAAATCTTTACTAAACATCGAAGCTGAATTAAGCTGGTAATTGGCCATATATATGTACAATCTAATCGTAGTATGTACAAATAGTTAATGCTGAGCATTAAATTGATGTATATAATCTATGAAATAAGGATTTTTTAATGTGTTTTCTTGTAAACTAATAAGTTTCACAACAATTGTACAGACATTTATTATTACTTTTAATTTTTTCTACAGTTTTCTGATTTTGTTAATAAGTAATAAAATTAATAAGATCAAAATGTATTTTATTATTCGAAATAGATGCTAGTCAACTAAAATATCTATGAAAATTAGTCATATTATTATATTATTTAAAGCCGTTGTCAATCGCGTTCCTATTTTCCGCATAAACAACTACTTTCACATGATATCGATGGCGTTATTGTTTTAAATAAATGAGCTTATAAATGCATACAACAAATAGTATATGACTTAATATTGACCCCGGAGGGACTTTTTTTAACCACGGTTATTTTCGACGAATACATATATTCTTGATTCACACAATTTTAATTGAATAATTTAAGAGGACCTCGTATGCCGTAGTATTCTAATTAATGTAGAAATATATTATTATCAACTATGTCAAAAGCAGAGGTTAGATCCATAAAAAAAGTTCGATTTTGATCGGTCTTTTTGTGAAGAATTGAAAATAAGGATGAGCTTTTTTATGAAAGTGATTTTTGACTTGTGGTCCTTTTATAGTTTATAAGCAGCGATTATGATTTTATTAGATACAACATAATCTATATTTCTTTGACAAAGTTAACTAGCGTAATGAAAAGTAAGGCCATAAAAATATCACAAATATCCCGCTTACAACTTTTCAAACATGTTTCAGCAGATCTATTACGAAAGTGCTAACCACTGCACCATGCCGCGTGGTGAGTCATGCATGGCCCATTTTTCTTATGAGATTTCATCCATAGGGAATGCATGTGCCCCAGCAGTAGGGACAGTAATTAGCTAGTAATGAATTCATTCAGCAGTCCTAGCAATCGTGCTACGGTGCAACACGAGTTGTTGACCTTCCTTAATAAGTAGTTAAGGTAATATGTAGTAAGAACTTCAAATGGGCACGGAAATTGTCTAATTTTAATAATTCTTTTCATAAGCGAATGCGAGTTTAAATACATAGATAAATAGATAACACTTAATTGCAAACACCAAATACAAAACATACAAAGAAAAGAAAAAAGAACAATATTAAGCCATGTGTCACAATCGGCGGTCTTATCACTAAACAGCGATCTCTTCCAGACAACTTTTGGATGGAGAGATGCCGACATAATTCTATATATCATTAGCATAATCGTTATACCTTTGATGGGCATTGAATTTTTTTTGTATAAATTAAAATAGGTGCAAAATTAGCGGGGTAGCGCTTGGATTCAGTTTTATTATTAGAATATGTTATAGCTCGACTTTTTATTAAATGTAGTAAAATTACATTTCTTAAAGTTGTTTTGAGAAATAATACTGCCACATTGTTTTCTACTAGTGAGCTGGTTCGTTATAAAATTTCTGGACGTAAACAAGATAGCTTTGAAAACTGAACCAAAATATTCTTTAGGTATTCGGGTAAGTTATTATAATAGCATAAGTAATTATAATTTTGTGTAGCCCATTGAAAGTGTTTATCAATTATTTCTGCTCAAGATTTGGTTTCAGATATCAATTTATAGTTTAATTTATTCAATCTCTATGCCCGAATACAGTCACCTTGAAATTGATATTGAATTAAATATAAAAAATATGGGCTATTGATAGAAACTGTTTGTACAAAGCATAAGATTATTTAAAATTAAGATCGGCATTACATTATTTTGTTCGTAGCCTGATTATTTGGCAAAGATTGAATAACACCACATAATTCATTAAAATCACGTTTTAATTTTACAAAACACTAAATTGATGACATGACGTAGGATTGAAAAAATTGTAGTCAACTCCTGGTCTTTATATATAAAAAAAAAAACATAAAAATACTATATTTTAGAAATTGATGCTGGGGGAAACTCTCTCGGATGGGTCTCGAGAGCACCTACTTATATATTTGTACGGTGACTATACAGTGATAAGACCGCTGATTGTGACACAAGTATATTTGATTATGTTTAGTTTTCTTCTTTTTTTTGGTTTAAATAATAGTGTTATTTATCTATTCGTTTATTTATAAATAAGCAATAACTCAAATTTATAGAATAAAAAAATCCTACCTCTTGTTGGGCACATGATACCGAAGAATTTTTAAGTATCCCTATAAATATAACATTAAATTCAAAATTTATTAAATATTCATAGTAAGCAATAAAATTATATTTTTTCGAGTTATTCTTCATTCGTAAATTATGAACTGAATGCAAGAGGAATGAAACGATTAATTGATACGTCACTATTCATATTCAGTTCAATGGAGTGTGTAACTTAAATTAGTAATGTTTGAATGAAAGTTAAGAAAAAAAACATAATATACATATTTATACAGGGCTTTATTTTTAAAACAAACAAAAAATATTTAGGTCACTTGTAATTTTTGAGAAAAGAAATCAAAGGATATTAACAAAATTTAAAAACCAAATAACAACACTTCTTAGAAGTACACAACTGGTAAATATTAACTTTATACTTACGTAATAGTGTGCAGTATAACAGTTAACTTAGGACAATAAAATTATACAATGAGTATTAAACATGGACGATGGACGAATCGTCTTACAAACTTTGATTACCTATTACCAAACTTTTAATGTAATATAATTTCACCAATCGATGGTTACATATTCAGTGTAAGATACCATTGTAACATTAAAAAAAATATATCTTTTCACCGTACTAGCAAAGTGCGATCTGTAAATATTTAACAAAATTTCAATATCTCAACAGGTTCTATTGACAACAAAATAGTCGCTCAAAAACACAACATTCATAAAATTAAAACACCGTAAAATGCGAATAAAGAAACATTCATAACCTTTCAATAGTTTAATGCTGTCATTATCATGAACACGCTAGTTACATTTAAATAAATTTGAAGACAAAAATAACTACCTATATTAAATAAGCATTAAAGATAATCATCACAAAAAGCTGCTTTGTAATAGCTAGTCTAGAGATTTAGTAATATAATATACAGAGTCAAGTTGACAGCCGTTCACTGTTCCGTCACTGGTTTATATACATTTGTTATAGTTTCTTCTTTCACTGGACTTTTTTGTGGAGATTCTGTTATATGAGTCTCTTTGGCTGGAGTTTCTGTAGACGATTCAGTTACTACATTCTTAGTTGGCGATTCTTTCTCCAGCGATTTATCTTGTTCTCCACAACTGGTGTATCCCGTATCAGTATTTATAGAATCCTTCGATTCCTCCCTCTCTGGAAGTTTATTAGTATCACTAGATTTCTCTGTGTAAGATGATAGATCTTTGACACTATCGTCTAAGTTTAGCACAATGTCGACGTTTAAGTTATCAGTTTTTTTTTCAAATAATTCGTTTTCGATAACAGTGTGATTGCTCTCCAAACTAACGTCCAGATCGGGTTGCGATGTGTTCAATAGACTTTCTGCTTCTTCATCTACAGTTGCTATTTCTTTATTTACATCAGATTCAATAGTATCTTTTATTTCTTCTTCTTTACTTTTTACCTTTGTTTCGTCTAAACACTTTGAATCATTGGATTCCTTAATTGTCTCAGACACTATTTGTTTTTCAGTTTCTTGGCATTGTTCAGGATCCGTACTGACAGATTTTATTTTTTCATTTTCATCAACTAGTTTTTTTTCTATATTCTCAGCTTTATCAACTTTTGCGTCACATTGCTCATTTGCTTCAGTATCATCAATTTTTTCAGTTTCATTCACTTGAGCGTCACTGAGATCATTTTTGTCAGCCTCCTCAAGCTTAGTATCACTGACATCTTTTTCTTCATTTTCAATGTTATCATCTGTTTTGGATGATACAATAACTTCTTCTGGTACTGGAGCAGCTTTATCTGAATTAAGTATTGACATAATGTCTTGGCCTTCTATTAATAGTTTAACAAGTGCCGGTTCACTAGTACTATCTAAGAATTCTATTTGGAATGTACAAGTATCGTCTGCTGCAATCTCGTCTAGTTTATCTTTTGCAGCTTCCCTCGCCGAACTGTCGCCAGTGAAACCAGCTAACCGACAGCATTTAGCCAAAGGTTCGATTCCGGCGATTTCCTCCGGGAGCTGTCGGAACTCTTCACATTTAGATTTATTGCCGTAGTCAATAAATTGGACGTGATAGCCGCCGTCGCAGAATTCCAATATTTTTGATCTATACCACTGTTCGTCTTCAGCCCAAAAAGCGGCACAAACCGATCCAACTTTCATTTCGGTTACAGATTCAAAATCAGCACCACCCATTAAAGCTTCCGTCACTTTATCTAAATCGGACGACGAGCTATCAAGCTGCACATAGAACTCGTCAACCGAGTTGACAAAACATATTTTTCCGGTGCTATATAGATCTTGACCGACCGGAGTTGGCCGCTCGCTTATCGGCTGTTCTTCACAGAGACCGATCAAGTCTTCGGTAACAGATTTTCCTTCCAAATACAATTCGACGATAGATATATCCCCGGAAGCTATAAACTGCACATTGAATATTGTGGCACCTTCGGCTGCGAGTTCGTTAAATTTCACTTCTGATTTTCGGGACCAAGATTTTACGTCGCGAGGTTTTTGCAAGGCGCATTTCCTCGAAAGCGCGGGCTTAGCTTTCAGCTCATCTGGAAGACTTCGCAATTCGTTCGCGATGGACGCGTTTCCATAATCCATGAAGAGAACTTCGGTTCCTTCGGAACCGTCCACGATAACCTGAGCTCGATACCAGGCGCCATCTTCGGGATACTTAGCAGCGCAGATCACGCCTTCTTCTTTGTCGGTTAGCTTGGGGAAATTTTCAGCGTCGATCATAGCGGCTTCCATAGCTTGCAGCTCCGGGGCCGCAGTCTCCAGCTGTATCCAGAATTCTGAGGGAGAGTTGACATGACTTGCGAAACAGGATGGCAGATCACCGCCGCATTCGGTCTCGTCCGATCTCGTCGCGTGACCTTCAGACACTAATTTCTCAGTGAGGTTTTGTCCGTTGACGAATATATCAACATAAGTGGTGATATCTTTGAGCACTATCAACGCATCGACCGGCGCGGACATGTCTCCCACGAGCTGCGTGAAGTAATCGGACGCGGGCTCCGACCACTGTCCGGTGCCGGACGGGACAGCGTTCACGCTAGACTTGACGGCGTACCGCTCCACGTCCTTCAGGTGATCGGGCACGGTCTTGATCAGGTTCGGCTGGTTGTCCAACACGTCTGTGTTGCCGTAATCGATAAAACGGACCGTAGTGATGTCAGAGTCCGAATCCAAAATCTCCGCGCGATACCACTGATCATCGGCCAGATATTTTGCTATACACAGAGTCCCCATTTCGCGGTTCTCGATATCTGAATAAGAATCGGCGTTCGTTTGAAGCTCCGCTTGGATCTCCTCGATTTTATCGACTTTGTCCGCCATCTGCAGCCAGAAATGACCGGGAGTGTCTATGTGGCTGATGTACACTTGCGTGCATCCTTCCGGCAGAGAAATTGGCTCCTCGGGTGCGACTTCCGGTTTCTGTTCCTCTTCTGTGATCATTTGTGGTGTAGCCAGTTTCTCGTTGACTAACTTCATAGCCAAATCTACCCCGTCCAGGTGTAGGCTGGCCAGCCAACCATCACTTCCGAAAGCTAGAGTAACTTGGACTTCCTTTTCATTCGTCCATTCTGTTAGTTTGACGAGAGCGGCATCTTGTAATGCCACTAGGCCTAAACTGGCGACTAGACCGAGCGAGCACGGCTCAAAGAACTTAGGATCGAGAATTTTGATATTCTCCTTAGCAACTTCTTCTGCGTTTCCATAATCGACGAACTGTACTTTGATTAGTTCCTGTTTTGCGTTGATGACGGTGGCGCGATACCAATTGCCGTCAGACGACTTCGCCGCACACAGACCGTCCACTTCGAAGGTTGTCAGGGCTTCGGGTGTACCTAGAGACAGAAAATATGGTATTAAAATATTACATATCAAACAAAAATAAACGCAATGGTTTTTCACCATGATGAGTTATTAAAGAAGTTGTAATAATAAGAACTCTCTTTGAAATGAAAATGTTTATTCAGCAATTGTGTCTTTAGCAAAAACGTTGAAAGTTAATCTATAAAATAATATAAGAGTCGTTAAAGATTTCATCCTGTACAAAGAAAAGAACTGTGTAAAGAAACCATCTCACCTTCCTCGTAGTACTTGTAAAGATCGTCGAGTAGCTGCGCTATCTTGTCTGAATCGGCCGCCTTCTGTAGATATATTTCGTTGAGGTTCTCAGCGTGAGCTATGAACGCTAGTCCGAAGTTGTAGTTGAATACAGCTCGCATACATAACGGCACAACCTCGTCGTATGCGCCATCATCCGGTGAGAATATAGCCACCTTCTTACCGGTCGTATACTCGTATAATGTCGATACGAGTCTAAAAAAAATAATAGGTATGAAATACGCGTGTAGACAGCTAATGAAAATAAATACATATAATATATTCTGGAAGTGTTAAATATACTATTACCGATAATCACGCTTTATATTTATAATATTGCTTAAATTAATTATGAACAAATACTTTATACTCGTTGTCTGGTGCCCTCAAACAGCGCGTGACGTTACGCCCCTCTTTCTCATGTAAGAACTGAGAGAATTGAACCTTATGCATCATAGAACGATATTATTTTCAGGGGGCCGTAACGTCATAGCGACGCCATATTTGGAAAATTAAAATTATTTTTAGATTATAACTTATTAAATAAATGATATATCTCTAAAATAAAAATATAATACACAGATACACCCCTATTATAGAAAAATTCCTTTAAAAAAACTCAAGCATCTGGATGCGTGCTCTAAAAAATGATCTACTGAATACTGAACAATAAAAAGGCCTTTAAATTTATCAAATACTTTTTACTTTTGTTGCTAGTGAGTATATTACTATGAATAAACAACAGATAAGTTTTTACACAAATTTAACTTTAAGTGAAACTATGTTTTCTACATTATTACTTGGATATTTGATTAATTTTTCATTCACATGCTCTATTCAACCGTCTCAGATGCTATAAAATAAATATCAACATTATGAAATCATACCTTCATCTCATAACAGCTCACAGACATTTATATGAGGATAAATGTCTGTGAGCTTCAAAAGAATACATCTTTAACTACTAATACGATTTGGGACTATTTACGCGAGATAAGATTGAAAGGTACTAAGAAAATTGCTAGTTACCTAATATCCTCCACATTATTGATGTAGATGATGAACTTATTTCCAGTAAGGCGTTGTTTAAGATCATCGAGAGTGACCAATAGAGTGGCTTCCGGAGAGTAGTTATTCAAGCAGCATTCCAATGATTGGTAGTAGTAAACGCTCAGCTCCGTAGGAAGGATCATCAGCTGAGTTATGAAGAAAAACATGTTAGACTAAACGTATAGCGTTGTTTGTTAGATAAGTAACGTTAAGTGCAGTGATAATCATAATTATTGAAACGCCAAAGGAGATCAAAAACGTCAAGTACCGAAGTTCAATTTTATATAGGCAACCAAAGTTGCATATTGAACTAAGTACGTAGTGATCAAAATATTGTTTTTACGATATTGAGCAGGGGTTGGCGACTCATTGCAAGCGATCCTGTACTGCCACGGGTTCCGAGGGCTATGTTCTGGAAAGAGGTGCGTCGACGCGGTTGCCAGCGAAGATATCATATCACACAAGGTAGTTTATTCTAGGTAGTTTATTAAATGTCCTTATTCTGGATAACACGAACAATTCACCGAGCTTATTTAAAATTAGGTGCGCGCCGTTAGGAATTCGAACACAGTAAAAACGGTCACTCAAGGGTTAAGGGTGGGAATTAGGAACGAATCAGTTAATCGCCTTATCCATAGACAATAAATGATTTACCCACTGTAGTGTTGTCTTCTTCTTCTTCTTCTTTTTTAATTCATGGCCTATTTGCATTTACACAATTCCGCCAATGTCACGTTTGTGGTCTTTACACGTATAGAAACAATAATATGTAAAATTTTGAATTTAAATAAAATAAAAAAAAATAGCACTGAGCGCGTCTATCTGATTACATTGTTATTGTTGTCTTTTATCTGTTTCGATTATTGTCATATCTTGAAATCTATCTACAGCAAAATATTCTTATTGAAAAATGCTTAAAGAATCCACTTTGTCCCTGGTACTCTGAGATGGGATTCGAACCCACGATATTTAGAACAAATTTAAATTTTAGTAATAACTAGAATACATTTTTCATCTTTATTTAAAGTTTAAAATATTTCTTTCAGCTGTTTGGGTGGATCGCCTTGAACATTGATGAAAATACTCTCTGTAGTAACGAAAAAGTAATACATAAGTGCTTGAAAAATTCGTCAGTCCAGTTGGGTTCTGGGTAGCCCAGTGGTTAGAGCAGTCACCCACCCGGATGGCGGTCAGGGACAAAGTGGATTTTTAAGCATTTTTCATTATGAATTGTTTTAAATAGTGTTGTTAGTAGATATAATTGAAGTAAGAGTGTCAAGATATTTTTATCACTTCGCCTGCTTAGATCAAACGCAGCTTTGGTTGCCTTGATTCAATTATATCAATCTTCTGTTCTTCATCTTCAAATCTTTTTTGATCACCACTGGGCTTCGATGATTTAACTTGATCTACTTTAAGACCCACATCATCTCCGTGGACTCCTATGTAAATCATAGGTCATTGAATTAAAAACTTACCTTATCTAAAGAAGTGGCGATCGTATTGCCGTAATCAGGTAGTACTGCCTTGATGTTATCCGTATCGGACACATCGTTGAGTATAGCGCGGTATATTTTGTCTTCGTGTCTCACCGTGCAATGGATGCCTTCAGCTAGACTATCAGCCGTAAGCGGCGTTAACTATAAATAAATAAATCAATTATCTAAATAAAATCTCTCAAGAAATTTCCAATATAATAGTAAAATCTTTTGTTTGGTTTAGAGGTTAACACATCAACCATCCATTTATTAGTCAGAAAAATAAGAATCTAATGGTAAGTTAGTTATCTAATTTAATGGGAAACAATTATTTCGTAAGAATTTAAGGCAAAAATTATTATTGGTATTTGGTATATTCATTTGTGTGTGATCAACTTTGTTTTTTTTTATGTTATTCATGATTACATTTTAAATACATATCTTGATTTGACTAATAAAAAACATACAGCCTAATTGAGAAACTCCTCCTTTTTTGAAGTTCGGAAAAGATGACTAATCATCTTTCCCAATTCAATTAAATCTTATAATTAGAGGAAATCATGTATTTGCAAAAAATCATAGAAGTTTTTCAAAACAAAGCCTCAACTGTATCAATATATCTATCGACTTTTTTGTCAATCCAAATACCGCAAAAATGTATTAGAAAATTACTCACTTTGCTGGTATCATAGTTGGCAATAGCATTTTCGACCAACGTTGCTTTATCCAGATCCAGTTGAACATAAAACTTCTCTATGGACTCTACGTGTGTCACGCGGCATAGTATCTGTTGACCCACTATGATCGTCAGGTCAATTGCTTCGTCTACAAATAAAAATAAAAATTTCAAAAGGGAGGTTCTTTAATGCACTGCTTTTAGCATTAAATGCATTAAGACCAAGGGGTCTTAAAATCGATCAAAAAATGTCATCGATTTCTTCAGGCTAATTTTTATTATTCTTATCTGTTTTAATTAACTACTTGGCAGTTTTAGCGATAAATCATGAAATATTTTATTTTTCTTTTTAAAATAAACTGTAAGTATATTTCATTTTTGCAAAATTAAATTCTTACATCAATGTTTTTGTTGTGAGTGCAACCAGTACTCAAATTATTGAAATGTCATGTGGCTGATTGTTTTCGAGGTACAATTTAAACTAATGATTTCTTTTTCCTCTTATTTAATAACACTGTTTTGAGAAAAATAAATCTGATAGTTTTATATTATTATATGAACATTTTATAATACTTTATCCAAAATAGTCAAGTAGCTATTTGAGGGTTACTGCCTGTTCTCTCTATTCCATTCATAAGGAAGGCGTTGCCCCAGCAGTAAGAACATTAATAGGCTGACAATGTTGATGTGTAACTAGCTAAAGCTCATTCAACAAACAAAAACAATTCAACAACAATCCCAGCCTCATTTGTCTGTTGCTAAATAACAGCAAATTACAACTCTTTTAGACATAAATTGCGGTAATTGAAAATGGTTTTCAATCACCGAAACACGCAACAAGTTTCTTTTAATCGTTTGAAACTGGACATAAACATAGAGGGTTGCCAGTTGCTAAAACTAAACTATCACTAGATTTCATAGATATAAAACTAAAATATAAAGTTACATTCAAAACATTTAGTATTAAGATTATAACAGATTAAGATTTATAACAAAAAAAGGGCATTGTTTCGTTATCATATTAAATTGAAAGCGAGTAGTTCAAGTAATTCTTCAATAAACAATGTATAATAGGTTATATTAAATTTTTCAATATACAAAAATATCTACTGGACGTAATAACCTATTGCAAAGAATTGTAACAAGTCTAGAATATGTAACACTATGCACATAATTGTAGCATTTAAATTATTGAATCGTGTGCATCGATTCGGTAAATATCGCGTGACTGTAGTTAGTGATTAGGCCATTCCATAATATGATCATACAACAAAGAAATCACTTTGACGATTAGAAGTCTATCCCACATACCTTTTAGAGTTACAGACGTTTGTTGTTCGGACATAATGGCGAGTTGCTTCTCCACCAACATATCAGCGACGCTGGCACCATTGTTCCACAAAGACACCTTGTATTGTTCTTCTACGATATCTTGAAACACGCACTGGTACCGCGGTGCGTTAAAACACAAGTCGATTTCTGGATCCGCTTTCCATTCACCATCTTTAGGGGCGACACCCAACAATGAACAGTGCACTGCCATTTTCGGAATCTCCATCAGTTCAGAATCTAACTGCCATATATCTTTAGCATCGACTAATTGCTTGTTTCCAAAATCCACATATCTCACTATGAATTTCGAAAAAGGTTGGACGGAAACTATTGTCGCTCTATACAAAACTCCATCGGCGGGATATCTGGCCAAGACCGAACCGCCCACTGGCACAGTCCCAGTATATGATTTGACTCCTTTATAGAGCTCTGGTATTTTGTGCATCATTTCAAGAAATTTGGGCTGCTCCGCCATGATCTGTGTGTAGAAGCTCTCCGGTGATATGATCCAAGTGACTGATACTTCATGTTGGGCGCCAATTTCTATCGTGGGTTCCGCGAAAGGGGTATCTAACGAGACCGGGTTGGACAATTCCTTGTATTGGACTTGAGTGAACTTGCTGCGAGTTTTATAAGGCGGGGCGCGACCGCTGTCTTGTGAACGGAAACTCTTTTCTGATCGTTTATCACTAGTGTCTGAACCATATTTATCTGAGCGTTCTGCTCGATCTCTCGGTGTGAAGTTACTCCTGGGCGGGCGATCCGATCTATTATCTCTGAACTCCCGCTTTTGGTTCCATTCCTTTTTCTCGCCCCAATTGTCCCGCCTTTCACCCCAGTTATCTCGTCTATCGCCACGGCTGTCGCCCCGATTGTCGCTTCGGTTATCGCGTCTGTCCGGTCGCCCTTCGCGGTTTCTATTGCCCCTGTCATCTTGCGAATGTTCAGCCTGACTATATTTATTGTCCCTAAAAGAAAAATATTTTTTTGTTAATAGTTTTTATAAAACATCATATATTTTTAAATTATTATTTCAAATACAAAATATATAAAAGGTTTACGTGGTAACAAAAAGGTGAAAATAAATAATAAATTAATTTTAATTTGGAAAATTAGTGATTATGTTATATCTAAATAATTATACAAAAACAAGTACAAACACCAAGCATTATGAAACAAAAAGAACGAGCAGTTAATAAATGGCAGATTGATTATAAAAAATAATAAACAGTGGCGTGCTGAAAATGAAAATAACATATTCAATAAGAATACAGTGCAAAATACGTAGGTGGAATCCAACAAAAAATATAGCTCGAGTATGCAACGCGACGAGAGCGAGACACACGCCGCCGGCGACCAAGCGTGAACAAGCAAATAGGACGAGAAAACGAGTACACCGATTCAACTATTAACGATTTATTGTTCAATACACAAGTATTATCTCAGGTTTTGGCACCTAAAACGAACCAATTAAGGCTTTTTTTCTTTGAAAGAAAATTAAAGTGCCTTCCTTACAAGTTTTTTAATGAAAGTGGATTATGAAATGTTTATAATTGTTCTCTAATCAAAAGTATGAAGAAATTACGATTCATTCAAGCATTAAATGGAAATCAATGCTGCTAATTTTCACATAATTTAAAGTAAAATTATTGAAGCTTAAGGCCACGTTATGTTTTGATATTGTGGAAAATGTTAATTAGTTAAGGAATATAAGAATTATTAATTCGATTACATTGAATAAACACGGAAATTAAGTCATTTTATTGCAGAAGCATTAATATATTGAATCAGCGAATTTATTGTGCGCTCATTGTAGGCCTATCCACCAAAAGGGTGAAAACAAAACATGGTATGGCGTATACAAGCGCAACGAAACTTCAGGCTGTTCTCGCAAGTACCGTTTGAGCCTGTCCTGGACCGAAGGCCTAGGGTTCTGTGTGTCAATAGAAGCGGCCTCTGCCGCTTGACGTAACCTCTTGCCGACCCCCGTGGAGTCTTTCTTCCAACTGGGCCTTTGTCCCTGCTTCTCTTGATGGTCTGACCTAGGTTTTCTTCTGTTGAATTTATTGTTTCGTACCGTATATTGTTGTAATTATAGTATTCAATAAATACATAATATATTGATAAGTTCATTATACAAAATACTTAAAAAATGTAAATAAATAACAATAGATTTTATCATTGCAAAAGTGGTTCACCCACTTAGGTTGACTGATGGCTCTTCTCAATATGATAAAGAAGTAAGAAATGGCCTAGATATTTTTGTAAATTATAGTCAGTAATCTCAAGAGTGGAGTGGATTTTTTAAGCATTATTCATTAAGAATAAGTAAAAAAAGTTAAATACACTGCAGGTAGATTAAAGTTTACTCATAATATTTTACTAAAAACCGCTATTATATATTTATCATTAACAATAAGGCTGCAACTTGGATGACAACGAAGAGCAGAGCTTGAGCATAACATAATATAGGCGGATTTCATCTATTTCGGATGTTTCATAACTAATTAGTTTTTCAACTACCCGTTTCATATTGCGCTTGCACTCATTTAGATCTCCATCGTTCTACAGGTTTCAGCCTATAAGTTTTAAAACTCACCTATCTCTATTGTTGTCCCTGTCTCTATTATTGTCCCTATCTCTATTGTTGTCCCTGTCTCGGTTGTTGAATCGTGGTTGAAACGTCGGTGGAGGCGCGGGCGCAGGCGTCGCACCTTCGTCCCATTCGTCGTCCGGCGCAGATACGGGCGCCGCTGGTGGTGAATTGTTATTTTCCCATGGCTTTGGCCCACCGCGTCTAAGGAAAGCGATTCCTTTTATTTAGCAAACCTGTCATACAGTCACTATTTGGCATGTGTTTATTCGTAATTTCGTAAAATGCAAAAAGTTGAAACAACGGTATCAAAACTGATGGTCAGCAACTAGACATGTTAAAAATACGGATCGTAATTTTAATTATGTGAATGTATAATTCAGATGGATGTTTAAAAATCCTATATACAGAATATGTTTAACAATAATTATAGATCACTGTTATGTTATAAATCTTGTACGTTATTGCAGGGCGATTAAAGAGATAGTCGCCGACGAAGAGGCGTTGACCGACCATCGAAGCTTATAATTTACGATATTAATGTTTGTGATTTGCACTCGGATATTTAACCACTAACTGAATAAAGCAGAAATACTGATAATTTTGACTGACTTTAATTGATTCATAAAATTAAATCAAACATTTACGATAACAAAAAACGGAAAAGTAGTTAAACCAATGCAATTCAGATAGTATAAAGAGTAATTTTAAGGTTGCGTGTATGATCAGATGTTAAGAACATTGAAATACAGCACAAGTACTTTCGATTTACTGCAATGATTGATGAAATAAAAATGTTAATAGTGGTCGTGAAACTTACCTATCTCTTTCTGGTCTCCCACTGAATTTATCGCTGTGCCTGCCCGGCCCAGACCTGTCGAAACCTTCATTATCCCTGCCCATAGAGAAACGATAGAATATAACACTCAATAAAACACAATGTATTATTTACATCAACAATTTGACACTTTAATAGCACAGTAGGCGGATCACCTATACATTCTGAGTGATGTAACTGAAATAGCACCGCGACTAGCTTAAATCTCGACAATGGGTTCAAAGAACCGAAGCCAAGGTTAAAGCAAGCATGACTCAGGGCACTATTACCACTTTTTTGTTGATGTTATACAAAAACTGCCGGTAAAATAGTACGAGCACAAGCCGATAATTTAAACAGTGCATGAAAAAGGAATATTACCACTATCTTAGTTAGAGTTCCGTGGGAAGTACTTAACAAGTGCTATATTTGGGGCCAATTTAAAAAATTTTTTGCAGTCTTTGCACTAGAATATTTAAAGTCCACAATAGATTACAACTACTCGATGTGCCGTGGACGGTAAAAAGGAATGTTTTTGTCAAAGTAAACATGGTTTATACGATTTTTAGAGATACATTTCGGAACCGGCCGCATGTATGCGGAAAAGAATAATTGTTTTGAAAATACATATTTATTTACATTGTCCTACTAATATTATAAAAGTGAAAATTTGTGCGGATGTATGTACGTTTGTTACCCGTTCACGCAAAAACTACTGACGAACTACTTTTTATGAAATCTAGGGGCGCGGAAGTACTCCACCAAGTTGAGCAAAAATGTAAAAAGGGCACGGCAGTACAATAATTTCTTCAAAGCCATTCGGGCCATTTTAACACCCTGTAATTTCGTTGTGGAGTAAACAAGAACTGTAGAGCATTTTGAAAACATCCTTCAATGCGTTGCTTAGTAAAACTAACCAAAGAGATTTTTACAAAACTTTACCAAAGAGTATATATATTTAAATAAAGTATATATATTTAAAATCTATGTTATGGAAACTATTATCATAAGAAAAGCTTGGGAAAAGCTATTTACATTTGGACATAATTATGCATACCATAGATATATAAATCTATGTGGCGTACAGAGGGGATCAACGAACGAACGAATAAACGGAATCAAATGGGCTTCAATATATCCATAGGTATAATGATCGATACATAAGAGACAAGGGCTAAGTTGATTCTTCAATATTACATGCAGTCAAGCATATGTAGAGTAGTTCGGTGGCGTAGTGGATAAGCGCCAAGTTAAGTACTCTTAAGTCTTTGATAAGATTGGATAGCTGCTCTCACAGAAAGATAAGTACTGAATTAATCGACTTGATTTATGTTTATTTCATAAATAACGGCAGAAAATTGCGTTGTGAGACTTGTGCATTTCTGTATGTACATATGTTTTTGATGAGATTTGATATTAGGTTAGTTTCAAAGTCATTACATCTAAGTTTAATTATTTCTTCGTTAAATATATTAAACAACACCGAAATAGTTAATATAATCTTTTTTTTATAAAGATTGAAAACTCGTAAATAAATAAATCATTATATAAATATTTACTAAATTAAATTTAGATAAGGTCAATATGTTACCTATTTCGAAAACTGCCCCCTCTATGGCCGAACTCTTCATTGTCTCGCGGAGGGCGCCTGTCATCCTTGAAACTTTTTTCGCGACGGAAGCTTTTCTTCCTGCTGTCATCAGGTACAGAGCCTTCGGGCGAACTGAAGTTCTCTGGTGCGTCTTTGCGAACAGGTGTCGTTGCTTTTACCTGAACGCATTTTTGTTAATCTATACTATTTGATAATTTTAAGAGAGCGTTTTAACGACGTATTTAAAATTTTACAACTAAGTCGGCGTAAATACAAAACGTTAAGTGTCCGTCTCATTCACACGCAGAGTTGATTAGGCGCGTGGATAATTATGGTAAGTCGCCCTAAGATATAATGCTTAAATCATCACGATTGGCCGACATTTTCTTCACAGGTACATCGGTACAGTACAGTCCAGCAGGGTACGGAGTATCACGATAATTATCTTGATAAATATACCTTGATAATTATAAAACACCACACAAACTTTTTTTGTACTAAAAGACTTGTTATTAAAAGTGAATTATTTTAAACAACTATCGAATATGTTTTTCTGTTACAGAAAATTGTCTAGGATGGACCTATATACATATACCTGGCAAAACAAAAAGTTAAAAGGTCCCCATTCCTTATTTTTTTTTTATTTGTTTTTATTTCACTTTTTGCTCAATGTGATTTCACAGGTATTTTTTTTTGTTTAATGTTTATAATTTAAAACAACAAAAATAAAAGTTTATACAATTATGAATACCTTTTTATATTTTAAAAATTGTTGCATGTAACTATAGTTACCCGTAACCCGTATACGGGTTATCAGATATTTATCGGATAATTAGATAGATAGATAGATAACTCTTTATTGTTGACATTACACTATTTACAGAAAAAAAAACATAAATTAAAATGCAAACAAATTAGTATGATAATTATCCAAAAAAATTATTATCTTGATAATTACGAACCTTGCAGTACAGTAAGACACATCTTACTGTACACGCCGAATTATCAAAATTCTAATGTAACCTAACACTCATTTGCGACATGTAAATAGAATTCGTTTCGTCCGCGTTCTTTGTCTCGGATTGATCTAACAGCCTAAGGCAGAAGTACCCAAACTTATTTTGTCTACTGCCCAGTTTGAGAATAAATTATTTTTTTAGCGTCCCCATTTTTTCACCTACTTAAAAGCCACTATAACTACAAATTAAATCAATTCATTATTGTCTCATACTCATTACAAAACTTTTACAATGTATTGAATATGCTTTCGCCTTTTGTATCGTTCTCTAAATTTCTAGGAAACAATAGTTCTTCACATATTAGGGCCTTACATATGAAATTGGCCGTACTGGCCACTTTAATCACAAAGGGTTTAGCCGGATACGTATGACGAGTCGGCCCCCAAATGGGAATCGATATTGAAACTTATGTTTTAATATAGACTTGATGTTCAAACATGATTTATGTACTTTTCGCGACCGACTTCCGCTTTGACCTTGAGATAGAGAGCAAAATATCCGTATGCTTGACTATGACTGAATGTGATATATCTCTGAAGCTAATTAAGATAAAGAAGTGAAACTAACGCGAGGTGTTAGGTTACATTACAGAGTATATCACATATATTTTTTTATAATTTTTAGAATAAAAAATTACATTAAAAAAATAAAAATAAAAAATATCATGTTTTTTTTTCTGAGTTCTCTGTGACTTACAATCACGAAATTAATATATGTTATGCTCCTTTGTGTGCTCTATCACCCATAAAAATTGCGTGAAAAAAAAGTTGGTGCAACACAACGAAAAAAAATTATATGTGATTCGCGCCTTGTAGTGTGAGTGTATAAACAAACAAGTTCGAACTTGTTATCGAGCTGTTTACTGCATCGTTTGTTTAGCTAAAGTAGCAGTCATTTGTATTACACAAGAAGGCAGTTTGGGACTCAAATTCTGTCATAGGTATTTTGTATCAGCATTTTGAAATTATTAACTATCGAACCAAATCATTATTAAGTAATAATGTCGAGAAAGTGTAAAAATTGTAACAAGTACCTGTGTAAGATTCCAGGAGACCAGGATAACCAAGATAACCAGGAGGTTATAAAAAAATTATAAAGAATGAAGAAGAAGCTAAAGTGTTTAGTGACTGTTTGAATAAAATCGTAATAGTTAATGATATTTTTTGTAAGAAGTGTCGACTTATCCCATATATTAACAAAAAAGCTTCTACTTCTAAATGTGCAGCATTTAACTTGGCCGAAATAATGGACGATCAAAATAATCTCTCAGTACAATATGTGAAATCAGCACCTAATATCATCAAAGCAGAAGTAAAATCAAGACATATAAATAGAAAAGTCTATCTAATTTACATTCACTATATTTCCGAAGGTAATGACTACAATAGTATTCTTCGTTATTGCTGTGATTGCCCCAATGGCAAACGTACAGTGGGATGCTGTTCTCATGTAGCAGCTATTATTTATTATCTATCATATGGATGATATTTGTCCAAAATCGTACGTCCTACTGAGGTCCTAACTAAGTTATTTGCGACTCAAAGTGTTCCGATTGTAATTAATTACAACAGTGACGATGATTAATATTTTGTTTCTTGTATTTTGATAGACACGAAAAAGTAATAATAATAAGTATTGAACACTGGCTGTTTTTTTTTTCATTTCTTTTTTAACTATTATCCCATCTCTTAAGACTAGTTACTTATGTTTTAAAACAAGCTGATGTGAAATTTCGAAAAAAAAACAATGATGTAATGTGAAAACCTTATAATACAGGGGTATACCATAAGACAGAAATCACATATAATTTTTTTTCGTTGTGTTGCACCAACTTTTTTTTCACGCAATTTTTATGGGTAATAGAGCACACAAAGGAGCATAACATATATTAATTTCGTGATTGTAAGTCACAGAGAACTCAGAAAAAAAACATGATTTTTTTATTTTTTATTTTTTTAATGTATTTTTTTATTCTAAAAATTATAAAAAAATATATGTGATATACTCTGTAATGTAACCTAACACCTCGCGTTAGTTTCACTTCTTTATCTTAATTAGCTTTAGAGATATATCACAATTAGTAATAGTCAAGCATACGGATATTTTGCTCTCTATCTCAAGGTCAAAGCGGAAGTCGGTCGCGAAAAGTACATAAATCGTGTTTGAACATCAAGTCGATATTAAAACATAAGTTTCAATATCGATTCCCATTTGGGGGCCGATTCGTCATACGTATCCGGCTAAACCCTTTCTCCTCCTTGGTTGGGAATTCAAATTTATACAGCCATTTACACATGTATTTGTGTTTCGTTAGGTGGCATTCATTTTCTTTTTTTTTTACTTCTGTTTGTCCTATTTACGTCACCCAGTATAAAAAATGGAAAACTTGAAAAATCGTGTTATTAATGAATATGAGTTCCATCGTGGTATCAGTGCTGTGGAAACAACTTGAAGGGTTAATAATGTGTATGGCGGTTGTGTAGCAAAAGAAAACACAGTGAGTTTTTGGTTCCAACGTTTTCGTTCTGGTAATTTCGACCTGCAGAACAAGCCCTGTGGACGGCCGGAGACCCAAGTTAATAATGATGAATTGAAGGTTATTTGTGCTTTTGTGCTATTGTGGAAGCGGATCCATCGCAAACCACGTCCGAGTTAGCTGCAGGCTACGGTGTTAGTGATAAAACTATTTTAATGCACTTGAAGCAAATTGGAAAGATTAAAAAGTTAGAAAGGTACCTCACGAATTGAGTGAACCAAACCGGCAAACGCGCTTCGACTGTTGCGTTACATTACTTAACCGGCACAATAATGAAGGGTTTTTAAATCGAATCATTACCTGTGATGAAAAGTGGATTCTCTACGATAATTGGAAGCGCTCATCACAATGGTTGGACCCTGGCATGCTAGCCAAACCCTGCCCCAGGCGAAAATTGACCCCAAAAAAGTTACTTATAAGCGTTTGGTGGACTAGTGCCGGTGTCGTTCATTACAGTTTTCTCAAATCTGGCCAGACGATTACGGCAGACGTCTATTGCCAGCAATTGCAAACCATGCTGGAAAAACTAGCTGTTAAACAACCGAGGCTGGTCAATCGCTCTACGCCACTGCTGCTTCACGACAACGCTAGACCACACACTGCACAACAGACGGCTTATAAGAAGCCAAATTATAAGAGCTTCGATTGGAATGTCTAAGACATCCACCGTACTCCCCGGACCTTGCTCCAACAGATTACCATTTTTTTCGAAATTTGGATAGCTTCTTGCAAGGGAAAAAATTCAACTCCAATGGGGCAGTGCAAATCGCCTTTAAAGATTTTATTGATTCCCGTCCGAATGGTTCTTTTAGTAAGAGGATCAATGAACTACCTATGATATGCTAAAAGTGCATAGATAACAATGGTTTACACTTTGATTAAATAAATATATTAAATTAAAAATTATACGACTTTTTATTAATCCCATACCAAACACCAATTCATATGTAAGGACCTAATTTATTCCGCACAGTATTGCTGTCTTCTTTTTTACTTCCGATATTGTTTTGTTTTGAAAAATGCGTAAGTAAGTGTTGAACTTAAGTAGGTACTGCTTATCTATTACGCGCGAAACCGCAAATGAAAATAAAATAAACATTACGTTGTTTATATAGGATTGCATAAGCCGCACGCACCGACAGGTAATAAAACAAACATGCATAAACTCGTTTATCTCATTTGACGCTTAATCAAAAACTAAAAGAAAAAAACTGCTAAACGCAGCATCTTTTCTCATTTTTTATTTTTCATGTTGTGAAGCTACATTAGAAAATTAATATTTTCAATTTTTTTTTTTAACACAATGTCCAAAAGGGGAATTAAATAAATAATTCATTTCATAGTGGTTTAGACTAACTTTTTAAAATGAAAGTGATCTACCCGAAATTGCCAGATGGAGCACAAAAATATTCCTTTACAAAAATAAATTGTCAATTCTATTAATCTAAGCACCTGTAGAGTCGGTACCTCTCTAATACTGCTATATAATTTTATTATGAATCATCTTTTATGTTTTAATTTTGTTAATAACATATTTTATAAGTAATGTATCTAACAGCAATGTATTAATTATTTGAATAAAAGAATTTAAAACATTGTTTTCTATTTATTTACTACTGGTTGAATACATCAGTTTCTTGAAATTTAAGCCTACTTTAAAAAAAAAAAATCAGTAATGGTGTGTGTGAATACCATGTTACAAACCCTGGTTAGATCCATGAGTTATTAATAAATTACATTTTTAAGTTATTAATAAAAAAAATATAATAAATAACCCTACCTGTACCAGTTTTGAGTTCAGTTCATAATTTTTGAAGTCAGAAACATTAAACTTTATTTATGAGCTTCTGATAGTTTGACTATGGAAATTTTACCCTTAAGGGGGTGAATTAGAGGTTGAAAATTTGTGTGAATTTTTGATGTTAGAGACTTGAAACTTTATGTTTGGGGTAGGTACTCATCACAAATGAGTAAATACCTATTTCAACATTTGTAGAAATAGGGGTTCAAAGTTTGTATGGTAGATAATTATGTTATCCACACAGGCAAAGTCACTGTCAGGAAGCTACCTAGTTTTAGATAAAATATCTAGTACAATAGAGATGATGACTAATTTTTGTTTGTGTGTTGAAAAATATTAAGCACATTTACTTTTTAATTTTTTTCATAATCTTTGAATTATGCTATGCTAATATAATATAATAAAAATTAATAAAAAAAATGTGTTGAATCATTTATAGCTTATGGTATACAATAAAGACCCACATACTGTGACTAACAACCCTTAACAATCTTTGCTTTGGGCAGTAGGTTAACACAGTATAAAATTTAAATCAAAACAGAGAAAAAAGCAAACCTCACTCAGTTATTTATTATCCTACCATAAATTATATAAGTTGTAGTAACATACCTCATGATTGCTCCTGGGTTGTGATAGTTGATTCATTTTCCTGGCAACATCAAGAGGCGGGCTTACAGTGTCATCAACAAGTGATACCAGCATAGTGTCATTGGACAGTACACCCACAATGTGAGCTATCAATGTCTTCTCAAGGGCCAGCATTTCCAACTGGTTTGATGTTTTTGTTTCAACAGGTTTATTTTCAAAGCCCTAAAAATTGAAAAAAATATTAAGAAGTTTATAAAATTAGGAATTTTAACTTTCTTTCAATGTATATGTTAACAGTTACTTTTACAGAAAAGCCTAAAAATTACAGTAAATCTTAAGATTTCCCAATGATGATTTGTATATGTTGGTTATGAGAGTAAAATAATGGCTATTTCTTAATAATTTAATTATAATGACACAGAAATACTCATCTGATAATAATAAATAATAACATTAATATTATTTCTTAATCATTTATTCATTGAATACTAGCTTTTGCCAGCACCTTCGCCTGCATGGTCCCTAGGGAAATGTTTAGTGGGATAAAAAGTATCCTATTATCTAAGTCAGCTATATCAAATTTCATCAAAATCCATTCAGTACTTTTGGCATTACTGACAGACAAACATCCAAACAAAGAAACTTTCACATTAATAATACTAATAAGATAATCACTTTAATAATTATGTAAGGTGATCAAATGATTATAATTTAACAATTTGTGTTTATTTATTAGTATTTAGTAAAACATATTCATAAACCTTTGAAATACTTTTTGAATTTTAAAAAACAAAAATTAAATTACATTCTCACAAATATTAACTTATGGAACCTAACTGAATCACTATCTTATTTATTGGTATTTAGGAAATAATAAAAGTCTTTAAAAAAATATATTAAATGTTATTTTTACTTAACAGGGAGAACTATTATGATAATTTGAATTACAAAGTAAACCAAAGTATTGCAAGCTAATTTTTCAACTACTTCAATCTATCTAGAAATTCATTATAAACAATTTACCTTAAGTGCACACTTCATCGCTTGAGCAGGAAGACTTATCAAGTCTAGACTTATTGTTCTTAGATCTGAGATATCAATTTCCTGTTCATTACCATAATCTACATATGCAACAATTACTTTGTTTCCTTTTGTCTCCCTGATTCTTGCTCTATACCAATTGTCATCATCAGGAAATCTTGCGCAACAGGCTGCCCCAACAGGCAATTCTCCAGGGGATGAAGTATTTTCACAGTGAACTTTCACTGCATCCATAACAGCATTCAGCTCATCAATATTGTCGGACAGTTGAATATAAAACTTAATACAACTGTCTACATATGACACCAAGACAGACTGCTTAGTTCCCAAGGGTAAGATTTCCATCCATTTAAATTGTAATCTGTCTTTCAAATTAGCCATTAGCAAATCTAATACATTTTTATTGTCCAAATATAGCTCACCATACTGAATCAGAGGAGGGCCTTCAGGAGATACTACTTTAAGTGTTAAAACTTTACCATTTACAAGTTGCTTGAATGTCTCATTCAAATTGGGGCCTTTCTCTAGCTTTTTGACACCAGACAAGCAAAATCTCATTGCAAAAACATTGGGTTTCACAAATTCCTCTGGGATGTCGAAAATATCATAGTAAGAAACCATTTCTGTATCACCAAAGTCCACAAAGAAAAGTTTACATTGTGAACCAGATAAATTCATAACAATTGCTCTGCAAATAATTCGATCTCCAGACATACGTCCAAGGCAAACGGTTCCTATCATTGGAGGCTCAGCAAGGCTGCTATGTGGTCTCCTGTTTATATCATCCATCATTTCTTGTAATTTTTTTGCATCTGTCACAAGCTGAACAGCAAATAGTTCTGGACCCTCTTCAGCAAAGGACACAAACACTTTATGTTGAGAATTAACCTCCAACAATCTGCTCTTATATGTTGTTGACTTCTTAGGAGAAGAAAGTTTAGTAGTATTACCCACTGACAAAGGGGGTGTAGTAGGCACTGAATTTGGTAAATTTGGATTAGCATGTTGAAGTTGCCGAACTGGTGGTTTTAGATTTATAGGATTTCTCGACACTTTGTTTGTTAATAACCTTTGACTAATCAAAGATGGTGGTGGAATGCTCCCATTAAATGGTACTGAAACATTCTGTTGTAAGCGCATAGCTGAAGCAGGATTCGATGGGAAATTTTGATTGATTAAAAATGGTACATGTTCTGTGTAAGGTGTCTCGTTAGAAAATGCTGGAGGCCAGTTAGGTGTCTGCTGACTATCACCAGTCATTTGCAGCAGGAGAACTTCTTGCTTTACAATAGGAAGTGCAACACCAAATCTATTTGCAACAAGATGTGAAGACAAGTCATTTCCTTTAAATTGTATTGATATAAGAGGCAGTGTCCTTGTTTGGGCTTCAACTGTTACTGGATATTCAGTATAGCAAAGCAAACTTTGTAGTTTTAGTAGTAAAGGTTCATCCCATCTACCAGAGGGATGCATAATCCTAGCTAAATAATAATCTGTGGCTTGGCCACGTAATTGGAGAAACATTGGATCATAGTTGTCTAAAAATCTTATGGTACTCAAAGATATTATGTCCTTATTGCCAAAATCAATGAAATGTACTCCAACCAAGCCAGTAGCAAGATTAGTTGTGTTTATTATCTTCGCTCTATAATACGCACCATCTTTATATTTAGCAGCACAAACTACCCCTTCATGAATAGCTGCCGGAGGAACTGCTCCTATTCCCTTTTCTAAGTTTTCACGTGCAGATTCGAATAAGCTTTCTATCATTAGCGAAGACGGTTGCTCCAACTGACCACTAATTTTCAGAAAATGGCCTTCTCCATCCACATGGGTCACATAAAGGCGAAAAGATCTTGGAATTTCAGTGAGCAAAGCCATGTTTAATGTCTTAAATTATATTTAATATGTGGCACACAAAAATTAATAAGGAAAACATTAACTGACTCACATCACTTCTGTTAAAAACGTAGATATTTACGTCCGACGTATTTTTTTGCTAGACTAAACCAAAGAAGCGGCTTTCTTTTCCGTTTACGTTTTCATCAAACATGGCGGGTGTCGATATAAATTTTCTCTATGACGGGCGTCAATTTAATTTTCTTTATGGTATTTGAATTCAATAATTTATTCGTAGCCATGAATAGAAGTTATTTTGCTCATTCGGCAAAACCAAACCACTCGTCTTCAATGAGCTAAATCATGCTGGAATCTTGGACACGGCGACAGGCAACAAAAATGTGTTTCCACCTTAATAAATCGATTTGTTAAAATTAGAGACTGTAAAGACTGTACTATTTGCCTACTAGAAACAAAACATCAATACGTCAAGAGAAGTCATCATTTATTTTTATTTTTCGAAAATATAGATATTCTATTATTTGTAACAAAAAAAACAAGACAAGATGAAATAAAATGAAAACAGGAAGAGAAGATTAGGCTTTGCCTTATAAAATAATATAATCCAAGATTTGGCTGTATGGCTTAGTTCCTTCGCCTGTCCCATGGACGAATTATAATACTACTACTATTATTTGTAATAAATAATTGTCACATAAATCTTTCTAACAATTGTAGAAACTTTATTGTAATTGTTATAGTAAAGATACTTAACTATCAATATGATTGAGACTTGTTCGAAACGATGTATGTTATTAGGAACTGTTTGTATGGGAATGTTAGTTAATTTTCTCATTTTTACGCAATTTTCATTTATTGTTATTAGTTAAATAAAAAAGATAATTTTGCAGCTTAACTATCGTTGTGCTAATCTTGGAGTCACACCTAGCAGATACCTTATCAGGAAATCAAAGAATGAAAAATAAAACATTTCCCAAAGAAGAAAATTCAACATGTTGGGTTCATCAACCATATAAAATCATAAGTGAATGTCACCCTTGTTCAGGTAATACTTGACAAAACACTTTTATCAATTACTATTTATGTAGGTTTTAAGGCATAAAACCTAAAACATAACACAAAACTTTGTTTTAGATTTTGAAATACGCAGTAAAAGTATTGGCGTATGTATACACACCAGTTTTAAGGAGATATTAAAATGTGAAAATGGGGAAACAGTAACTCGCAGGTAAAAATATTAATGAATAATAAACATTAATAGTCCACATTAAGTAATATTTTAGTTTAATATTTTAATATTTTCAGCTGTGACAGAGTGGCCTATTTAGAGGAAAGAGCCTATTGGAAGTTCACAATATGGTCATTTGTGATAGGTTCTGCTTCTTCAATTGCTGTTATGTTGAGAATGAGGGTCCTCAACTATCGAGCCAAGAGAAGGGCCAGACAAGTTCTTAGCAATGGTTCTATTTAGCCGCATACTTAAGTCTTTTTAGGTCAAACTGTATTATGCTCAATAGCATCTGTAGCTATTAAAAATGGAAATGTTGTAGCTTATTCAAATAACAATTTTATTAGTTCACTTATAACTTTAACATTTACACTATTCCCTAATAATCTATAGCACTGTTTCAAAGTTATTGTTTCAGGAAATGAATATGTTTCAGGGAAAGCCATAATTAATAATATTTCTTTGGGTGTGAAAAATCTCAGTTTTAGAGTTTTCAACGTCTGTATAAATTCATCACTTCCCACTTTAGACTTATTAGCTATTTCATAACATTTTTGTACAGTTTCCTTATCTGCTTCAGTGAAAACTGATCCTGTACCTTCAATATAATGTGAATATGCCTTTGTAAAACAACAAGATCTTCTAGAGTCTTTATGACATATGTCCAAAATATTCCCACGCTTTAGAAATTTATCTTTTAAAAGAAATATATCGGGTACTTCAGTTTCAATAATTTTATCCAAACAATATGGTTTTTCATATTTTTCTGTTAGACATTCCATCTAAAAAATAATAAATATATTGAGTAAATTAATAACAAATCAACCACTTTATTATATATATATATATGCACTTACTAATTCATCTTTTCTTTTGAAATGCCAGGCAGCATCATTCCTCTTTGCTATACAATAATATCGACATCTCGAATTGGGTATACCAATAGTGGTTGGACAAATAAGAAATTCTTGATAACTAAAACTGCATTGTTGTAACTTCTTAATGAAGAGATTTCTTACAGAAGACTTTTCAAAGCCTTTCACATTTTCCATTAAAATATACTTAATATTTTTAAGTTCATCTAATATGTTTATAAAATGGACAAAGGAATCTGCTCTTGAATCACTTTCATCTAGATATTTTCCATTACGAGTAAAAGGCTGGCAAGGAGGAGACATTAGTATTGCATCCACATTGAGCTGATTTATTTCTTCTGCTGATATAGATTGAATGTTCCTGTTTAATAGGTTTGTATTAGGGAAATTAATTTTATAGACATCATTGGCAATATTATTTATATCTACGGCGGCAACAATTTCTCCTTTTATACCAGCATCTGTAATATAACCTAATAATAACATACGCATTAAATTAAAATAAAACAAGAGGTTAAAAAAATATTACTTTTCCAAGCACAATGCATGCCTCCTATACCACTGTATAGTTCTAATATTCTATGACTTGTGGCAGCAACTTCGCTCATTTTTAAAACAATAAACGGTACCGCAAAGTCATACAAAAATTGTTCAATTTTCTGATACAACCTAATTGCGTTTTGCGTTTACACACTATATAATCTGTGGTTTACACAATCTCCCCAACGTCAAGTTGGTGGCTTTTAACCATGAAGCTAAAGAAATAACTGGAGACCACAGACTTAGTAGGTATCAGACGACCAACTTCCTAACAAAAAATTTCTTCGTAGAACGTGATTGGGAGCTAGTGATACATGACAGCTTCATTCGTTTTAAATATATAGATCTACTATCGGCAAAGGCATTTAGCTGTACAGCCCTGTTTTGGGTAGGTACCTAGCCGTCTTCCTAATAAAACACACATTTCTCCAATATTATTTATTGAATAATTTATTTTTAACTTATTATATTTTTCATAGCTCTCTTCTGCATTCTCGGCAATTCCTAGCTACGTTTTTTTAGTGGCACAACCTTATGAAACTTTTCAAGGTAATCACAATTTTTTTTAAAGAGGGCACTGATTTTTGCATACCTTTTTATACACATATTTCAGTTTTTCTAAAATTTCAATTGCCTTTGGCCAAGAATGATGGTGTGTCTTATCTGTCACAGCTCTTTTCCTTTATGCTTTTTTTGTTTATCGATGCTCCATTGACACTATCAAATAATTGGTCAAAGAATGAAACAACTTCAGCTGCATTTCTTAATGTTGTGCACATCCTCATAAGTTGCTGCAAATTAAAATATTCATATAATAATTGTATGAAACTTGATTCAAAACAATTAACTGTTAGTAAATTTCATCTAATACTCACAGAAATTTGCAGTGTGAGACAAAGCTGCAGCCATATTTTTACACAATTTTTTACCTGCAAAAAGAGATATCATATTTAAAATTATCTTCATTAGAGAATCATTATTGTAATTTTAGTGTAAACTATATTAACTACTTGTTACATAATTAAAAATACAGGTCATTGAATCAACACTTGCTCTGATAGAGAATATAGAAGCTGAATACAAATTATTTATTTTATTTATACTAATTTAAGTTATACTAATATAATAACCAATGCATTACCTTCATCTGTTTAATTTTATCAGGTATAACTCATTGGTCATTTAATTTATGAAGTAGCCCAGCTTCAGTGTGTTGACAGTCTGTCTCATAGACATAAATAATATCATGCCATTTTGCAAGTTTACCACCAAAATTATTCCTGATACATTTTATCAAGTGTGTAGAATCATAATGTTCAAATCCACCCCACATATTTTAAGAATGCCAACTGAAACAAAAATTTAAGAACTTCTTAAAACATAGATAACAATATAAAAATAAGAACCTTCACTACTTTCATTAAATCTATTAGTTTTCTTTCATATATATATAATTCTATGTACCAACCGGTGATTTCAATTTAAAATTTTGATCACACTAAGTGTCTTCTTTTAGATTTTTGAGTGCTGATTGGAAAGCTGACCCTTGGTCATATATTATTGCGATGGGATTAAGGTCCAATTCAACAACTTTTTCTACTACTAACTTTAAAATATTCTTGATGTATAGTAGATGTCGCTCCTTGACAGAAATAAATAAACATAAAGGCTGTTGCCACTTGTAAACAGCACCAACATAAATACAAGAGTATGATCTGCAAAATCCACTTTCTTTTCTTGGTGTTCTACAAATCCATTAATGTTATCTTTAATCCTTATTACTTTTATTATACAAAAGTGCTGTTTCTAATGACATCTCATCAAATACTATAATGGAGCATATTTCTTTGGAGTTTCATTTGTCCACCTGAAAAAGTAAATTCAAATAGTAGTAGAAAAAGTAAATATTATTATTTGGTAGTAATACATAAAATTATAAAAGTAGTATGAAAAAACTTATATGGAATATATTTACCTCTTACATGAAGCCTGGTTCTATGATCAATTTTCTAATCATAGTATTCAGTGTAGTTTTGGATGATAGAATAAAAAATTTTGCTTAAAAATCAATAACACTTTGGACTCTGCTTTGATATTGATAAAGCAATTATCTTTCCTTCGGTAGTGAATCACCTCTCATGTTTATTTTTAGAGCACATGCTCACATGCATTTCAAAAACATTTTTGCAACTGTGTTCATTTTTTGTCTGAACTTCTCAAATGATAACTTTTTACAAAACTTAAAGGTATTTAAGTATTCTTAACTTTTTTAAGAAAGTTAAACTACGTCTTTGGCTTGTTATATTCTTCATAAATTCTCTGGTATAAAGGTGACAATTGGCTTTATTTGGTAATAAGCCTTTTCCTTTTTGTTTGGGTACATTTCACAGGGTCTGTAACATCAAAAGTATTCAGTGAATTTCTCTATTAGAACTACTATTTGATTGAAATAAAGATACACTAAAGAAAGAGACAGGTCTTACCAGATAGTTTAGTTTGTGTCATATTTTAATCTCCAGAGCAAGCAACTAATTGAGTAAACTCAGTGGCTGCAGACACAGGAGTCTCAATTTGTTCTTTTAAAATTACACCACCTATGAAATCAATATTGATTATGTGTGTAAGATTAAAAAACAGGATATAATCTTAGATGATATTAGAAATATGTTATTTATATTATCAATTTTTTCTCTGATCAAAATCACTTCTAACGTGCCCGCTAGAGTTAAGTAACTTAATGTAATTTTTCTTTATGTGTGTAAGAAAGAGAGATCTACTAGACTTTTTTAAAGCAAAAATCTATATTAAAATACACCAAAACTGCAGCATGAACTTTGTTATCTAAATAAAATAAATTAAAAACAAACCTCTGTTCAGTTCCACTTTCTAATATGTGTGGTCAACGTGACTTTTTCTTGCATAGCTGTGTTCTCAAGTGAATATAATTTCTGTAATAAAAAAAAATCTAATGAAGAATAGCTGTATTCCAAAACACAACATAAAGTGAAAATACATATCATTTTAATTACATTATCTAAAGGTAATAGCTGATTAAACCAGCCTTACTAGTATTGCTTGAAGAGGGTAGGCTGATTGAGAGCCCATCATCATTAAACAATGACGGATATGCATCACCCAAGAGTCATGATTTGGAGTGATGAATCTTGGTACATAGTGTTTCTACAAATGACACTTCTTAACCTGGATTAAAATTTTCAGTATCACACACAGCACTAAGACATTGTAACCACTTGGAGAATCTTTTCTCGTTCACTAGAATCTTACAAAGAATAGCGTCCTGTTCGTACTTTAACAATGCGTGTAACACAACCATAACATAACACACCAATTTCTTAGGCATCTTCTACAAATAAAAATACTTCGAAAAATGGAGAGTTTATATTACAAATAAAGCGAACAGGGTAAGCACAAAAGAAACTTTACTCAATCACTTGTAATTCCCTGATATGTAGGTACATACTTTAGTCTTCTTCTTCTTTTATTAATGGCATATCAGCGCATTTCACACAATTTTGCCAATGTGATATGAATAAATTAATTCCAACAAGTAAAATTAATTAAACATTAGTATCTTTACTCTTTGTTGTAATGACAGTTTCTGTCAGGTGCCATGTCTCCATCCAGCGTTCTGTTCGAACGAAACCGAAACAGTGTTTTTTAGGTATTTAAGATGAAAACGTTTCGAAAAATATACAGGTTTCCGACCCCTGTCTCCATCTACTGACAGGGGTGAGGGGCGTGTGGAAATGCCATACATCACTGGACCCTACGCGATTGGTTAATTGTACGGAGTTGACGGACCGTGCTGGAGACCAAACTCCTCCATACCTACTTGAAGCATAAAAATTTGACCTTGAATGTTTTCTATTTCATTCCTTAGGTCCCCTCCTCTCTTTCTAATAGGGTGTCCACACAACTACAAAATAAAGGAGACAAGTTTAAAGAGTAGAACCTTAACCTTTTTGCCTTAATAAAAAAAAAGTATAAAATTTTCCTAGGTAGATGTAAAGTTTACACATGAGATTGATAGATCTAATCTAGATTCTCCGTCAAATATGAAATTGACTTTATTAAAGTTCCGTACAAAAAGCCTTTTTTCCGAATCTACTGGACCAAATCTTGTAAAATTTGTCATCCTTTGACCTAAACACAGATATACAAAATAATTAGTTTTTATAAATAAGGGTTATTTTCGGGGGACAAATGAGGAAATTTAAAAAAGTTTTGCTAGCCTTACTGTGTCGTACGTATAATAGTATTTAATGAGTCTCGTTAGGGGGTTCTCAAATAAAAAAATATCAATTTTTGAGTTTGATTAAAACTTAGCAGTGTGGGAATTAGAGTTGGCAAAAAACTCTTCTTAATAATCACCAGTCTATTAATGTACCCACAATGGGTCCATTCCGGTTTGGAGGGTTTTTACAACTGCAGATACAATCGGGACAAACTGCTTAACGTGCCTTCCAAAGCACGGAGTAGATCTAATATGCAAAGTGAACTACAAGACTGCAGACTACGATTGTCAGCTTACCTTCGTTCCGACCGAATTAAAATGGAATAAGCACCCAGTAAATATTTCACCCTTAAGTCAATTTACTGATTTACATATCACATTCTTCTCTTACATTCTCAGATGTAATTGTCATTCTCAGATAAAAATAAAACAACATTGTTATTTTTAAATTTAATTTATATGTGACTAAAAAAGTACAGTTTTGATGACAATAAATACTATTTGATTGTTACCATAGCAAGTCTATCGGACAACCTATGACGAGATGTTGAAGGTGTAGAAGGCATGGTAAATGCATCACTTAGATCAGATTGTCCTGACTGGAAAAAAAACGAATTATGGTTATTTTGTCTAAACCCTGCCATTAGGGAATTAAAATATTTCGAGACCAATGTTTCATGACATATTACATTAAGTAAAATAAAATATTTTATTCCTTCCAAACGTGAACTGTGGCTCGACGACCTTTTGCGCTTGTGTGTCATCTTAAATACGCGTACTTAAAAAGGTCGTCGAGCCACAAGTTCGCGTTCTCACTCGCAAGTTTGTATTCTATTTTTGCTACCTAAGAATTAGTACCTAATTAGTAGAATATAAACTTTTACTTACCACTTCAGAATAAAAAGGAATTTTTGTATGCTTTAACCGATTCTCTATTATATAATCAGTACCCACAAAATGATTACTGCATATTTTTGCAGTTTTATAAAACTTATTTTTTTATTTGACACTCGATAGCCTTCTCCTTATTAGATCCTTGAGAAAACTAAAAGTGAAATAAAAAATATTAAGCTCAGTTTTATTGTTTATCCTTTATCTTCTTTTCATGGTCACCATATTAGTGTTTGTTTATTTTTATTTTACAATGTGAACTGTGCTTTTATTAGAAAATTTCTGAAATATGCTACTGTAAACAATTAAATCATATATTACTTTAGATACCATATTATTGTAAATTATCAAAAATTTAAGGATTCTACGTTAAAAACATTATTTTTATAAAATGCAAGCAGTCATCAATTATAGTAACTTACGACTCACCTGTGAAATATCAAAGAACATCCAGGATGCCATTTGCTTCCGCAACCTAGGACTACACATTTCAGAACTATTTTTCACGATTTGATAGCGAGAAACTTTTAAATATGAATCACAATTTTCGAGTCGACGAAATTAGTAATTGTCATTCGCCATATTGACACACACGAGGTTGCCATTTTTTGAGGATGCCATTTACCACAACAATGGGGAAATTTAGAAAAAAAATTACGGTGTCTTATTCACATAGCATGGGTACGGTGATGTTTGGGGTTTGAAGTTTTTAGATACAAAAACTCGATGTTATTGAGTTTATTTCTAATAGAGATAAACGGTTTTGAGATCAACATATAAAACAGGATTTGAGAATAATATTTATTCATCAACTGTTAGCAAATGTCATCGTATCCATTCTATGTGAAACGGTCTATAGTGAAATATAATTTTACTATTTATAGGTTTTAATAATAATTCAACAAATCAAATTGCAAGTCTTGATTATTGATTAAAGAAATTGACATGATGACGGTAAAAAGTTAATAATTTTTATTAATTTGCAGCTATGTATCTGCCTTCTGATTATAATATTTGCGTACCATTTTTTATTATAGATTTTATTTAATTGTAGTTATTGCTTAATAACCCTTTTGTTTAAGTTTTTTGTTACATTGGATTGGATTTCAGAGTATATTTAATGTACAATCTTATTTCTGATATATAAATAAAGTTTCAAGTCCCATGCAATAGACAGACTGTAAATTAGTTTTCAAAACTCAATAATCCATTCATATTCTTTTTGGAATTTTTCGTATTTGTATTGATATCGTAAGTTCCGAACTTTTCAAATTTCAGTTTTTTAATATGTTAGTTAATAGGCACGGAAATAACTGCCTTTGGTCCATTTGTTTCCTGCAAAAATATTTTTTTGCTAGAGTCGCCATCTATTGGAGGTGCTTTATCAGTGCATTCGTTTTTTTTACATATTCCCTTATTGTAATATCATTCTCGCTCTGTATGCTATTGGCAGTTCCAGCAAAGCATCAAAAAAATGCGTCCGCAAAAATTTCAAAAAAAAAATTTGCAATTCAGAAATTTTTATTTAGCTAATGTTATATTGCTTAATATTGTATTTGCACTATATTGAATATATTAGTTTGTTATGAATTTAATTAATTTTTTTTTTGCAAATCAAATGTCAGTTGCTCCAAAATAACGTGCACTGTTTACTATACAGAGGGGTAGTAGTACCTCCACCCTCTATATTTTACATTCCGAGCATGCGCACTTTCATATATTCAGGGTCCGATCAGATGCGACTGCAATGTTGGGTCCTTTACTATTACACGGTATACTTTCCTCGGATCTCTTGTCACTCACTTTCCCACGCGTTAAAATTTTAATTTTTAAAATTCGCAAACCCGTATTAAGACCGAATTTTTTGCAGACAACCCTATATCAATGTGTTCGTAATGAAACAGCGCTTATGTTGATATAATTTTCTTTTTATTATCAAATCAAGTGAAATTAACTGGCATCGATATACCTGTTTATACCTGACAACCCAGTAGTTCGTCCAGGTAAATAATAGACAACCCAACGTCTGCACATTCTATATGTTTTATACTTTAAGTCAGAATAAAATTTTTCTTATTATCTTGATGTTGCAACAATTAATAAAAAAATATTTTTTTAAAAATAATTAAAAATATTCTGTCCAGGATTTTTTTAGCGAACCCATTTTTAATATATTTTCTAATATACTAAATTAATTATACAATAAGTTTTATTCCATTATTAACCCTGTGAAGGTCGATTTAGGTTCGGATCTTCTACTACAACAACAGCAAAACAAAAACAGAAACGTAACTAATGTATTAAAATAACAAAAAAATCATTCAACAACCGAACTTGAATAACGTCTTTGTTATCGTGATCTCTTTTCATTCTGTCTCTTTTACTCTAATGAGTGAAAGAGACAGAATTATTTTTTTGTCTTACCTGTGTCCTTCAAGGGTCTCGGATGACAGGGTGATATTCAAATAGTTATAACTTGTAAACTATTTTACTTGGAGCTTTTATTTTTATATCAGTGTTTAGGTAATGTCTTCGGGTATATATATATTTTTTAATTAATGTATGTTGGCAGTTTAGATTTTTTTATAAAATGTAAGAAAACAACCACATTCTATGATACTTTTCAAGTTTCAAAAATTTTTGATTAATATAAAATTATTTTTTCATGACTCAATAAGGTACATCTTTATTGAGTTATGAAAAAATAATTTTATGTCAGTTCATTGCCTACTTTTGAAGCTGTCATTTGTAACATTTATATTAAAATGGCCGCCATTTTAAAATAAATGGGGCAAAATGCCTAAATGTGGTGGATTTTTATTTATTAAATTGATTATATTACTTCGCTTTAATTAGTTGGACACCGGTGTTCAGACGCACGGTATAATAACTTAAAATTTTAATATAGTTACCATTAAAATACAAATGTTACCACCAAGGTTATTTTAGTTTAAATGATTAATGAACGATATTTGTTTATAATGGCAAGATGAAAGAACAAGACATACGGTCTCCGTTATGACTATCTTTCTCGGCTCGGATTAGTTTCTGTTTAAAAAGCAATCAAAAGTATACTTTAATATCTAGTAATAAGGTTTAGTTTTGTAATTACAAGTTTTGAATTTTTAAGTCCTGTTATAAGTACTAAGTCCATGATCAATGGTGAATGAATAGGTACCTGAATATTCTACCCAGCAGTACCCAGTTTATGTCACGTCATGTAAATGTCATTCAGTTTCATTTTGACGTTGTTCAATTCATTAAACAAAAATAATAGTCATGGCGACTCCACAACATAATTCGGACGTGTTAGTTGTTTCACGAAATGAGCATTCCGATTCAAAAGAACATGTTTATTTGGAAGAAACCTTTTATATCTTATCAAAAAAGAATTCAGTTTTCCGTGTTAGACTTACATCCAAAGGATTATCGTTAATGAAAGAGACTGATGGCAATTCAAAAGAACAAACAATTTTGTTACGAGATATAATTGGAAGTAAATGCATGAGAAGTAAGAGACGTCACCCCGGTGCTACATCTTGTGTGTGCAGTTCACTTGTGGGTCACCAGCAGCTCAAAGTTGTCGACGAAAATAGCGGAGATTTGGATGAAAATGATATCAGTGCTTATCTTTATATTTACGCATATATACTAAAACATAGCCGTCGTAATTTGAAGAGGGAAAGGACCACAATAACATTGCGTTTCAGATCGTTTGATAAATATGAGGATAATAATAAAGAAGCGCAGAAATGGAGAACAACATTGAAATGTTTGATAGCTGGTCAACCGATTACAAATGTACCACCGCCGAATGATAAGAAGTTGTTGATTCTGTTAAATCCTAAATCGGGTCCAGGGAGAGCTAGAGAATTATTCCAGACTAAGGTAGCTCCGTTGCTTCAGGAAGCGGAGGTACCTTACGAACTTCACGTAACAAAACATGCACAATATGCTCGGGAATTTGTGCGTACTAGAAATGTTTACGCCTGGAAAGGTATTGTAGCTGTGGGAGGTGATGGTGTACTCTTTGAGGTCCTGAATGGAATGTTCGAAAGGCTTGACTGGCAACAGGCATTAATGGAGGTACCTTTGGGAATATTGCCTTGTGGTTCCGGGAATGGCTTGGCCAAAACTATTTGTCATTTATACAAGTAAGTACTAGTGTTTATTGTATTTTTTAAATATCAAATTCATATATGTTAAGTGTCAATCTTGGATAACTTTTTCCATCATCTGTGTGATACTTTGATGGATTTGCAAGTAACAGCATTAGTATGGAGAAATAGAAAAGTATATCATATGTTGCTAATTCTAAGTTATGACACATATAATGTAAACATTACTTAAGGCAATTTTTACCATAATTACTTTTTCACTCGTAAAATTTAAAAACTGTTTATTTATTATTCTTTTTTTCTCTATAACTAAATGAAGCTTTACTTAATTGCATAGAAAGGGCATTTTTAAGTAACCCATTTAAAAATATACTGTATGTTTAAACAAGAAGTTTGAAAAGTGATTCTCTAAGTGTGAAATCACAAATTGGCTTACTGTAATCACTACTCCTGATAAAATTCCAATCCTCTTAACAGTGGTATATTTTAAAAGAAAGCAAAATTATGTTAGTTCATTATTTAATGAGTAATTTTTCATTAAATAATTAACTAACTCATAATTTTTTGTGAAAAAAATGTGGTACTGATTCAATATTGCAGCATAGTGTGTTCTAACAACCATTTGTTGACACAAAAGTTGTTTCTAAAATACTAATTACAGTTTGAGAAACAGTTTTGATACTACTATCAATTCCCTATACTCATAAAAATGTAATAATTCCCATAAATAAAAACAATAAATAAATAAATATTAATAATTAACATTAAATAAATGAAACCACTTTTAAATGGTTTCATTGCATTTGTATTCAGTTTTATTGATGTCTCAGACCATTTACTGGTGTTTATTGTCTATTTAATTAAGAGTATATCTACCTTCAATACAATACTGTTGGAAACATTCACAATACAAAAAGAAATACATATTTTTTGAAACATTTACATTTAATAATCCAAAAACTTGCAAAACCAAAAGATACAGTTAGTTCATTCTGTAAATGTTAAATCAAAGGGAGCAATTCACTTTTCTTGTCAGTATTTGTTTCATCAGTTCTTTTCAGACAAGACTCCCAAATTTGAAACTGGTGGTAGTAGTAGCCAGGGGTAATCAGTATTATCAATTTCCATTTAATTTACATCAATTTCATGGCAACATAGTTTCTATTTGAAACAAAATAATCTCTCAGTACAATATGTGAAATCAGCACCTAATATCATCAAAGCAGAAGTAAAATCAAGACATATAAATAGAAAAGTCTATCGAATTTACATTCACTATATTTCCGAAGGTAATGACTACAATAGTATTCTTCGTTATTGCTGTGATTGCCCCAATGGCAAACGTACAGTGGGATGCTGTTCTCATGTAGCAGCTATTATTTATTATCTATCATATCGATGATATTTGTCCAAAATCGTACGTCCTGCTGAGGTCCTAACTAAGTTATTTGCGACTCAAAGTGTTCCGATTGTAATTAATTACAACAGTGACGATGATTAATATTTTGTTTCTTGTATTTTGATAGACACGAAAAAGTAATAATAATGAGTATTGAACACTGGCTGTTTTTTTTTTTTCATTTCTTTTTTAACTATTATCCCATCTCTTAAGACTAGTTACTTACGTTTTAAAACAAGCTGAAGTGAAATTTCGAAAAAAAACTGATGTAATGTGAAAACCTTATAATACAGGGGTATACCATAAGACAGAAATCACATATAATTTTTTTTCGTTGTGTTGCACCAACTTTTTTTTCACGCATTTTTTATGGGTAATAGAGCACACAAAGGAGCATAACATATATTAATTTCGTGATTGTAAGTCACAGAGAACTCAGAAATTTTTTTATTTTTTATTTTTTTAATGTATTATTTTAATCTAAAAATTATAAAAAAATATATGTGATATACTCTGTAATGTAACCTAACACCTCGCGTTAGTTTCACTTCTTTATCTTAATTAGCTTTAGAGATATATCACATTCAGTAATAGTCAAGCATACGGATATTTTGCTCTCTATCTCAAGGTCAAAGCGGAAGTCGGTCGCGAAAAGTACATAAATCGTGTTTGAACATCAAGTCGATATTAAAACATAAGTTTCAATATCGATTCCCATTAGGGGGCCGACTCGTCATACGTATCCGGCTAAACCCTTTGAGCTGTTTTCCTATGACTTTGCTTGCAAAAATCAAATGTTTGGCCTATATAATATTATATTAGGAGATAATATTAGAGATATTTAGTAAAATAATATCATGCATTTATCTATCAAGAACCTCAACAGATAATGTAAATATCTCCAACAGTACTAGAACATATATGAAGTTGAATGAATTATGAATGCTGAAAATGATTAATTATGAAGTTCAGAACAGAAGTCAAGTATCAATTAATGAAAAATGTTATAGGGTGACATTATGCAGGTCTTTTTTTGCCTTATCACTTAAAGTAGGGTAATATTTTTCCCTGACTTGAAAAAAAAGAGAGTTATTGTTGGAATGGTGCGGGCAAGGCAATTTATCCCTAGTCTCAGGTATCTGAGCTTCTAAAAACATGTTAAATTACATGTATGGTATATGTTTTTTGTTAGATTTTTGAACATGTTATTAAGGTATTAAGGATGCTGTATGCTTTTATGCAAGTGATCACGCCAATTATCAACGTAGATATTTTTATCTATGCAATAATAGCGATAACAATATCACTGGCCCATTTCAACTTTCATGGCATGATACAACTCTGCAAGTTGCTTATTTCATCTTTAAGGTTGGTCAACCTTACTCACTTTTAGCACTTTTTAGGGGGTAAAATTTCACAGTAAACAATAAAATATATTTTTTTAATATTTGAACCAATTCATATTTTAATGCAAATATAAATTCGGATAGAAAGAAAAGATCACGGAATTTTTAATTACTTATTTTGTGACGAATTCTGAGAGTACTCTTTCTTTAAATATTTTGTAGTGAATGGTAACACCATCTATTCTGACTTTTGGGGATTCCCCATATTTTATGGGGATTGTTATTGGATTGACTTATAATCAGCAAGAACGACTTCTATTACATATATAGTAAGTTCAATATTGTTTATTACGTCCCTTTAGGAAAGTACGCGATGCTTTGACATTTCAAAGAAAGTTTTATTCAGTTGTTTAGTTCATATTTTTTTTTTTAAGACAAGCCCAACCGTGCAGTCAAAATCTAACCTGTAATGCAAAATATTGATGACATTTCTTGCCGAAATTTCTTTTTTAATTAATGTATAGCATAATTATATACTTAATAGTGGGCAGGAAAATTGTCTTCCGGCCCGGGCAGCAGAAACCTACGCTACGCCACTGTTAGCATATTGCTGTATTGAGCAGTGTTGCCAATGACTCGATTTCCTTTTTAAATGATTCTTAGTTTTGTCAATTTCTATATATGCCTTACTGTCGCTTCAAATGAATAGCAGTCGGTAAAAGTAGAAAAAAATAGAAAGGAAATAGAAAATAGGCGGCATCAAAGCGAAAACAGCAAATCTACTGTTAAAATAGTAAGGTTGATAACACTGGTTAGTACTGAGCGACAGAAAAGGCTCAGCAGCAAAAAACAAAAAGAAAAATAGAACCAATTACAAACTTAAAAAAGTGAAAAATAATACTTTTCTCAAAAGCGACATACCTGTTTCGAGAAGATGGTCGGTCGGGTATATTGAAACAAAAAATCATGAAAATTGACTTTAATAATTAGTTTGATTATGACACATGATATGTATAGATATATTCATATATATATTAATTTAACAGTTATCTTCTCGGATTTGTCTGTGACAGTCTTTTCAATAAACTCACTGTTTTCTTTTAAAGAATTGCAATGTACGCTCATCAGACATAAATCCGTAAGCCTTTCTTCACCTATGGTGCTTCTAAGCTACGTTTTAACTCTTCGCAGCGTACTGAAGGACCGTTCTAAGGTCGCCGTGGTGCATAGGATAGTGCTTAAAATAATCAATGCCTTTCTGACAGCAGGGTAAAAAATGGTGGCTTCGTTGAACAGATCAACTACTTCTATGTTCCTTAATTGATTCATCTGATAAAGCCTTCACCCATAAATTATGCCAAAGGTTCAGTTCTCCGGTGATATCCAGGTTATAAAATTCTTGGAATGATACAGCATTCTGTGTAAGTCTGTAATGCTGGTTTTGGTCATATACTAAGGGATGAGCTTACTTAAAGCAAACGCCGTAGTATTTTCTTGGGAGAATCGAATATTCAACGATGAAATGAGTGAATCAATGTTTGGTATTATCAGGGAACGCCGCCAAAATTCGTTATCATTGTCTGATAATGTGTTTGCTTGTGAGCAAGACGTGGAACCGAAATTTCTATATTCAAATCCATTGCAACAGCTCGAGCTTATATTAATTATATTATTATGAAGTATTTAACCGCGTCAAAACTGTGTTAAAGTGCGATCCTCAATTTTTTTAGTTTGTTAATAGGTATACCTAAAACCTTCTCCTAAGTCTGACAAATACTATGCTGAAAATTAAAATTGGACCACACCGGAAGCACCAGCTTTCAAAAATAAAAAGAATCAATACGATCGGTAGGATCACTCTGTAAAAAATTATGAGGTAACAAACATCACGCATACTTAATGTATATTTTAGGACATAGATGGTTTTCTCATAGACGCCATTGCCAGATCTGATCTCCAGATCTACACCACGGCAAACACTAGCTTTCAAATAAAAAAAGAATTATCAAAATCGGTCCACCCAGTAAAAAGTTATGAAGTAACAAACAGAAAAAAAATACAGTCGAATTGACAACCTACTCCTTTTTTTACGTCGGTTAAAATAAGACGATATTTTACTGCCAGATGTAGCTACGACTAGCTGCTCAACCTTTATTGTGTTAATGCTGGTAAACGTATCCGTAGCAGGGATGTATTTTACGCCAATGATTTATACTAAAGTCAAAAGACCAGGTTCGAGTGGCGGTTTACATAACTTATCTGACCCGCTCTGGCACTCTGCGGTGGCGGAA